CCGCTTTACAAAAGTTATGATCATAAGCAGGCGGAAAATTCGAACGAAACGCGCGAAAGCGCATATGCTCGTTCGTGCGGCAACATTTAACAAACGCCTACGCAAATATCTCACTATAAAGGAACGGTGTCTGACATCACGCTCAACATCTGGCACATTCTATCGTATGGTTATCAAAACACCAAATTGAATCTAAACGGGGACATAGCACAAGAAAATAGGAGTGATAAAGAATCATTTATCTTTGCAGTTCTCATTCCAAATAGAATTTCCTTATCACACACAAAAGGAGAATACTTTAATGGATTTAACGATAAAGATCACATATAGAACCACCCCTAGGGCTTCGTTCTTTGTTCTTGGGATTCTACCTCGCTGATTGAGGATCACTCGAATCGTGCTTACTCGAGTATTTCACGAATCCTATTGAAGGGGAAAAAGACACGTGCTCGTCTTCTTTTTTTCCCTTTTTTTCTCGCTCTCTTTTTCGCGGAGAACAATTGTCTGAAGATGTAAGAATGTCAGAACTCTGAAAAGACGAGGAATATGCTATGAAACACCGTAGTACGTTTCTGAGAAATGGCATGCAATCTCATTAAGAGAACAGTTTCTCGCTTTCTCATAGAGCTGTGTAATTACGTACCTATTTTTCCTCTGATTTTAGCTGGTTTGTTACCGTTTATTATTAGATAATTTCCCTGTGCAAATTTTAATTTGCAAAACACGAAAATTACGATGAAAACTACGATGCCATATTGTTTTTCGAAAAATGGCACACGATCTCTCATCAAGTATTTATAAAATAAATTATTAATATTGTTATATTAAATAAATTATTATAATTATTATTACAAAATAAATTAAAATTCATAGCTATTTTGCATTGCGATCCAAGTATTCGAGAGATAGCTGGTTTATTGTTAAATTTCCCTAGCGAATTTCAATTCATCATTTGAATTCTATGGAGAATAATGAACACTTTTGAACACGGACAAAGAAAGGATATTTGTCTTAACATATAAGAGCAGATCTTAACTCAAAAACAAATAAATCCACAATCATTTCCAAATCAGTGATAAATGATTTATGTCAAAAGGGAATAACACGTGTATTGCAAAATAATTGTTAGTAATTTATGTCACAGCTATATCTACATGTAATTTATATTTCTATCTTACTTATTTATCTATACGTTTATATTTTTAAAATGCATATAGAATACATAACTTGAAATATCGACAAAAAATTATCGTTTTTTACATCTTTCTTATTACATATAGGATAAATAAAACAAAGCGTCTCTCTCGAACAAAGCGTTATAAATATGTTTGTCCTGTTTCTATTATTTAAAAAAAATCGCGCCGTGTTTATTGTTGAAATGTCTTTTATCGAAATAAAAGATTGCAAATTTTAGTTGGCTATTTCGATACAAAGCACAAAAATCCATCTCGAGATCTCGAACAAAGATATATATGTACACTGGCGAGAATTCAACGGTAATATCTATTCGTTCTATTTTCCCTCTATTTTCACACTTCTGAAAACAACTGGGGATGTTACTCTCCTTACTACGAGTATTCTCTCTCCCTTGGGAGTATTTACTTAACGTTCGATACTGAGGGATGCATCGTACTTATCACGTGGCACACCAAAATAGTGCGGCCAAAGCAATGACAAAGGATACCCGTATTGCAAGCACAGGTCTTATTTGACGTGCACTCGCTTCTATTATTCGTACCATCTGTGGTTCATGTTATACTGCAATAACGAAGGCTTTTTGCAAAGTAAACACTGACGTTGCGTCGAGTCATACATATAGATAATGTGAAATAGCACGTGCAAACATTGTTGGATCGTGGCATCGTAACAATAATCAGAACACCAAACCTATCACGAGTAAATTATTACAAATCGTATAATTATCTTAAGATGGTTTAGAATCTCGCCTAATTGTTGTTTCACTCTCTCTACCAGGGCTCGTCATTCTAACCGATTAATCGATTAATTCAAAATTGATCAATCAACTGTAATCGAAAGAAACGATTGACACTCCGATTTTAATCAAGACATTCGATTCTAATCGATTAATCAAATTAATCGATAATCACGAGTCCTACTTTTTACGTATTATTTCAATTCCGAATCAATAAAAAACCTGCCATTATAGAATTTTGCGGTAAGCATAAACAGAGCACGCATCAATTTTTCATATTTGAATAATAAATAATAAATTAATAAATTTCATATTAAATAATAAATAACTATACTATATTCTAAAACATATACATATATATACATGGGCGTCCGCAGGATTTTTTCCGGGAGGTATAATTTTTTTTTACTTTTTATTTTTTGTTCTTAATTTTTTATTTTTAATTTTAATATTAATATGCAAATAAATTCTAGTATTTATTCAAAGGGAGAGCAAATGCTTAATTTTTGTACCAATTCCAACCCCCTGCGGATGCCCATGTGTGTATATATTATTAATTTTTTTGAGATATATGTATAATTAATTATTACAAATTACGTCGGACTGAATGTAAGATTTTCATCTTGAAAAAGTCGGCGTAAAAATCCACGGCAGTGCTTTGACGTGCAATTTATTTCGGAAACCCGCGGGAGTGTAGCGCAATATTTCCCTATTATTTCCTCCGACAACCGTAGTAAACCGTCGCGTTAAACAGCGCGTAAAACACGGATTTAAGCAAACGTTGGACGATTTCGTCGAAATTACCTGCAACTTGCGACCGCGACGCTCAAGTTGACCCGACGTGCTGCTACACACAACGGGAGAATAATTTACGCATAAATATCGCGAAGCGCGCCGAAAGGGAGAGAGATCAAAAGGGAAACGCGTATTTCACATTCCTGTCGCGCGGCACAACGGAAGTAGAAATGCAACGAGAGGACTTTTTGTTGCTCGTCGAAACAAACGGTCCATTCGAACAATGTCGTATACAATGTTTGCGATGTCGTATATCGCGCACACGAAGGCCAAACAGCATTACGCACACGAGCGACTTCGGCATCGTTACAAAAATTGGATCGCATCTGCATCAGTCCTGTTGATTCGACGATGCAGGCAATGCTGATTCGTTTTACGAACGTGACGTTAAAAGGGTATAGCGAGATACATATGGTATGACTTTTTCTTTTACTTTAAGAGAGAAAGAGAAATATACGTGATACCCAAACTTCAGTTTTTAGTAGAAAGTTACGGAAAGTGTAAAGGAGTGCAAATTGTAGGATAAAATTTAAAAAGAATTGAAAATAAATCAATTATTTTTTATTACATTGATATGAAGATCTATAATGTATCGAAGAAAATAAGAATTTTTAATGATTTATATTAGCCCGGATATCATTTCTAGAGTTAATAAGTTAAAGAAATTGTTATTACTGCATTAAAAATAAGTTTGTAAACTCCACAAAATATACTAGAAAAACTCTGGATTTATTCCCGTTTCGAAATAATATCACTGGATAATTTTAATTTTAATACTGTAATATTTGCAAATTATGAAAATGCAAAACTTGAGATAACATTAATAAAATCTAATGCTCTTACGAAAAGTACATTATGCTTATTTAAAATCGTAAATATTATCTATAATCAAAAGAACTCTTCATTGAAAATTTTATGAGATAAATTTTAATAACTTTACATAAAAATATTCATAATTTTTTTAATCCTAAAGTCACGTAATGCTCTCAATAACTTTAACATAAACCATCAACTACACGCTGATATTTCAAAGTGATAGATCGCATGCAATGCGATGCAGGCATAACATGAAATATTAAATCATATTTAAGCCCAATCTAAAATAATCGTCAATTCAGAGATCAAAATTTATCATTTGAATATTCGTGTCTTTAGAAATAATATTCGCTCAATGAAATATATTATATATTATTATAATGAACACAGATTAATATTTGTATGGCGCACGCGAATGTAATCCCGCGTAAAGCTTCGCGACCGAGAGAATCACCCGAATTAATCATGTAATGAAATAACGCAAAATATTGAGCGATTTATCACAAGAATACCATTATTTAACGCGAAGCTTCACGCTACGCGTTTGAAATTTATATGCTCGGCCTTTACGGCGGAAGAATTCGTATCGGCATGTGAAAACTTCCGTTCAATCTCGAAAACGTGTCGAGAATGTATCCATCGAGATGCATACGCCTTTTCTTTCGCGTATAAAGAGTTACAAAATACGTACTTTTATTTATGGCATTCCGATATCGATGAGCGTTTGTCGTCTTGTCGTGCGAAAAATTTACTACCGGCTCGCTTTTTTTGTTGTTCCAAATTCGAGACGCTCGCTCTTTTTTCTTCGAGTCACGCCACAAGTCTGTGAGTTATTGCGTAATTCGAGAAAATAACGCTAGATTCTCGATATCTCTTTAAAATTAAAAAAAGATAAGGAGGCGAGAGAAAGAGAAAAAGCACGAAATAAATATGGAAAGAGATATTTCCACGAGCCTTTTATAGAAAAGATCGTAGAAAAAGACTTTAGTAAAGCCTGCGAGATAAACTTTTACAAGCTCGAGTCTTTTAAAATTTAACGCATACAGACATTTGAATGAAAAAGTCTGGAATGTAATGTATATAGACATTTGGAGGGAAAAAGGACCCTTAATTTAATTCATTTCCATCTTTTTAATACGTAAGCTTTTTTTGATAGAGAAAAAGATTTCTACAAGAATGTTCATGCTTTAATATTTACGACTTTATAAGATAATTTTTAAATCGCAACGTCGGTAGATAGAAGATAATTCAAAGAACACCTTAATTTCCTAGTCTATTCCTTCAAAATTTCTCTTTTTTTTTTCCTACTCTACGTATGAGAAAAATTTCCCAGAGAGGCAAAGTTTCCTAAAAAATGCAAGAGTTCTAAAATTGTTGGGGGAACTTCTAAAGACAAGTAATTCTCGATCTCTCATCTTGAAGTTCTGCTAATCAAGTTTGTTTCCTTTCTCGACAGGTGACGTGATCGACATCCTGACACTCATAAACTCGGCCATCAATTTTATCCTGTATTGCGCAATGAGCCGTCAATTCCGCATGACCTTTAATCAACTATTCTGCAGCCGATGGCGGCTGATCGGCAGATGGATGGCGGTGCCGCACCAGCCGATGGAGAACACCGGAACTAATCACACGGTGACCCAGGTCACTCAGGTCTAGCGCCGAAGAAACCAACGGACCTTTTGCTATCCGGTATAAAGAGAGCTCCCGCTGATTAGTTCCCTTTCAGACACGCGTATTGCAAGTCCGCGAATTGAAGGAAGGATGTTTCCTTCGCGATTCGCTACAGTCGCTCGTGTAAACACATAGCGCAGCGAGCAAAGAGAGGTGAAATTTATTTGCTCGCTACTGCCACTGGTCCTAATTGCATCGCCGTTGCGCGAACTTTGCGCGACACCCGGGGCGTTTCCCGACATCGGCTTCATCTCTCGACATGCGACACGCCAGATGTGTAACAAATATTTGCTTAAATCGGTTCATGAACCACTATGTTTTTCCAATATGTGTCTCTTTGCAATTTTCTATATTACTTATTTACAATCAATCAGCGTCTCATCAGTCGACGATACGCACAATAATGCGTTACACTTAAAATACAGATGTGATACGTGTGTGAGAGCGCTTGACAACAACTGCCAGATTATTGTCATCGCTCGGATTACTGTCATTCTATAATGCGATCGTTCACACACGCGAGATCGCCGAGATATATTTAGTTAAAAATTATCAACCCTCCAGTGGTGGCACGTAAGCAATGAAATGATGAAACTATAATCAAAATAATTACGTGAATGCATTGAAAATAGCCATTCACAAACATCTCATTTTCTTTCATCGAGATTCCGAAATTTTTCATTATAATGTGCATACAAATAACAAAAGATAATACAATATATCACTACGCAGCTGGTCTGCTTATATTCTCTTTCTCCTGTTACAGTTGAACAAGATTTCAAAGTTTGTAAAAAAGTTGGATCATAAAATATATATAATTATCTCACAATTACATGACATGACATTCTTATAATAAGAAAAATATTTGTCAAAAGATTACTTTATTATTTCCAATATCTATTAACTCTTTGTATATGCGCTTCAATATTCATTTATATTTTCAATTAATTAATATAACTGATTTTAATTTTATTGGTTCATTGTTTTATTTAGTTTGTCGAAAGTTCTACGGCGTATTCAGAAAACTTACGTAATTAATAGTAATTGGTCTAGATACAATGGGGCTAAATTCTATTTGCATATTATATATATCATATATACGTACATATGATGATGATATAGAAACATTTAAATTATAGTGCGCTGAGTAAATTGTTAATATTTAGCTAACCGAACGGCTTAATTGGAATGTAACAAAGCGCATTTATGAAACTGAGGTCAAATAGCTCAAAATTTGAATTAAAAAACGTACACAACGATGCATCATGCCACCTACGGTGAAATATAATTCTCTGCGGCTAACAAAACGCAATTTTCCATAGCTTAATTACATAAATCAAAAAAGTCTTATTCTTGAGAAAATGCAATAGTTGCTTAAATAGCTTAGAATCTCTTAATGCAGATAAATGCATAACATCTAAATTAAAGATAATATTGACTATTATTTTTTGCTAGAGGCTTAAAAGCGACCTTTTTAAAATGTTCTTAGAAAACGTCTCACACTCGTCAAACTATTAAAAACGTGCGTGCTCTCCCTTAGCATTTATTTATCTTTATAAATTTATCTTCTGTTTGTTTGGAAAAAAATTTAATTGTTATAAAATATTTCTCTAGAGGTAACTTTTTGTAATAAAATTTACGAATATGTGCATTCTTAATTAAATATATATTTTATTTATAAACATTTTTAATTGCCATTGGATATTATCTAAACTTTATTCAAAAATATTTATCGCAAGCCTTCTAATGGAAATACATATAAAATAAATAACAAATTAATTTTACATGTTAAATCGAGACAAAGGATGGAGAATAATTCAAAGTAAAATAATTAAATACTCGGTTCTCATTACGTATGGATTAATACGAAAGTTAGCTTACTGTTTTTACCAACTTACAAAACAGATAGATAGACGACTTCATCATGGAATTATTCAAAAGCCGTGAAAATGTGCACAATGATTAACATAATTAACGATGCAATGCGAGACGTAGAATTTGCGTTGGCCAAAGGACAGTCTTGCTTTGCGATTCATATTTATGTAATTAAATAAAAAAAAATCTTCTCGGCGTAACTTCCTCCTCCTTTGCTCAAGCTACATGTAAATTACGTTCATAATTTGCATTTTAAACATTTAAAAAGTAACAAAAAATCTTTATACAAAGTATTCTCTTTTAACTATCTTTATACCCCTTTTATTACGAGAAACGTTTGCGCGAAGACTATTATAATTGAAACATTAATTTTCCAATGACAAGTTACAATTATAAAAAATGAGAACGATTATTTACATTATGACACAGTATTGTAATAACATCGTGTTCTTACTACTGATCGAGATGATCTATCATAAGTAGCTGCATTTATAAAAGTCTGTTACATTTATTTTTCTTGATAAATATAAATACTTTTAATAATTTACTTACACTTTGCACAAAGAATTCGAAATACATTCTAGAATTATATATGTTATTTATTTTTTTATTTAAATGTCTAAAATATTTAGCAATTTTTTATATATAATTATCTCTAAATATTATATTATAATATATATGTTTGTAATTTTTCATGGAAAAATGTATATTTTCATGTCTTTCTCTCTCTTTGAAATTTCTAATAATATATTTAAAATTGTTTAAGATATTTCCATCTCATCAGACAACATAATAAATCAGATAAATTGCATCAAATTTGTTCAAAGTAAAGCTTTTAAATCCCGTTATTTAATCTCGCACGTTATTTAATATCAAACATCCGGGATAGAGAGAAATAAGTGGCATTCACTCTCGATTTCAAGAGCGCATATCACAGCCGAGTAATAATCAAATTGTCACATTTGCAGCCTCGCATTTGCATTTGTTGCAGAATTGCACTTTAAACGCGTCCGATATTTTTATCGCAAAGATCGCAAAAAGGCGATAGATTTTATTTTTATTTTTAGGAGTAAAATTCTACGAAAATCACGTCGCCTCAATAAATTAAAGCTCGCTTAAATCAGTCAGTCTATTTGATAGAGCACTCCTAGACCAAATTGCCGCAATTGCTATGCGACGTGAGGAATTGCCATGATTAATCGTCTTCCATTCGCGGCTAACTTTATCGTCTTGAATAAAACCGTTGTGTAAGTAGTATGAACGCATAAAGTTTTACGTTGAATTTTTATTTATTTGGAACCTCGCCCACACACGTGTGAGCTGGATAAATTGTCGTGGTTGCGGATTTTATCTCTACGGACCTCTCCATCTCCCGCCCATTAATTTTTTATACACCATAGTCATTTTCAGCTGGTATTGTTAAGAGACACCGAATTTTTTCCGCGTATATTTTACCCTTATAATTTTCTCTCTGTTTCACAATTTTTTATAATACTTTTTCACGCGGTACTATATCTCCTACTTATTTCGTTTTCCAATTGTAATGTTCTTTAATCTCATCGATAAAACTGCATTTATTATGTTCTTATTTCTGTCTGTTTCTGTTTAATTCTGCTTGTAAATGCACAAATCATACAATCCTTATTGATTTTTAGCTTAATCTATTTTATCTTAATACTCCGTTTAATTTATTTTGTGACAAAGAAAGAGATAGAATATATTTCTCAATAATTAAAAAAATTAATAATTTTTAATTTGCACAGTAAATGTGTGTATAGATATCGGAGACGGCAAGATTTGATATTTATTTTCAACCCAAAAAATTATAATATACTGCATTACTTCTTAAGAGATTTGTAGAAAAAATACTTTCACAAATCAATAATAACACGAACAAAAGATCCAATTTTTAGGCCTCTAGCAAAATTGTTCGCAATTTATTTATTTTATTTAGAAACTAAGTTATAATTAATTAAAGAATGTATAATCTTCCTTGTCAAAAAGCAAAAAAATATATTATACATTTAAACATAATAGCTGAAACAAATTTTCTGATGAAACAATATCCTCTCTTTTAATAAGAATTGTACAAATAAATTTGTTTCCAAGCTAAACACATCACATTGACAATGAAATAGAAACATTATATCCCTATGCAATTTCAATAATATCAAATATTTTCATAATATATCAGAATAGCATTAATGTAATGTCAGAGCGGTTTCTCTTTTGCGATAGAAATTTATTAGAAAAAAACGTCAAATGTCGATAAAATACGATATAAATCAAAATCATAGCATTTCAATATTGTCCGACGGATTTGTTACGTGTTGTTTGTAGCGGATAGCAAAATGTTCGTTGATCTCTTTCGAAGAATTGAGAGTAATCAGTAACCAGAAAAAAAAAGTTGTGATTTATCGATTGATACGTCAAAACGACATTCGAGTCTAAAATATGTATATTGCAAACCATACTTTCAGAAACTTCTAATGTTACACTTATTTAAAAAACATGTTTGGTACCAAAAATATAGTGTTGGAAGCCAATTACAGGGATCAATTGGGGAGATTCGTGTTTCCAGAAGCCTTTTCAAGAAGTAAACTAACAAAGTGAACGCTTCTCATTTTCAAAGACATCGTTGATTTCCTGGCTCTTTGTTTCACGATTCTTGAAAGTGAAATTGTACCGTATATAAAGCGTACGTAATAAAATACAAAAGTGAAGAGGAAACATGAAACACAAAGAAAAATAAATAAATGGAAGCTATACTGATATTGTCAAAAATATTAAGAAAAAGAGTTTGTAAACACAAAGAAAGATTTTTTTTAGTGTTTCATTAAATTGTTTCCAACCTAACAAAATAATAAATGTTTTTTAAACCAGAAAATATATATAAGAGTTTCTTATATTGCATGTGTGTATGTGTGTGTGTGTATATATGTATGTATGTTTATATGTAATTTTAATATTTTGTTCAATATAAATTGTAAACTTCAGTTATATATTTCATATGAAACAGAGTAATAATACCTCGAGTTTGCAATTTCGTTTTATTAATCAAATTGTTATGCTTATCTTCAATATCACGATATAACTTGATGTTTATCTATGTATGAGATTAATATAAATTATAAGAAATTAATATTGTTTATTAGCAAGATTGTTTATTAGATTAATAACATTTACTTGGACATGCCAATTTCTATGTTATATTTAAAAGTACCAATGGAAGTGAGATAAATGATATTATCTATTAGTTATATAAGAGTTATATTTAAGATTATATATACTTATATAAAAACGTAAAAAAAACTACGAACAAAACATATAACATGGCGATAGTTAAAAAGTAAGAATAACCGAAAATTAACATTCAGCCGATATTCTTATACTCAACGTTCAACGACCATACAATTAGTAAATTAAAAAAATTTATTATTAATTTTTAATATTCCTTGTATGACATATCGAATTTTTAATAAAGCGATATTGTGTTTTCAGGGAAATGAGATTACTTCCTTCACACTGAAACTATATCATTATATAGAATAATTATAAATTCTATAACAATTTAATATGCAAGAATGAAATTGTTTCAAAATGATTATATTGTTATTTTTATTATGAATAATATATAACCTTTTCATGAATCAAGCATGTACAATATACAAATTTTATAACAATTTAATATGCAACGATAAAATTGTTTCAAAATGATTATTTTGTTATTTTTTATTACGAATAATATATAACCTTTTCATGAATCAAGCATGTACAACATATGCGTGTACATACAATATGATGTCACAAAGAAAGAAACAAAATACAAAGTTTATATTATCTCTGATATGCTGAAATAATTTTAAGCGCGAACAAACATCGCTTTTATTGGTAATTCGATTCAAATTAAGCTTAAAAATGATGTTTTATTTTTACATGATCTGGCTATTTAAACAACGCCGTTGTTTTACCGATCATAATATTTAACTAACGATCGCGCGAAGTAAATTAAATCGAAACACGTATCGCGATTCGCGACGTCTCATTATTTTTAATCTACATATTGCAACTCCTGATGCACTGTGTATGGATCAATGTATGCACCACAAATAAAACTGTACTTACTTTAATGCAATTAAGTATTGCATTAATCTAAAAAAATTATTAAAGCTTTTTCCTATATAAAATATATGAAATAAATTTAAAGAAAAAACTAAGAAAAATTGTTAAACAACCCATATATCGAGACTTCAATACAGCAGTCAGTTTTATAAGACTTCGTATCTTGAACATTGAATTTTAAATGTACGGAATGTCTGAACTTATCCGCGTTTATTTGCATTTAGGGATTCTTTGGCCAAGTTAAAAGTTTCTGATGCCGCGATAATCTAATTAAACTGTCTTTCTCTATAACTTTTTAACGCTTGATCTCTAATATCTTTTTTTAATTAATCCACAAATTAAAAATCTATTAAAATAAAGCCTACTTAATGTTCAAAAAAAGATAAGAAATTTTATCTGTGTCTGTGCCTCTGAAGTTTAATTTATTAAAATCGATAATCTTTTCATCTTTAATTAATGCTTCAAAAGTAATATTTAGATAATCAATTCGGTATTGATAAAAAAAATTTATAAATTTATAAAAAAGAGTGCGAGAAAGAAATATCTAAAGATATTCCAATATCAAGTATGAATATAGATAAGAACTAATTTTTATCATACTAATTAATATTCGTAAACTAAAAATGGTCTAATATTTCTTGTTTATGGTCTGGTTCTTTTTCTTTTTTTTATTTAAAAGTTCGACAAATTAAAACTTGCAAACATATATCTTTAAATATGCATTTAACCCGAAAAGAGTTAACTGATTTCATAAAGTTGAACAGAGTTTAATTAGAAATTGTATACTTGAAAGTACCTTGAGAGTAATTAAAAGTCTCAACGAATGCCTACTACCAGAAATATAATTTGGATTAGATACATCTCGATTCAGTTTCCGGATAAACTCAAAATAGCTGCAAGCTGTAATTATCCGGTATCCTCATATAGGAAAGCGATATTAAGATGAAGCTGCATATAACTGTGAAATATGCGTATGTGTTTATTACACGAAGTATCATTAAAATAAATGAGAATGTTCCGTCAAAAATTTATATTTGTATAGAGAGATCCCTCTATAAGGAAAAATCGATTATTAAAATAAGAATCAAAAATTTTAGCAAGCTCTGCACAAAAAAAAACACATTTATTAAAATATAATTATTAAAATATAATTTTATTAATATGCGATCCTAATATTATATGTTGATTTTCTATAAAATTGATCCTCAATGCTTTACGCAATATATAACTCATCTATATATAATTTTTATAAATAAAATATTGCCATAATTTTCTAATATATACTTTACAAATTTTGAAAATATAATTTGCATAATGAAAATAAAAATATAAAATTATGAGAATATATTTCATAACGAGATATGTAATGAAGCTACTAAAGAAAATGTAAAAAGCACTGTAAAAACTCTCAAGAGATTTAAAATTTGCAGTATAAAAAAATTATGGTACGTTTCAAACCCGTGACCTATACATGGTAAAAATATATTTTCCTCTTCTTGCATGTATAATGTCGTGTTTATAATTTTATTAAAATCACATTATGATAATTACGGATTGCTTCATTCAGTTTTTTCCTCGAGGGAATATAAGATTCGCAGAAAGATCCTAACGACGATTTTTGAATACAATTCACATAAAATTTAACTCAAACATTTTTAATAATAAATATTCTATAAATCAGTCTTCGTAAATTCACATATGTAAATTATTTATTAATTTTATTGTATATAGGTACATATCCTGTATGCAAATTTATTTGCATTCCGAAAGCAAAGAAAGAAAATTGAAAGAGTTTGATAATTTTTCGTGCACCTACCTTTAAATCCACAAAATATAGCTCCAGAATTTTCAGACGTTCCTCACTTCCTCTGAGATAGTTAAGTTTTTCCCGCAGACAGTTCCAGTCATCTGAAAATAATATAGATTTGTGTTAGCGATGAAACAAAAAGAAATTAAATTTTGTTTTCATTCGCAATCATAAAAATTGATTTTTTATTTTAATAAATTTTATTTCAACGAAATATATTTATTTATCAAGGCACAAGGCTTATTTAACATTATCGACATTTATAAAGTTGCGCAATGATAGAAAATGTTTAATTTTAAATTTTATTTATCACCAGCTACGAAATTGGAAAACATTCTATATCCTAAATCATGCATAATCTATAGACATAATATTCAGGATTTAGAGGACATGGTACATTATTGGACTTGGAATTCGACCAAGCAAGGCAAATGTCGGCTTTACACATAAATGCACTTAGATATTGTGTATGTAGGCCCCTCCGGTCGCAGCAATTATCCATTACATTAAGCCGTATTCAGAGAACAGGTGAACAAAATACATCTGCTGACAAACTCACCGATGAATCGCCGCGGGCGATGCAGAAAAGGCCGTTAAAACCACGAAAAGAGCGTACACATATGTGTATCACACCTGTTTTCTATTATTTATAAGCGCTCGAATACTATCGAAAGAATGAATTATTTATATCCAGAATCAAAATGATAAATATATGTATGGTTATTCTGTAGGTATATTGCATACGTTCTATGCAGTATGCAGAATCCATCACTATATTTTACTACACATATGAATATAGATGCAGAAATTATAAAATGACAAAAAAAAAACATTCGCTTTAATCTCGAATTACTTACGGTCAAAAATTAAATTCTAGAATAGAACCTCAGAATAATAATGCTATGAAAAATTTAAAAACAACGTAAGACAACAGTATAAAAGACATAAAATAATAAGATTGGTGAGATACAAATATTATTTATTTAAATTAATATAATCTTGACTAAATAATTTAATTAAAAGTTTGATAGAATATAGTTTGTTATGTAATTATCCTACACGTGATTTACTTCTACCTCGTAATTTAAAGTTCTATATGTAAAACAATATGTTATATAAAGATAGTTTGAATAATGCAAAAGACAAAATAAAAATTTTTTTTTATTCGAAATTATAATCGCAAATTATTGTATATCATATTTAAAAACATGTTCTATATTTTTATTCGAAGAGCATGTGAAATTTTTATATTAACTTTTTATTCCTTCTCTAAGAAATGTTATAATATATATAGAGTTATTATATTTTACTCATCTCTTATTGTCAAACCATTCAACTCTTTTGTAATTCAATTTCTCAAAATATTTTGTAATTTTTTTAGAATTACCCAACAGACCTCAACAAATTAGAATATACGTGATGCCTTACGATGCAATGAAAACCTGCTGCAAAATTCATGTATCATCGCACGCATCTTAATTTTTCTTATTAAAAGCTCTTTTTCTTTTTTCTGTCGCGTTGCATTTCTACCATACATTTTCACAAAAAATCATGAAAAAACTTTTTTTATATTAAAATTTCAGAAAATTTCCATTTTTTTATCAATATAAATTTCACTGTTACATAAAACAAACAAAAAATAAATAAATGTCAAGTATACTGATTTTTTGTTGACTCTTTTGATCCTACATATTTACCAAAGTCGGTTTATTAGCATAATTATGAGAAGGCTCAAGACAAATAAATGCGTCGAATATATTATAACTTCATGATTACATTTTAACTTCATGATTACATTTTAACTTCATGATTACATTTAGAGAAAACGTTTATAAGAATAAAATCTTTATGTATAAAAATTATAATATTCTTATCTTTTATCAATTTCTTGAAACAAAATTATGAAGAAAGAAAAGAATAAATCTTTAATAAAAAGATCTGATGTAAAATATTGTAAAAACATATTAAAATATTTATATAGAAATATTTAAACAAAATTATAAAAATGTATATCGCAGAAAATTTATCTTCAAAAACATTATTTAAAATATCAAAAATATACGTAAATATTTTGACGATAGAATTTCACATATTTTATTTTTAATATTGCTGAAAAATTTCTATAAAATAATTAAATAAAATCTAATAATATTATGTAAAATATGTTAAATAATTAATGTAAGTTTAAATTAATAATAAAGTATTTAATATTACGTTTTTTATATAATGAAATATAAATATATTAATATATTAATGAATATAATCTCTCTCCTTCTCTCTTTAAAAAAACGGCAAAATAATTTAATAAATATGTTAAAACCATCGAAACATAATTTGCCAAAAATAATAAAATTTTACAAAAATTATATATAACAAAATATAAAATATTTTACATCTGCACACTGTATTAACGATTGTCGGCAAAATAGCACACATAAATTTATTTATGTACCATTCGAAGATAATAACGAAATACATACATGTATATACTAAATTTCAGAACCTAATCTAATGCTTTGTGATCACTGCGTATTATTGGCTGATTCTGAATGATCGTGAGTGATTCTTGGCAAGCACGTGCGCACATGTGCAAGTGTTTTCACATTGTGTTTATATAGATTATTTACCTAATATAAATCCCGACATATTACATAAAGTTCTTCATCTTCATTATTGGTCTTAAAAAATAAATAAATTCAGAAGAAGAGATAAGAAAATCTATCGAGAGAAAGGTATCCTATAATAATAACAAGCAATATAACGAAAGATAAAGTAAACAAAGAAAGTTTATATTTTGCAGGAAAACGTCCACTATGAATGATTCCGACGATGATAGCTCTGACAGCAGCAACGATTTTGGTGGCATTATACCAAAGGATGAGCTAACAGCTAGTTTTTTTTCTATAAAACCGACAGTAAAGCCTAACTTAGTGAGCTCAAAAAGCGAAGATGAGAGCAGCGATGATGACAATTTCACAACTGTTCAAAATAACATCAACTTGTTCTCAGAAGTAGTGAAGAATCTGGAAGCCTCGCAGAAGCCTCATGTAAATAATGAGGAACCACAGCAACATTATTCCAGTGACGATGGGTTACAGGATGTTAAGAAAGCCAGGATTGAAAAGAAGAATGACAATATATCAGACGAAATAAACGCGGTTTTACTCCAAGGAGAAAGTAGAACGCATGCATATCATAATGATGAAAGTACAGATGAGGAGAAAAAAGAGGAAGAGGATGTTGAACGTCCTGCTGATTATGCTATACCTAAAGAAGGTGTTAATATAACTTTGCCAGGTACAAGTATGATTTTCAAGAAGAAAAAAGGCAGTAAGAAAGAATCAGATCTAGCTGCTCTTCTACGGAGAAAACTAAAGGCCAATCAGATAATTATAGAAAAAGCAGCTCGACTTTGTTGGTTGGCATATGGATTCTACTTGAATCGGCAAGCAAATGATCCTGAACTAATGGCAATAACAGTATCTCTAATCTCAACAAATAATTATCCAAAGGATGGTTTTGATTTGACATATTTAGCAAAACTCACAAAATGGTTCAGAAATATGTTTACAATAGAATCTACTGACAATGAAGTCATTATGAATAAGGAAACATTGTTAAAAAGGATAGCGGAAAAGAAAATTTTCAATTATAGAGAATTGGTAATATTATATGTGGCAATACTAAGAGGTATTGGCTTACATTGTCGTCTAATAGTGTCTCTTAATCCACCGCTTGTAAAAGCTTATAATGACTTATTGCCTAAAACAAGTACAGCAAAGAAAAATGAAAATAAAGTTAAAGAAGAACCAAAAAAAGGTAATAAAAAGGCAGAGCTTTCTAAAAAAGATAAGAAAAATACAGATCCAAAAGAGAAAGATCTCAAAAATAATGTAATTCAGAATAATGAAAGTGCACGAAAAAATGCTAATTTAGAAGCAAAGAAAAGGGCAGCAGAGATTCTTCGCTCAAAGTACTCATATACTAAGAAAAACAAAGATACTTTAAATAACAGTATTTCTCAAAATAAAGCTTCTACATCAAAAGATATCAAAACAGATTCTACAAGTTTAGAAAAGGTAAACACTGCTCCGTCTCCAAGACGTTTAAGATCTCGTAAAATATATGATACTGCATTGAACAAACAGCAAAGCAATATAGAGACTAATTCAGAAAATAATCAATCTAATACAAAAGTTTCTAAGAGACTATCATATATTCCTGACTCAAGTTCAGAAGAAGATGAAAAACAATCTAGTAAGCAAAAGAGAAAACGAAATAATAACAATAAAACAGTTAAATCTGAACATAAGAATGAAAAGAAAGACTCAATATCTGATGATGAAGAAACTGATAATAATGACAAATTAAAAAAGAGACAGGATGTATGGGTTGAAGTATATGTAGAATCCAAAGGATGCTGGATATGTATAAATGTAATAGATGGAAATGTAGATTGCATAGCTGATATATATGTAAGTAATTAAAAAAGAGAACTCCTAATTATTTAATTCTAATTTTTGTAATTGTTTAACTGTTATAATTATTTATGAATATATGTTTAATGATATTAATTATGCAATAATGTTTCAGAGAAAGGCCAGCAAACCAGTATTATATGTAATAGCTTATAACTCGGATGGATTAATAAAAGATGTCACAAGACGTTATTGTCCACAGTGGCTTTCTGTTACTCGTAAGCAACGTATTGATGAGAAATGGTGGACTGAAACTTTAGTTTATTGGCTAGAAAAAGAGACAGCCATGTCTAAAAAAGAAGATGAATTACTTTTGGAAAGGTAATTCTTTTTTTTCTACATGTACATTTGTAGTGTTGTGTAGGGAAAATAATATCAAGAGATAATAGTACTCTATTAACAAAATATAATTATTTTCAGAGAGCTGGAACAGCCATTGCCTAAAACTGTTTCCGAATGTAAAGGACATCCTTTATATGTGCTGGTAAGGCATTTACTCAAATATGAAGCCTTATATCCGGCGGATTGCGTACCACTCGGACATTTAAAAACAGGTGAAGCTATTTATTCGAGATATTGCGTGCACACGCTACGTTCACGAGAAACCTGGATGAGGAAAGCTCGAGTAGTTAAACCAAAACAAGAGGCTTACAAGATAGTTAAAGCACTTCCAAAATATGATAAGGTAAAATTACGTTAATATATTTCCATGAAATCAATTAAAAATAATTTTCTTATTTATAAAATTATTATTTATACAGAAGATTTCATTAAAAAATGTATTTAGCTTTCAGGCATGAAACTTAAAGATTCTGCATTAGAACTATTCGGAGAATGGCAAACTACAGAATATGATCCACCAGAAGCTAAAGATGGCATTGTACCTCGTAATGAATATGGAAGCGTAGATTTGTTCAAGAAAAGTATGCTTCCAAAAGGCACAGTGCACATCAATCGTAAGCACAACATATCTTTCCTATTCTGATGATATGGAAATACCATATTCTAAAATTTTTAATAATTTAATGTCTTTATACACTTTTACATATCCTAACAAAATAAATTTAGCTATTTTCTTATGTATTATATTTTTAAAAATGAAAAAAATTCTGGAAAAATTTTATTTTGCTATAAAATCAAATTATTGTATGTAACGAATGAATCTTTATAGTTCCAGGATTGAATCGAATTGCCAGGAAACTGAACATAGATTGTGCGACTGCTGTAGTGGGTTTTCAATTTTGGTTGCAAGGGTGCCACACCAGCCACTGAAGGTTTTGTTGTATGTGCCGAATACGAAGATACATTACGAGAAGCTTGGGAATCAGAACAGGTCGAAGCAGCTAAACGCACTGCCGAGAAAAGGGAAAAGAGAATTTACGGCAATTGGAGAAAACTCATTAAAGGTTTACTTATTAGGGAAAAATTATCGCAAAAATACGAGTTTCAAAAGGAATCGAAAACCGAGCAAAAACGTCCAAAGCAACGAAAAGGCACCGTAAAAAAATCTAAAACCTAATAGAATGCGTATATGAATGTTAATTTTATTAATTGAAACTCTTTGTTTATTGAAAAATCCTTATTTCAAGAATGAAACATTATTCGTATTATGCTAAACATTTACAAATGATAATTATAGATGGTTACTGTTAAATTAACTTTTTTTCACTATTTTATACAATAATAAGTTAGATAAGAAATAATGGTACTTTTTGTTTTGTATTGCATGATGACTGTAAACATTTTTTTTTATAAATTAAATTAATTTTATAATATAAGATGTATTTCTTTTCCATTGTACACATGGAAAAAGCTATAATAATATTTGCTATATTTATATATAAAAAAAATTAACTCTTTCATCGCTATTTCATACAATGATAAATCAGTCAAGAAATAATGATATTTTTTGCTCTGTTCGAATATTGTATGATGATTGTACATGTCCTTTGTATTAATTAAATTATTTTTATAATATAAGACATTTTCCTTTTCTCCCTCTCCTTTGTTACAATGCGTAAGCATGAAAAATGCTATAATAATATTTGGTATACGTAATATTAGTTTACGTATAATAAATAAGCACTATATATGTAAAAGAATGTTTTCCATTTTCATATTATTGCTCTTATACATACAAATGTGTGTCTGCATGTGTATTTATCAAGTATTTTATTGATATTTTATATATTAAATGCATAAAATAATTTTCATTGAATATTTGTGATATTAATTTTTATATCTCTTTCATTTTGAAGTTTACACATTAAAATATTACAAATTATGCAATTTACAGCATGTACACACACATGTACAAGTACGAATATACATGACATACACAAATATGTAAGTATATGCGTATATATACATAAATTTTTATATTTAATAATAGAATTTTGCATATTAAATATAACAAATTATGCAGTTTATAATACATACACATGTATGTACGCACGCATGCGCATACAAACGTACATATATGCATATATGTGTGTGTATGTGTGTATATATATGTGTGTGTACATGTGTAACACTAGTTACAGATTTTTCTGTCGGCTGGAACAATAAAATTTCAATTTCCATAACTATAAATAATTATATTCTTCATTATTAGGCTTATTCTTAACCAAACATTTCATATTTTATATCATTTTTACAAAACTAAGCGCTTATTCTTGTACGTCGCAGCCAGTCGTGGCATGGTATATATATTTCTGATTATATTCTCTTTCACTAGGAAATAATATCTCAATATTATTATACTACACGCTCTAATATTAGTAATGAATAGATTTATCGCGGAAATTACCTGAAATCTCTATTTGGTTAGCTTAGCGATCGAAAATTTGAAACCTCGCGAGCAACACGACCAGACACTACTATGACGAAAACGGAAATGAAGGAACGCAAAAGCGCGCGAAACGAGAAAAGCGCGGCAAGATCTATAAAAGGCGCCATATTCAAATTGGAAATTATCCACAGACTTCTAAATTATTAATATACTAGATTGCTAACACTAATGTGAAATAAGACAGATAGCTATTTACAATTGGTCAATTGTCATATGTATAAAATGGCATACTAGGTTACAGAATTTTATATTATTCTGATAAAAATTAACGCAATTAAATATCAAAAGGATTGTTACATATATCATGTTCAAATGTCGCATAGGCATATAAATGTTGCATATATTGGTACAAATATTTTTATTTTATATTGTAATATAACTAACTTTGTATTTAATTAACTTGTATTTAATATTTAACTTTTACGTATTGATAAAGACTGTATAAATTAATTTAATATATTCTGTAACAGAATGTTTAATTTATTATTAACTATAATAAAAAAATTTTTACATATTTATTTTAAGTGAATATATTTATTTATTCATAATTATACGATTTCATTAAATTCATATTTATTATTATTTTTATTATATATTTTTTTTAATTATATATATAATATAATATATATATAACTATAAATATATAGATTTTTTTTTAATTTTGTTAATAATATATATTTATTTATATAACGGTATTATTTTTAAATGACAATTCATTAAAAATATAGATAATTATAATATAATATTTATTATATAACTATTTCTATATTCTAATATCTCCCGTTCTTATCCTAAATCTTTTGTCTCCTCCCTTCCTTATTCGCAAACTGTCTTTTTTTTCCTTTCTCTATCCCCTCCCTGCCCTTTTCTCTATCTTTTCCCCCTTGCCGGCCCTTCCCTTCTCTGCTCTTTCGCCTTCCTCTCTCCTCTCTCCTCCCTGCCCTTTCCTCCTCGCCCTTCCCTCTTTCCTCCCGGCCCTCTTCCTCTTCTCTAATTACTATTTAAAATTTGAATATGGCGCCTTCTATCGATCGAGACGCCTCGTATCGATCGAGGCGCTCATCGATCGAGCCTCGCGTTTCCCGCGCTTTCGCGCTCCCGCGTTTTCTCCCCCACTTTTGCATTCCCCGTTGGCGACATGTAGCATCCAGTCGTGTTGCTCGCGAGCGCTTCGAATTTTCGATCGCCAGACTAAGCAAAAAGGGATTTCAGGTAATTTTTCAATAAAACTATTTATTACTAGTATTAGAACATTGTGTAATAATATTAAGAAGTTTATTGCGCCTGAAAAAAAATATATACTCAGAAATATATTGCGACACGACTGCTTTCGGCGGACAAGCATAAGCACATTTTGATTATCTATATTTCTCAAATATGACATAAAATATAAAATGTTTGGTGAACATTAAACTTAAATAATGAAGAATAAAATATATTCATAGTTGTCAAAATTGAAATTTCATTGTTTAGGCCGGCAGAAAAATCTGGAGCTGTGTTGCTAAATATATATATATGTATACACACACATACACAATCGTTGGTGCTGTAAATTTTCGATTGCAAGGTTAGCAAGAAGCAAGAAGGAATTTCAGGTAATTTTCTATAATATATAAAGTTAATACTATCGTTTAAGATTATCGTCTTCCACGTATACTTAAATGAAAATTTTTGATAAATTAGCATGCATTATTTATATGTATAATAATTGCCGAAAACGTACGATAATATATGTAAATAATTCGTTTCGTTAACAAAAAAATTTACAAAGGAAAAAAAATCCAATCTTTCTCATAGATGCTGGAAAATATATGTTCTAATATGTAAATATCTTTTTTTCGTAAACAAATTTTCGTTAAATTAACAATGCATTTAATAATCGCCGAAAACGTATGATAACTTATTATAAATAACTTGTTTCGCTAATAACAAAACAATTTATAAAAGCAGAAAAAACAATATGTAAATTTTTGAAATAATATAAACGTCTATGCAGAAATATCCTGATAAAATGATTTCTCCGGGTCTTATTTCTGGATGAATAATTTGTTTTCTATCATAAGAAGTCTCAAGTCATATCGAATAATTCCATATAAAATATTAAAAATTAGAATGTTACATAAATCTTGCTGTTCTTTTAAAGATGCTTGATTTGATAAACTAACTACTATAATAGCTTGTTTCTTTTAGAAGAAATTCATTTATGCAAAATTTCTAATTGTTATATTTAATTAATCTAACAACAAAATTTATTAATTTAAAACTTTATAATTTATAAAATTATGACTTAAAAGTCGTAAGTTTTATTTATGCAAAAAGTAATCGAGTTATTCATTATGTCTATTATAAAAGTATATAAATTACGACAAACTTCTTAATATAAAATATATTAATTAAATAGAGAGAAGGAAAGGTAGAGAGAGAGAGAGAGAGAAACTAATTTTAGATAATTAATTACGAAATAATTATACTGCTAAATTATTTTTCAACAATTTGCTATCTCTCATATTATAATGTCCATTTATGTCTGTTTCAAACAGATAATCCAGACCTCGAAATTATACTATTTAATTTAGGAGAAACATGATCGTTTATATATACGTAATCGAACTGCGGGAAGTTAGAGGATTAACTATAATCTATACAATGATCCATGGAAGTATGCCAAAGACAGTGTTTCTCGAGAAATCGGAGTGTTACTATTAGATAAGCATGAACTCGCCCTAGGTGGAGCTTCTATTAGCCCGAATCACGAAAACCGACCTGGAATTAGTATTTCAACCTGAATTCAAGTTCTTCCTTTGTATAATAAGACCGTCCTTTATAATAGAAATACGATACTATCCAGGTCATCATTTTGATCCTTAAATTTCAATATTTGCGCGTAATCAAGAATATCATGAGTCAATAGCGCGTTATTTTTATTAACATTATATTTAGTTAGCAAAAATTCATAGAATGAAGGAATCAATTATAAGGTGGAAGTTTCCCTGACATAGATTAAGCTTGTGCTTCAGAGTTTGTGAACGATATAGTTTTTCTTGTACCTCGGTCAGATAAAAGTAGTTTACATAAATTGCACTCATGCAATTTTACTTTTTAAAGAATATAATTTTTAAAATTATTCATATTAGCTAAACACATAATTTATATAAAAATGTTTTTCTTACAACTTACAGTATACTTCTAGATAATTTATAGAAATTATAAGAAATTTTACAATATTTATTAATTAAGAAAAAAGATAAGATATGTATGTCTTACGAAATAAAAATATGCAAATAATTTAATAGCTTCAAGAAAAGACAATATAAAATTTATTGTATATACTGATAATTTTATGAATATAAATATTATAAATATAGTTTCTCTTTAAATTATATATAAAAAGATTTACACAAATATTTTTTATGCAGCATAGAGAAATGCGCTGGAAAACAGAAGAAAAAGTTGAGCACAGTGGCAAACGTGATTGCAATGGCAAATTCTACATCTCGTCGGATCGAAGCATCAAAAGGTATGTACATAGCTTGCGCTAATAAAATTTTGTTTAAATTTATAAAGTGAGTGTTCTCAAATTTATAATGTCTTGAAAAATTTGGTATGAATATTAGATACATAAATATTAACAAAACGATTCCTTAAAATTTAAATAGCTTAAAAAGATATTTTTAAAAAAGATAATTTTTTTACAATTTATCTCTTAACATTTCTGCCTAAGAAATAGTAGAATCCAAAATGTTCAAACAAATTGAAAGGAAATTTCTTAAGAAGGAACATACACCCAGAAACATCAAAAAATAGCCATATATTTATACATTTTTTTCTCAAAAAGTATTAGTATTATCAAAGGTTTTTTGCCAGTCATATTATGTGTATATTTAATAATATTTTAAGGTAAAATTTTTATTGAAAAATATTTAAAAATGTGTCTAATATATTGTTGCATTTTACAATACCCAATATGCAATCTATATCATCTGAAAAAAAAAACTCAAATAATTCTTAAAAAAAAAAAGTATATATATATATATATATATATATATATATATATAAATCTAGTCTTTATCGTAGCAAATTTTAAAATTCGCAATATTTGTAAAATGACACTTATTTAAATATAAGAACAAATTTGTATCGTTTTTGACTGTTAAAAAAATTAAGGCGTTAAAAAAATCCTATGACAAAGATTAGATTTATCACTATATTTTAAAAATCAATCGAGTTTCTTTTTGTTTCACATAAACCATATAGATTGCATATTGGATACCGTAAAACGCAACAGCATTTGACGTCAGCAGCAATATTTGTCATATATATTTTTTTATATTTTTAAAATTAAAATTTCTGAAAAACAATTTAGATATGTTCTTAGAAAATAATAAATAAATATCAGGATGCATCTCATAATTGCTATTTCTCCATTTTATACATATAATTAAATGATAACACTTGCGCTTGAAATATACTTGATCTTCCATCTTGCTGAGAACATAAAAAAGCATATGCAAAGTCATATGCATTTTCCTTCTAACGAACGAAGAATTTTCCATTTTCCGAGACGTATGCGTCAACGATCGATCATTTGCGCACAAGAGCTATATGATCTCTGTTTCGCTTGGAGTAACCTGTGCAGAGCTGATCGATCATTAAGCTCGCCTCTCGTTCGTTCCGCTGCACTTTGCACACGTGCATGCATTGCATTGCACCGCTCCTGGTACTACGCCACACGGTTTTATCCGACCGATTTCATATTCGCGTTGGCGTTAGTGATCAATGTATGGGTGCTGCACACATACACATACACACAAATATCTTGGTGGCACATCTTCGTGGGAGTGCATCTATTTCAAAATGCGAACTTGAACTTAGAACTCGTTCGAACGTGGACTTGTGAAGGATGGTCAGGAAATTGGCAATTAGAGATACGATAAATTCGGGCAGCGATAAATTCGATTCGTGAGAATGGCGGAGAAATCAATTTTAACGATTCTTCGCCTTCCTTGTTATCCCCGTATTAAAATTCAATCGATCGAATCGCTTAATTGAATTCTTTAATCGAACGAGAGGTCGAAGTATGATAATCCCCGACCGAAAGAGCTTTCGGTCGGGGATTATCTATATAAAGTTTTATTTTTTTAAATATTATTATAACTATATGTAATTTGATGATTTGTAAGTCTTGAAAATATTGCATAAATATTTACAATTTGTCATTGCATGTCGATTTTATATGTAAAACTACAGCTTATTAACTGCATTCATATACCTATGCGCTTTTAAAGTATTAATATTAAATTTGTATTTTATATTGCTCTCATAATTTTGCTTCGAATTTTCAAAGCAAAAGTCAAATACGAATTATATTTTTTTCTTATTAAAATATTTAATAGATCTTGTAATAATATTTTTAAAAATAGACAAAAATAATATTTATTAAGCATCTTTTAAATCTTTTATAAACATATGATTATATATTTATATACATAAGACAATATAAATATTCAACTACCAGAGAGATAATTAATCGTATAATAGAAACTTTGGTGTGGAAGAATGATAAATAGACATATTATTCATGCATTTCTCGTATATAGAGCGAAAGAATCATGCAAGGAAATGCACATATGACTCGGGTCAGTTATAAACAATATTTGCAATTCTAATATAGTAACTGTTGTTTTTAATCAAATAGGTTACAGCTTTTATTTGTAGGTAATAAAAAATTACAATAAAAATCGCAATATCTTGATGAATTTCACTAATAAATAAAGAACATTGAAATATTAGGTGCTAATGCGCTATAAGCTGTATTTTATAATAATAATAATACTTATTAGGTATAACACAAATTACAGTTTAATTAATTTATTATAACAGAAACGATAATAAAATAATAATCGTTTTATAGTGAATTATAATGCACATGTATATGTATATGAATGTCATTTATCAAAGTATTTCAAGACATAATGATTAAATACTTTATCATCTCACGTTTATATGTGTAATGTTACAAAGGATAGTTAACAAAGGGATGAATAGAATTTAATTAACCAATTATTTTCTCCATTCACTTTAGAAAAACGTGAGTGCTCTAATTTCTTTTTATATTGCAATTTGATTATAATCGTTTCTGACTACAACTTCATTTCCGATTGTCTATAAAGCTAGTACTTGAACAGCACGAAACGCATGCAAAGATGCGCAGCTCCGATAGATTTATAAGATAAGACGATCCCCATACATCCGTGTCGAATACAGTAACTCAGATATAGAATAGGCACTACGCAGGTATAAAAGCGTGATTCGGGCACGTCGAGGCTGTCAGTAAACGTGTAACACAATTAGACGAACAATTTCCTTTAACTGTGATAAAATATACGTCACGATCAAATAATATTTTTCGTATAATAATATATCAATTTACATCTGATATTTAACAATTTCACCGAGATATTAAATTGTATCTAATCTTCCCGGAAAAGTTTGACATTTCAAACAATTTTTTGAGAAACTGAAGTTTAAAACTTGATAACTATATAAAAAAAAAACCTATTAAATTATTAATTGAATTAAATTATTTAAAAGTTCAATCTCAGTCTGAATTTATATAACAACATTTCTTGAAAACTGTAGACATATAAGTAAGAAGAATACGAATATTTGAATGACTGTGAACCAGAAGTCGATCTATAATGCTCTTAAAATAACAACTTGTAAGAATATATCTGTTGGATTGTCGTTAAACATTTTGAGCAACGATTAGTGAATACTTCGATGAATGGTATAATTTATTCAGTAAAATTGATTGCATGTTCTCTATACTTTCTTTGAGCCACCCTCTGTGTAGGGTGCTGCTCGCGCGGTGTGCTGAGTCAGTTTGGGGGTGTTAGTTAGTTATTATTTCTAGCCCGCACGTCTGACGGCAGTCTGTCAGTTATCGCAAGTCAATGAGAGTACAAACAACATAGTATCTTCGTAAACATTTTTTCTAATACTTAATGTGAATTGATTAAATATTTGGAATTATGTGAATGCAAACGTCTGAACAAGTGTTTCATGTAAATTGTGTAATATCAACGTGTGATTTTAATGTAACGTGTTGGTTTACAAAGCATAAATTATTATTTAAAATTAATATATTGTAATTAGTAAAGAACGAATTAAAATAGTAACGCAAAATATATTAAAATATTTTTATTTAAATATTTAAAATTGTTGCAGTGAAAAGGTAATATTTATTGAACTAATCATATTAATTAATTCTAGAACGTCGAAAAATTTCGATAAATTTGTAAATATTATTATGATATGGTTATACATATAATACATAAAATAATAAATTCGCGTAGTAAAAAAGCAATTTTAATGAACAAATTTTTAAATGTTCAATCATAACATTTGCATTTAAATTATATGGAACTTGGCATACTTTTCTATAAGCGGACATTAAAGATTGGCATTTATTATAGAAGAATCCAGGGAACACGTTATTCCTACATTCCATCACTTAATTCTCGACGGACAAAATGAGAAAACGTGAGAATATGCATTGCAAGAAACGCGAATCGACACGTTTTTGTGAAAGTCATATCGGATTAAAGAACAATCGCTCAATGGAAACGAATGACATTTTATGGACTGTCGAGCTGCGTCAGACTATGGATCATAAACCTCATGTATGAAACAGAAGACATATATTTTCCGACCTGAAGAAACCTTTCGGTGAATGAACTCGACGCGTTATTTTCGATATAAAGACAAGATGCGATGATGCCCATCAACGGCGATTCACGTATGCTTATTAATGATTTGCAAAACGATAGTCTGAACCGCAATACGTGTATTCATCAAATTTAAAATTTACTTCAATTAAAATTTTGTACGAGAATACGAAAGCTATTTAAACGATCGAGAAATGACAGAATCCGCATCCGACATGCCGGAAGAGAAGGAAGCCGCAAACATGACACCCATCTGCGGTAAGCAACACTGTAAAGAGATGCGCAAGGACAAGTTACCCCCTTATCTTCGAGACAGAGGTATGTCGTATTTCTATACTCTAGGAAAGGCAATATATTGAATCAAAAAAGATAGTTTTTTCGCGATTTATTATATATTATAATTGTCAATTCTATAAGCGAGATACAATTATATTTTGAATATCATGATTAAATAGAATATTTTGCTATATATTTTGCTATATTACTAAACAAGTACAAATAGATTAAAAAATCGTAATCATATTTTAATAAAATATTAATTTATATTTTTTAGAGCCAAAAATATTAAAAAATTGAAGAGAGAATCAGTTTTTTCTCTCTGTCAAAATATAATCAATGTATTATTATAATATTAGACAATTATGCTTTGCACAAAAATGTATTAGTTGTTGCAAAAACCGATAAAAGTCTTAGTAAAGTTACCAAAAATGTCACTATTTCTATTAACATTATTCTTTTATTCACATACATTTCCTTCTAAAAGCTTTTAATTTAGTATAGGTACTGCACGTGCATACTATTCACTAAAACTTTGGTTCCTTCTCTTTCTCGCTAATCCTCGTTTTTGTTAAGAAAACAGGGGTAAGGATACAAGTGTAGGTACAATTCTATAGAACATATAAGAGAGTCTGTACACTGCAGGAGCGTAAACGTTCGAATAGATCGATAAGTAAACCTTCTCGAGAGGTCTGCCTTGCGAATGTAAATTAGGGGTGCGATATATCGTCGTGTATGTGTATATGTGTGTAATCGCCGAATGCAGATGGCCGTTCCGGCGCGAATTCGTAATCCGATAACTCGATTGCACGCGAACACGCGATCTCCTTCGAGCTATGAAGTAGTGGAAAGGCCGCGAATCATGTGTATACACATCTCCACCGTCTGAATATGACCGGATTATGACGAGTTTGCCATCCTCTTGGAATTCAGTTGGGCTATACTTTTTATAACAAATACCTATAAATCGAGCGCCCATAATCAGGCCATTTTTGGCATCGTCCATATATTATATTTGCATGGAAAGAACTTTTATCTTCAAAGGTCTTGAGAAATAGGGTTCTAAAATTTTTCTCTAAGAAAATAAAAAGAGATGGTACTTATATCTTTCGACAGAAAAATAATTTATGTAAATCTGAATCTACCAAGCATATTGGAATAAAATATTATTTATTTTATATATTTTAAAAAGTTACAACATATAAAAAATGCACATTAAAGGAAAATAAAAATATGAAATAGGAAATTTTAAAATTATTAAAATGAAATTTTACAAAAATATAATAAAGTAAGGGGTAGTTTTATCTGTGTAATTTATTTTTCTAGAATACGCATAAAATTTCTCGTTGTTATACATAAATAAAATATAAAATTTTTTACAAATTATTTTTATCTTAAAGATTGCTATATTTTAAAATATGATGAAGTCATTTAGTCGCATTTGAATTTCTATCTTCTCTACAATTTATATTATTTTCCAATAATGTACATAAGTATGCAAAATAGCAATCACGTTTTTATTCCAACTGATTCTTAAAATTTATCTTATTGTTAAAACATTAAAAGCCGATTTTATAGTCAATTTGATTGAAAACCTTGTACAATTCACATTTACACGTCTCCTTATTAATTTTCCATCAGACACGTCAAGTCCTCGTCGTAACAAATCAACTCATTCGAGCTGTCTGAGGAAACAAGAACCTTGCCCTCTGATTTACCCTTGACTTGCCCTCTGTATGCTGTCTGTTACACACGACATACACGCAAGAAATCTAAAAGCTTGAACGCATTTATTATTCTGTATTTGTGTATAAACAGCATCGTGTTAAATTTCATTGTTTCCTAAGAAAATAATAAAAACGTAACATAAAAATCTAAATAATTTACTATCAGCAACATGGAACGGCGTAATTAATGTGTTTCTTACTTCTCAGCCATTTCTCTTTTTTTATTTTATATTTTATTTCTTTGAAAAAAGAAAATTTTAATAAAATTTTTTTTTCCTTTTTTTTGCTTTCTTTAAAAAATAAGAAAAAGTAGAAAGAATTTATCTTATTTTTCCTGCCATTTTATTTTTTCTATTATTTTTTTTTTACGTTTTTTATTCATTTTCTTAATTTTCTTTTTTCTTCTGTTCTTTCTTTCTATTTTTCTTGTCTTTAACTTTTCTATTTAGATTTTCGCTTATTCTTCCTTCCTTTTTGATTGAAGGTTTCCAAGTGTTAGATCAAAAATAGTAAACTGACATGCACTTAAATTCCAGCTCGAAATGCGACATGACAAATAGACATTAGTAGGGCATGTCTATCGCTCTCAGCCGGCGTGTCTTCTTTCGGACATTCAGAATTGACACCTTCCGTGCGCGATTGGTCCGCGACGAATTTCGCGAAATACCTGCACGCATAAGCGCCACATTCTAAGCCTTATATAAAGGAACGCGGATTCCAGCACGATTTCATTGATATCTGATATCTTGGCGGTGTGGTACCATCGGATGACAACTAGTCATTTTGAAAGTCGCCTTCGTCTGGTTCTTGTACTTGTAGTCTGCTCATACATATCGCGGGTACCGAAAATTAAATAATGAGTTACGATTAAAGAGATTATCAAATTTTCATTGAACAAAAAGAAAAACAAAGGTATTTGTGTGAATATGATTTGAAAAATAATAATAATATAGATATATAAAGAACATAATTAATCTGAAGATACTTATAAATGTGTGTATTGAGATATATAACTCCATTTATATTAATATTTTTATTTTACAGTAAACGCACTGTAAAATATCAACCACTAATATTTTTTCGGTACCCTTAATATTGCGAAATCAAAAATATTTTGAACAAAATGTTGCTATCGACTCGAGCAGCTCGATATGCTGCTCTCGTGGCTGAACCGGACGAACTCTATCCAGGTGTAAAAAGACGTTTATTGTGGGATCTGTTTTTGTTTTATTTTATGCATACAAATATTTTTTAATGTGTTCCAGAAAGAATACTCTATCCACGTAACACGAGAGCTCTGCCAAAAATACCGGTGATTGGCGGCAGCCCATCGAAGAAGAAACATGCATGGTAACTAAAATGTATAATTTTATTATACATATAAAAGAAATAAAGAGAAAGAGAAGAAAAGAAACAAAATATAATAAAATTTTACAAAATCTCGTAATAATTTTCGTAACAATTTTCTTTTGTTACAGGCTTTGAGAACGCTGGTGTTCGGTTCCTGCGCGATCCCACCTAAAATTGAATGGACAAGAACTGGATTGACTTTAAGACCATATGGCCAGAGTTTAGCATTTGGATTGAGAACTCCTAGGAACACGACGAGAGGCCTCGTCTCTTCGGTGCAAGCCATCATGCTGAAGCACTTTTTGTTCAAATGCGACAGACAAGATTTACGCGGAGGATCCGAAGCGTAAGTGTCTTATTCAGAGACAGCACATAATGCATGTTATTTTATACTTTAGATATATTTATAGCCAAGTTACGAAAAAAATCTTTTGTATAAAGTAAAACGCATTAAATTAAAAAATAATGAAAACTCTCGCATAAAATTGTATAGCTCAACTTTAAAGAGAATTTCTTATGATCGCAGTTTACTGAAACCCTCATACGATCGACAGCTCGAAGTATTGACGTCCGCGATATCGGAGATCATTTGGCGTTGTGCCGGTGGCTTCTCCGTTTCCACGTGCACAAATGTTGTCAGCAACACCGTGCCAAAGGCCGTGGTAGCTCTACCGCAAGACACACCATACATTCAGCATAGTGTACAGTATTTTCAAGACGGATTGACAGAAACGGTAGTTTGTCTTTTTATAATCTTTTACGCCAATAATTAGTTAAGATCGGAAGACAAATGATCGTAAAAACTGCATAACTTATAATTTAATAAATTACTCAGTTTTGTTTATGATTATTTTTCTTTAATTATGAACTATGAATAATAGACTTTTGTCACTTAAAAATGATAAAATTAATCTTCTTATTTAATAAAACAATTTAATTTAATTATGCATACTGCGGTGTATATTTACATACATATAAATGAGTAACGCAGTGAAATCTACGCTTTCTCGTATAATTAACGCGCGAAGAAACATCGTTTATTAAATTATAACACTGCTATTTCGCCAAGTGTGTGTAAGAATACTCTCGAGATTGCGCGATATATCTTTAGAATCGCGTGATTAGCAATCTATGTTTTATGATAATATTTCATATCAGATTCAAAATTACATATTCGCTGAAAGATTGCTTTGTATACTCTAGCTGCACCTCTTCGAATTCCACTCTTTAGAGGATCTTGAAATATTTATTAAGAGATACTTATATCTGGTGAGTATGTTTACGATAAAGAAAGATAAAGTATGCTTTTGACGCATTATTTCTATATCAGCTTAATTTTTTTATTATTTTACCACAAGATATAACTTTTTATCAAATAAACCATCATTTGTATTAAAATAGAAAATTATTTTTTTTTAATTAATTGAGACTTTATATATCATAAAAATGTCTTTATTTACATGTCTATATTTAATTTTCAGTTTCATGACGAAGGTGGATCTGGTGCGAAGTTGCTTTTATATAGCGCAGTGCTCTCGAGAGGCCTCTCAAAGTAAGACATTTTTTGAAATATTTTTATTGGTATTATTTTATTTCAGATTGAAAAATGAGTGGCTTTAGTCAGACAATCACAGACATGTTATTTCTATTAATGTATTTAAATATATATTTAATTATAGAGTTCAGAATGATTTGGAAGATCCAAAGGCATCGATTCTTGGTGCATGTTCAGAGGAAGGCCCAATCAATGTCGTCATCTTTATTTTAACCGGCCGTGCTTCACCTCATGTCCACAACGGAGTACTTCACGTTGGCGATGAAAATACATATGTAAGTCTATTGTTTTATTGAAAAAAAATTAATCCTTTAATATTCACGAATATACATTTATAATTACATTTAGAGTAATACACATTAGTTTTTATGTATCTAAAATTAATATAAAATTTCTATCAAAGATAGTCATAGCTCGAAAAATTTTCAATTCAATGTTATTAATCTAAAAGAGGCAATTAATTTAATAGCAATTTACTGATAATGCAATTAATTTAAAATAAGGCCGTGCCACAATGGGGTGTTCTTACGAGAAGCGAAGTGGGATTTTTAATACACGAAGGTGACGGCAATGTAGGCAAACAGCCGGGTTCTCGTTTAAAGACACCTAGTCTACCAATATGGGTGACTCTCTGCGTTGGTCATCATGGCGTGCTCTTCAATACGAATCGAGAGTTATTGAGAAATTATCACGCAGAACGACGGTATATATTACATATATATTTTATTTATTTTTTATTCCTATTTATTTCTTATTTTTTCTTTTAATAATAATTTATTAATTTATTTATATCGCACACAGTACACAAATATCATTGTCAAAGTATTATACATATATTTTATTTTATTAGATATCACGTAATCGTTTCTATATACAATATAAGAAATTATATGCAGTTTATTTGAATAGGAAATATTATATAGATTTTAAATTATATGCAGTTTATTTGAGTAGGAAATATTATATAGATTTTATGTTAAAAGAAGAGGGTAGTTGACAGAATCCACTTCTAAACTTTTAAGCACGAACAAATAAATAGTATATCCTCAGCACTTTTCCTCGAAGCCGCCTTAATATCATTTATCCTCTCTTTGTACGTGTTAAAGTTTCGAGGTCCAATATTTTACCTGCGGTGGCAGTCACGCTACGTTGACGGTAGATACCAGGGCAAACGAAACTTCCGGGGTATCAGAAGCTGCAACAATGGAAGTCGCAGATATCGCCGCAACACCGTTAGAGAAACTCATTCGCTGCAAGTGAGTAAATTATATAAAATTAAAAAAAAATTACTTTTTAAAAATAAATTTCACGCTCTCTCTTCGCAATTCTCTTTGAAAATTTTACATTTGACTCTATGTGTATACTAAAAAGAAATCAAAATTATTACTTTGGTGAATAACTTCATCATTGCGTGACATATCTGATTGCGTGGCACTCCAAACTTAAATGTACAATAGGACATAATTTAACTTGAAAAAAATGTCTTACTTCCTCTATTAGCTTTTACTATAAGAAAGAAAAGATCTAAGATCGCTATTGTCTTCTCAATTACGAAATAATCGCGCGATATCCGCGAGATCACTCGAGCGTCACCTTGAGCAACATAAAATTCAAGGTATCATCTCTTCCATTTACTGTTTCACGCTGCGCCAAAGATGGCAGGATGCTCTTATACAATGGAACGGAACACCGGTGATGTGAAAGAATACGAGAAAAATAACAATCAATGTGTTAAGCCGTATAATTCGTGATTCCACGTGACACTAATCGATCGACATTCATCGATCGTTGCGCGTGCTTATCTCAGCTTCTTATCATTAATAATATTCAAATATAGATAGAAATTATGTGTCGCAATGTCGAGTATTGCATAATTTTATGCATTTGATTTGACGCTTTCTTAGCATAGCAGATATTTGTACGGTGGTCTTAAAAAGCTTTGTTATTTTATAAAATATATGAATTGTCAATAAATAATTGTTAATATAACGAAATGCCATGTTAAGTTAACAATGTGGTTAAGTTAACAATATGTTTAAAGAGCTATCATATTAAATGATAAATGCACAGCGCCCAAGTTTGCTAACGATATATCGATACTTTCACTATTGATGACATATAAAACATAAATATTATTCAAACAAAAGAGAAAATGTTATAAATAGCGCGCGTTTCTAAGCAAAAAATTATTACGATATTATTAACTGATATAATAAATACTCAAAAATAAAATAAAATAAAAGAGACTTTATAGGTAAAAACTTGGTGAAGGTTTGAAAAGTAAAAGAAATATTTCTAATAATCTTAGAAACTTTTTATATAGGCGTTTTATCAAATAAAAGTTATATTTAAAAAATTATATATATTGATAACGTTGAGTTGATTATTTTTTTGTCAGATTATAATATTTTATTATATGCATATATACTGTAAGTCTGAAATGACCTAAATCCTTGATTAGTCATCCCTGGTTAGATCGAATGCTCATATATCGATACTATTTTATTTAGTCAATAATTAATAAACTCTGATCAAAGTTACCACGCGATCGCGTGGGAAACGAGACGCCTTCTTTGATTTCTATGCATGCAATATGCATCGCGATGCACTTATGTGGGGTGGTCGTATTACATGAAATCTGACAAAAGAAACTTTGGTTTTGGATTGATATGTCGTGCTTCGTGATACTACAATAAAATTCCGTGCAAAACATTTTTGTACAAAAATATCAACACATACAGTAAATATTATTTTATTAATATTTAAATTAGAGAAAATTATTGCATAAATAATTTTCTTTAATTAAAATATTTTCCAAGGGAAAATAAAGGCAAACGTGTGTTACTTTTGCAAAAATGCAAGAAAAAATGTGTGTCGCAATAAAAACTTAAAAAGAGTACAGAAATATTTGTAACAATAAAGTAGAGCATGGACGATAATTACGAAATTGCATATAATTCGTTTCAAAGCAGACAATTAATCTGGATTTGTAATGGTCAAACGTTTGAAGACATTTCCAATGATCGAGCACTTGCGATAAATTGCGTGCACTGATCGTCATCTGATGGACGCACCGTTAGCGAGTCATCCTGCGTAAATCGCGCACAATAACAGAAACTGGTTCAAAGTGGAAAGAACTTAAGACTGTCCGATGTTTATTAACTGCAAGCACCGTGAATAATAAACGACATTTTTCCCAATGTGGGAAAGAGAGGGAAAAATGAAGAGAAGGAACGGAGTACGCTCGTAATTTCACAGACCGATGATCCGCGAAAGATACGTTGCGATGCCATAAGCGAAACGCGGTGCAGGTCTCGTTCCACTTGCCAGCGACCATTTCTCACGATATTAAATCGCAGGCTATTAAAAGGAACGTGACATTCGGCTATACACTAAAGCCGAAAAAATTGCGTACTCACGTCATTTTGCTTGATTACGCGAATATTCCCTCTGCATTAGCAATTCCGTACTGCTTATGCTATTTTATTATTAAGGGACATTGAATCTCTAATATTGCGCCAGGTCAAGGAGTCTCAATTTAGATTACTATTGGTAAATAATACCTGTTAGCTTCTATTAAACAAAATTGCGCCTGCCTACAGTTCGTATTTTTCAAATCAAATGCATCAAGCTTATTATCATCATCATGCTACTAAATTGTGAGATTATTTCAAGTACCTTGATCAAAAGTTATGTATCCTCTCCTCAGCTTATATAAATGAATTGTGTTTCATTCGTTATTACATTTGATTCTTGTTCCTGTATTTTTCTCGTCCATTTTTTCGCATATTCATTTATCAATTTTTTATTTCTCAGATGTTCCTCGAAGAAACCTTCAAGAACGGAAACACTCGCACTCCCATGCTCCGGGAAGGTCGAGGTAAGTCCCTGTAGGGTTCCAAAGATAGGGGTCAGTTATGTGTGCTCGGGCACACATGCATACACACATATCGCGTCCGTTCCCCCATCGTATGTACATGAAAGCAAACACCTGTTCGCGGTGCGATTCAGGTGGACGTTTCTGTTGGTCGTCGCGGTCCCCCCTTTCTGACACAATAGGGAGCCAGCCGACTTCCCGAGTGCCGCTCCGGCCGCTTTGCTCGACGGCTCCGTTTTGTAGTAAAAGAGTTCCACAGCCCTACAGCGCGTCGTAGTCGTAGCCGAGTTTGATACGAGATAGATCCAGGTCGATCGTAGTGTGAAGGCGCACGGAGTGTGAAAAGCGTGTGACGTTAAACGAAAATCAGTGCGGAAAGACAAAACTGCGAAATGCATAAATAAGAGGAGACGATTTTGGAAGTCTGTAGAAAATCAAAAATCTACAACCGCGTAAAAAAGTAAGGGACATTCAATTAATTCAACAAAAAATGTGAAGATACCAAGAAGTAGGGTTTAATTTAAGTAAAATTTTCGGGATTTTTTTTTTAAAACATAGACAAAACTGTCGATTTTTTAATTGAAAAATCAAGTTGAAGAAGAGGATGAGTCGATGTATTTGTGATATAAAATTTGAAAAATGAATGCTTACGTTGGTTATGTAGTTAAAGAAACGTGAGTTGGAAGAGTGTCTGGTCGTGCCGATCGATAAAGACTATTGAGGGTGCAATTCGCATACCCTTTGTGCTTTTCGTTCCAAGGGGCGTTTGACTATAATCAAATGCATGCTGGAGAAAAGATTAACTATCCATGGGATTTACGTTACTAATGAAGAACTAGAGATATCGAGAGATCTTTTATCTTCTCAAACAACCAAGTCGTAGATATATGGACGACGTGCTTCTTCCGAGTGAATTTTGTGGTGAGTACCATTTATCAACTATATTTATATTATTACAATTTTTAATTTAATTTTAAATACAATTGTTTGGCGAGAAAGAGAGAAGCACTGAGTATAATAATTAACATCAATTAAATCTATGATATAGTAACGATTAACTATAAATTTTTTATCTTATTCAATACCACTGTCGAAATCTTTTATTATTATTTGAAAATACACTTTCTTAGAGAGAGAAGAAATATAATAATAATTCGATTAAATTAATTATTTTATTTAAAGAATATAAAAATCTAAGAACAATAAAAATTATTAAAACAACAATAAAAAGAGTATACATTTTCTTGTACAAGCATTCACTTATAAAAACTTCTGCTTTTATATACATTAAGAAGCTTAATTAAACAAGGAATATAACATGATTAAATACGATTATATAACAATAATATAATATATAATTAAATATCATTTTAAATATCGCTAAGTAAAATCAATTATTAATTTTTCGAGCACTGATAAAAAATCACAGGCTTTAATTAAAATAAAAAATTTAACTCGTCGAAACTATCAATATATCCAATACATGGATACCAATACTTTTATACAGTTATCTACTGGAGCCGAGGCCGGAGGCCTTTACGCCGGTTGCCCATCACGCGTTGCGTTTCAATTTACGGTCCGTGAATTTAAGCAGTACTGCGGCCCACATATAGCCAAAGTATCCGGTTGATATACCTTTTCGTATAAATATAAATTCAGTTTATTCGTGAAAGAGTAAACAAGTTTTCTCAAAGATTTTCTTCCTACGTCGGTTTCTTTGTCCTATATTCCTATTATAGCCTTTCAACCACTTATGTCAAGTGACGCTAAAAACCTGCGAAGACATCAGCGAACAATCATACATAATGTACTATTAGGCTTATAAAAGAATATTTTAAAGGGAAAGAAGCGGAACTGAACCTTCGAAAAAAAATGTTTAACAGTAGTCATTATAAATATTGAGAAATAATAACAGAAAAATTTTTTATGAAAGAGAAAATAATAATGTTAAGATAAAACTAAACTGAAAAGATTGTTACGCAAATAATTCTGTAACATAACAATAAGTATTAGTTTTAATATTCGAATTAAATAAAGTATAAAATAGTATATATATATATATATATATATATATAAAAATACACAATACTTTTTACTTATATAAAATCAATATGAATCACATTGATTTTATATAAATAAAAAAATGTGATAAATATGCATATTCTCGTGATTCTCTTTAATATATAGCGGTCATATCTTATTTCAAGCTATAGAAATGAAAATTAAATTAGCGATAACAATATAATAAATATTTAATAATATGAAATGCTTCTATTAAAATATATTAAACTTCTTTATTTGCTATGAAATAGCATGAGTGCGGCAAAATGTAAAGATTAATGTTGGTTGGTCGCACTTTCTCGTACCAACAAGCTTGAAGAAGCTCTACTTCCGTTCTTTCCGTCCAATTGTTAAAGGAAACGTTACGTCGGGTAATTTCAATACCTTAAATGCCAAGAATGTCGCCAATCCTTCGCATTTTGCGATGTCGCGAAAAAATGCGTTTAACACGAGAGGTGACAGTGCGAGGTGTCAAGAGTTGTCTCCGGCGATAAATTGCACTAGTCATTCTGGCCCTGATGATGCGCAGTCCTACATAGCCGTAGTTCCACGTAATAAAGGAGTTTCTCTGCATGCTTTCTAACCACGCGTTATGCTCGTCCTGCAGACATGTTTCGTCGTCGGATGAGGTGGTCATTTGTTCACGTTCATGTATAACTTATGTTCTTACACTCGTCTGCTAGCCTGATGACAAACTTGACGTTACTTGCACATTACTAATAAATTGGTACGTCTAATGACACGTTCTTGCGTCATCTTAATGAACGCTAAAATATACGTAGAAAATAATAAAAAATAAGCAAATGCTTATGAAATCGTTATAGACACCATTATTATTTTTACTCTTTTATTCCCCTCCAAAAAATATGAAAAATCTATAATATATCTATAGAAAAATGAATGAAACATATTTTAAGATTTGAAATGTTCTTTTAGTATCATCTACGTTTTAATAATCAAGTTTTCATAACTTGGTAAATTTACTTTCTCTTTTACCAAACATTTATTTTACCATAAATAATCTTTGATATAAATAATTCTGATTTACTAATTATTTTGTCGATCGAAAATTAATAAAAAATAAAGTAGATGATAATATAAATTATGTTATTTTTTATTTTTGCCTTGTTACTTATAAAAGAGAATTGAATCTTATTCATTAAGAATAAAAAAGCGGAAAAGTTTAAGTAGTCTACGTAAGAAAAGCAAGAAACTAGCTACTAGAAAATTATATAATAAAAATGACAAAATATAGTTCTACAAATTGTGTTGCGTAAAATCTTTGCACTTCGTGTTATTATGTCACATAACTTTACGTCTTTTATGTGTCGTTGACAACATCAATAAAAAATAAATTTTAATAACAAGTATATGCATGTTTATAAATTTTTAAAATAATTTAATTACTTAATTTATTATTTATATTGCGATAATCATTAAGTAATAATAATTATCGCAATATAATTCATATTATATTTTATTACTAACTATACAATTAAAATATTTGACATTTATCTTGAATGATAATGTAAAAAACATAGTAATAATCAAATTATAATTAAAAATCTTTTTTATAATTTTTTGCAAATATCTGTAACATATCTCGCGCAAGGTCTCTTTACGAGAGATGAAAAATTCCTGCACAAAAGAATCAGGAAAAATTTTATAATGATTCTGAGAAAAATATAGAATACAGGAATGTATAGGAAATATTATTTCCGCGAATATGATAAATCGAAACATCTTCTGAGAAACTTTATTTCCACGGTACATTAAAAGACTAAAAGAACTTTCGATTAGTTTGCGTAAGTTTGAATTTCTCATCGTCCTCATTTTCCATCATTGATTTTCATTCCTTTCTTTTTTTTTTTTACAGATGAACGGATCGACGAAATCGATGGACGATGATCTTGAATTGCCATGGGACGAAACGTATTAAAGATCTTGCTACTCCTCTGCTGCATGCTGCAACCGCATGTCGGACAATGTAAGTCTTCTTACATCAGTTTCTTTCTCCACATATCTCCGTCCCTTTTCTCATTGCAGCTTGCACATTTATGGAAATTGATCAAACAAAATATACAATGCTTTATAAGCCAAAAAAATATATTACATATTTCAGATTCTTCCTATAGATTATTAAAAAAAGAAAATCTCTATTTGATCTGTCTAATTACCTTATAAAAATATTATATATAAAATTTATATAGTAAATAGTTATTATATTCCAAATGAATAGAATAATTGAAATATGTAACTTCAATATATTTATTATTATATTACAGTATTTATTTTTATCCCTTTTTCTGTTTTATCTTCTTGAATAAAAATACAGCAATTGGAAAAGCTTACTGAAAGATGAAAGTAAACTCACAGTTGAAGTTTAACTAAGCTATATATAAAATGGATTTTACAAATAATATGCTTATTTAGTACTCTCGCGTTAAATCTTTCAGTTCTATTTTTACGCGAACTGTCAGTGAACTGTCAGTCGCATTTTATAAGCCAAAAAAATATATCATATATTTCAGATTCTTCCTAGATTAGTAAAAAAAGAAAATCTCTATTTGATCTGTCTAATTACCTCATAAAAATATTATATAAAATTTATATAGCAAATAGTTATGTTCCAAATAAATATAGAATAATTGAAATATGTATATAACTTCAATATCATTGATTATTATTACAGTATAAATTTTTAGCCCTATTTTTCTGTTTTATCTTCTTGAATAAAACTGCAGCAATTGGAAAAGCTTACTCACAATTGAAGTTTAACTAAGCTATACATAAAATGGACTTTAAATGATATGCTTATTTAGTACTCTCGCGTTAAATCTCTCAGTTCTATTTTTGCGCGAACTGTCAGTGAACTGTCAGTCGCATTACGTCTTTTTGCATCGGTCGCACGTTCGCGGATGTTTTTGCGCATGCACGATCGAACGATGTTCGACTTTTGGTTTGGTCCTCGTCTATGGCAGGAAAGGAGTTTGCGAAAGACAGAGCGCCGTAACGCTGCGCCGCGCCGCCGACGATATGCCACGAGTTCGCGACCGGAACTTCGCTCCACGGAAGCGCGCATATCTACCCTCTCACACACGCATTAAACAGCCGACGCGTATTCGTCTCTGCGTCCGATACGTGTTCTTCCAGCATCTGAATTTCCGTCGATCAACCGGGAAGAACGAATGATTACTGAATGACATCACGTCAAACTTTTGCCAAATCAATTTCGCAATCAAAATTCGAAATATATTTCTTCCAAAAAAACAATTATTATTATTTTCTTCCCGATTAGGAAATAATTCTATTATAATAATAATATGGAAATGTCCAATTACGCTTATATAATATAAATCCATGGAACCGCTAGCCAAGTTCTGTTTCTTTTCGATTTTATCTTTAATTTTATTATTTTTGTTTATTATATTACTCATTATTGAAATAATAAAAGAACCTGAAGAAGAACGTTTTTCTATACTATAAAATATTAAATCGTTGCCGTTTCGCTCTTCGGAATATTACGTACGATTATATAGTAATCGATCAACATTATGCATAAATCAGACTTGGAGATTTGATAACTGACAGCCAAACAAGATGTAAAAGTGGGTGTCGTGATTTATGTTGGCATTAGAATAACTAAAGCTGTTATTAAGCACAAACAGCCTCGCCGTCTCTTACATTTTATGTAATGTTCTTTATCCGGTTATTACATAATATAATATAATAGTACGAACATACGATAATTTTTATTTTATTGTGTGTCAACTATAACTTTAATAACATTTAATTTATTTAATTTTAAAATAAAAGTGGTTTTTTAGAAAAAAAGTATTGTGCAGTGTTGATTGAATCCGCGCAAAATTCTAACTTTTTTACAAAAAATACATATATATTTTTTGAAAGAATTTCAAGAAAATCTCTTTTTATATATAATTTTATTTCTAAGCTATTTTAATTCAAAATCATATTTAAATTTTTGATTTTTTTTTTGGAAAAGTATTCTCGATTTTCTACTACGCTCTGAATTACAGTTACGTTATATTTACGGTAAACTTAATTGCATTACGCAACTGCAACGCTCCTGGAATGCACATATTTGTGCAGGATCGTTTGAAGTCATTAAAACATCCGCAAGTAATAACTGGACAATGAGTGTTACAAGGTAGTAGTAGTACGCTAACAGCTTAAGTACAATATTACTATGCAACTGCTATTACAAGCGATAGAATTATCTCCTTGCATATTATTTGTACTTAAAACACACGATTAAATGCTTTTTTGTCGTTAACAATTTCATAAAGTATAGACATTCTTATATGACAACACAATACTTATTTTATAAAGTAGTAGTTTTAAAAACGATAAAATATTAATAAATACTCAATAATTACTTATAAAATAATATATCTCTCTTCATATGTATATACATTATACATATATATTTTTTAAAATATTTTAACTTAATTTCTTTAACATGCAAATTATGCATTTTTTTTTAATAAGACTAATATTGAAACGGATATTCTTGAAAATATTCTCACAAATATTTTTTGAACAATTATTCTATATTAATTAATCAGTGATAAAAAATAATAATAAAACTGTATATTTTTTTGAGTTTTTTATTTTTTTATTGCAATTATTAAATTTTATTACAATTGATTAATATAATTATATGGCAAAGTAAACTCTTTTATCGAATATATATTTATCAATAATTAGTCGGACGATTGTATTCGCATTGATCGTGTATATACCGTTAGAAAGAAAGTCCAGATGGAGTTTCTCACAAGATCATTGTCCCACGGTCCTTTCATCATCACTGCGATCCGAAACTTGGGTAGCCCATTGAATTTGTGCAATCCATTGAAAACCGGTTATCCGATTTCGACAGGAAACTGCAGAAACCCCAACAGCACTTATCCTTTATTATATATCTATTGTAAGCGATTATTTTTTCGAGCAATTTTTCGAGCAATACAACTTCTTACTTGTCAGAACAACGCATTCAAATTCAAATAATAAAATAATACTCTTTTTTTTATCAAATTTAAATACTGTTTTATTAATATGTATCTGTTTCAATTTTATATCCTTACAAATGTTTTTCTCTTTAAATATTATAAGGATTCAGAAGGATCTATAATTTCCATAAGTTTCATATGTTCTAAAAAAGTGAAGAATTATATCAACCAAAAATAAATATTATATATAAAGAGAATATAATATTATCACAATACGTAAATTAATAAGACAAATTTTTCTTTCCATTGTTATACAGAATAGAAATAATATTAATTCCAAAGATGCTTGTTTTTTTATAATAAACCTATAGATTTATAATTTTCTATTAATGCTAAAATGATTTCGCTACTTTCTCCTCATTCAAGAAACCAACTCCTTTTACTTACAGTAATGCTTGAGTAATTTCTGGTTCAACGTACAGACTACGCACATTATTTTGTAATGTATGCTGACAATCGCTCGTTTCGTTTTTTTTTCTTTTTCGCAGTAATTAAAGACAAGCGATGCTTCCTGGAGAACGGAGCCACCGCGGCGCATCTTTTTGTCAGCGAGGACCTGCCTGTCCGCGGCATCGTGGGAGTCCTCGGAGTAGTGGGTGATCCTGGCTTACAGGGTGACATCGAACTGAGCTTGCAAGAGCCCGACAGTCCCGTCACATTCTCGAAGAACTCGAAGAACTTGACTCTCGATAGACCACTCGATAAGGAGGGCGTCGAGGGACCAGCAAGTGTCTACATCAACGTTATCTGCGAGAAAAAGCACACCTCAGATCCGGTAAGACGATTTCTTCGTCTTTATTAAATGATGATTACTATCTTCTTTTTTTTTTAAATTTTTTATTATTTTTTTAGTATTATTTATTAAATATATATATTTTTTTTTAATTTAAAGGGATATATCATACCAGTGAACATTCGGGTGACCGACGCAAATGATAATTCACCGCAATTTGTAAATGCACCTTACGTATTGAATATTTCTGAGGTGAGAAGATTATTAATATTTTATTAAGATTTTTAATATTTTTTAATATTTGCGCCGTTATTTGATTTTTGTCACGCGAATATCTCAGGTTACCGTCGTCGGAACGAGAGTCCTACAAGGAGTCCGAGCTGTCGATGCTGATCAACCAGGACCATATTCTACTGTGCAATACGCGGTTTTACCAGGAATTTATTCAGTAAATTTTCTGAACATTTATACGATTATTTATTTCGTTAATTTGTTTTTTATTTCGCTGATTTTTTAAACAGTTATAATGTTCGTCCCAATTTTTTTATCAAATATCTCGCTAATAATTTTATTCATAAAAATACAGTTTACGTATAAAGTTGAAGGAATAATTTTTATTTTTATGCACAGGACTATTTTGTTTTCGTAAACGCTTTGGAAGGCACTCTCGTATTAAGGAAATCGCTAGATTACGAGGCTCTCACCAACTTTTCCGTTAGCATCCGCGCTCAAGTAAGTTTTTTGCTCCTATATTATTAAATAAATTAAAATTAATAGACATACATGCAATACGTGCAACTTTCAAACTTTATTATCATTCTATAACTTTTATATAGATCGCACACAATACACAAAAGCAGCTATATATCTATTATATAAAATTTTTTTCTCAGACATATAATTTAGATTCGACAAAATTGAATAAAAATTGTCCTTTTTATTACAACATTATTTAACAAGATACATAAAACTAATAATGGAATTCAAAGTACTGTAAGTGGATCGCGAGATAGGCATGAATAAATCGATTTAAATAAATTGATTTAAATGAATCATGCGTATCGACACGCAACACTGAGCAACTAAAGATTATAAAGAATCTTGATCGAAAAAGAGAGAGAACTTTTTGTAGTTCTCACGCTTGTAGCCGTACCGCAACAATGAAAGACAAAGAAACGTTTTTTTTCTCTTGATACAATTATATATATTTGTATAAAATAATTGTAATGTTTGAATTACAATTTAATACTAGCAATGATTTGTGTTTTTAGGACCAAGGTAATCCGCCACGTTCATCGACGACGACGTTATATGTTAATGTTATCGATGCTGACGATCAGAATCCAGCTTTTTTGAATGATCAATACAAGGTCACTGTACCCCGTCACATCAAGGGGGTAAGATTGATTTATTTTCTTGCGAAAAATTTCATTTCAATCAAATTCGATTTTATTTAATAGAAGATACGAATTAAAAAACATATCTGGTTATTTTAATTATTATTTTTAATTATATAATATATTCATATATAAATACATATTTTATATATATATATATATATATATATATATATATTATTTTTTATGTTATATTGTTTTATATTCAATATTTAATAAATAAAAAAATAAGAAATAAAGATATAAAAAATAGAGAAAGATTTACGAATTAAAAAACACATTTGGTTATTTTAATTATTATTTTTAATTATATAATGTTTATATATACATATTATATATATATTATTTTTTTATGTTATATTATTTTATGTTCAATATTTAATAAATAAAAAAATAAGAAATAAAGATATAAAAAATAGAGAAAGAGAGAGATTTCAAAGAAAAAGGAAATGAGAATTTAATGCGAATTAATTTAATTTACTTAATTCTTAGAGAAGAACATTAAAAGTGACTCCTGCCGCGATAAAAGCCGTGGATCAAGATATTGGAATAAATGCGCCAGTACGATATACCATTCGAAGTGGAATCTTACCCTTTCTGGATTTAAATCCCGAAACTGCAGAAATCGTCATGATACGATCATTACAGGATAACGAGCTAATGACATCGGCGACTATTGTCATTAAGGTAAAAACACTGATATTGAATGTAGGTGCAATTTAATAAAATACTTTACATATACATATAAAGATGTAATAACGATGAAATATTGTTTGTTAAATAGGCTACTCAAGTAAATAATCCAGATAGATATGCTCTTGCCACAGTCATCGTGTCGCGAGAAGATGGTTATGGAGTTGGACCAACAGCAGGTTTATACAAATATATTTTAATTATTCTTGAAATTATTTTCTATTGCTGACATATTTAATTCGCATATGCTCACATATTTAATTTTATTTGAATGTGTAATAATTTATCGCATAATTAATTATTAATTATCATTATCTAATCATTAAAATAAATTGGTTTTGCAATCAATTTACACATATTATTAAATAATTACATATAAGCTCATTAATTATATATTTTTCATTCAAAATTTAAATTATACATACATCGTTTCGTATGCAAAGTACATAAAAGATGCAAAATGTCAAATGTCAAAAGGTCAAAATGTAATGTACCTAAAATAAATGAATCGAACTTTGTCGATTTGAGAACATATCTTATATTAGATCAAAATGATACCTATCTTGCATATGCTAGGTGGTCGATTACCCGTGAAATTCGTGCTGAAGGATCATCAAACGAACGTACCAGAGGATACGCCGCCTGGGAGCGTACTTCTAACGACAGGAGTCAATAAAGCCGATCCTGTAAGTAGTATAAAAATTCACCTTAACAATAAGAGTGTAAATAAACCGTAATATAGCAGCGTAGTATCCTAGTCTTTAATTCTAGGATTTAAGATTTTGGCTGGTGGGCGCGACCGAGGATCTGGAGAGATTCTCGATCACTAATTCTGGCGAGTTGATCCTCAAAGGTAATTTGGATTACGAGCGACGGGTCCAGCATAATTTCCTGGCTCACGTCACAGATGGATATCATGTATGTCTTTTTAATTATCTTTATATGTAATATATATATATGCATATACATATATGTAAATATTTTTTTAGAATGATACGTCACGAGTAAACATTTCGGTCGAAGACGTGAATGAATGGGAACCTCGATTTCGATATACCCGCTATGAATTTCACGCTCCTTCTGCGAGAGATGGTTCTGTCGTTGGTAAGTTTTCTCTTTATTGTACTTAAACATTGACCTAATTTTCTACTGCTATTCCAAAAGCGTATAACTTTTTAGGAAGATTAGAAGCAGCTGACGGCGATAGGGGCGATAAAGTTAGCTTATCTCTCAGAGGACAAGATGCGAGGTATAAATTATATATCAAACAAAAGCAATGTTATGAGAAAATAATATACATCATCTACATAAAAATTTTATACTTGTGTATCTTTAAAAAATAAAATCTTTTACTCCAAAATAAAATACATATCTATTCATCTAATCTTAAAAATAATTATATTTAATTATATACAATCGTTCTTTCACAGATCTTTCGAGATTAAAGATAACGGAGAATTGGTGCTACGATCGCCAAGTTCATTTAACGGATCTGTGGCTCGATTTATGGCAGTAGCTTCTGATACCGGAAAACCATCCAAGTATTTATACATTTCTCTGTAATTATTTAATTCGACGTTAAAATGGTTATTCCAGATATTAATCTGTATCTGTAATTTCTCTAGATACAGTATGATCCCGGTGATCGTTCATATACCAAATAGCGGCTCGTTGCCGATCGCCGCAAGAGCTGCACCTGCTTGGCTCGGAAGCAGTGTATTATTAGTTGCAATCTTCGGTGCAGTTTTAGGTCTTCTTGGAGTCGTCATACTCATCCTCATCCTTTACATTTACAAGCAGTGAGTAAATTTGTCGACCATAAATTCGAACCGATTCGTAGCTGTATGATGATAAAAATATAATAATATTATCAAAGGAAGAAAGTCGAATGCCAGTAAGATTAAACCAATGGGAAAATATTTAATCGACCAACTGGCTATTACTAATGGTGTTAATTTTTTTTGGGTTCTCTTCAGGCCAATCTTCTTCAGGATACTTTAGAAGGTCCACGAAATCGACATCACGTTTATAACAAATACCTATTATCTCGTTGTTTAATATGTATTAATTAACATTGACGTTTAAACATCAGCCTGAAGAGAACCCAATTCAGGGTCGAAACGTTGCTGCACAAATAAATTAACACCATTAATAATAGCCAGTTGATCGTTTAAATATTTTCCCATTGATAATAATATTAATTATATATACATATATGTAAGAAGAATGTATATATATGTATATTCGGATGTAATAATGGAAAGTATTAATTATTGTTATGTTAATAGAAATTGAAGGAGCATATTTAATTTCTTTTAAGCAAAAGACCCAAAAGCGGTGGTTCAGTCAGTTCTGTAGGTACGGGATATCGTGAGAAATCACCGGTTCCCTCGGCTCTGAGCCCGACACCGCAAGTGCTAGGTGCCAATCTTCTTCAGGATACTTTAGAAGGTCCACGAAATCGACGTCACGATAACGACAGCAACGAGAATGATACCAGTAGCCGTAACGATATCGATAATCCCGTCTTCGGAGAAATCAATGAAAGCTCATACGGCGCTACGATTAAAAGTATGTTCTTATAGATATAATTAAGACAATATTGTATGCATGTGCGAGCAACATATATGTTTATTCTTCAATATGTGTTTGGCATAATTTAATGGAATTTATTTTATTTGCATTTTTTAGCTTTACCTGTCATCTTTTACGCGCGATTTTCTCAAGTAAATAAGCTTTTCTTCCCCAAAAATTTACCAACTATTTTTTATATTCTTCTGACAATCTTCGTAGGATCACATTTTTATCGTCGAACATTTATGACACTCAATTTTTTTTCTTATCTTACTTTATAGGTATAGCATCAGCGAGACAATTACCATTATATGCCAGACATAAAGTGGCACCCGCTCCGAATCCGCCAACTTTATCAGCTACTTCGAATATCCCCAATATTGGCGGATTAGTGCAGAATATGAACGATTTGAGTGCTAGGACCAATTTAGATGCTGGATCTCATGATTCCTCAAATTATTCAGGAGATCCTCCAGATTCCTTGGTACCAGCGTGGCCTGCTAATTCAGCACTGCCAAGAATTAAAAAATTGTCCTGGGACGATGACGATAGGGTAATTATCTCGCAAATAAATTCTTTATCTCAACAAAAAAAAAATAACTTTCACATTAAATAGCAAATTGAAAAAAAAATTGTAATGTTTTCCGAATTAATTTTTGTATACATAGAAATATTTTCAGGACTTTTTTAAAATTATTAAATATAGAAGTATTGAACTATATTTAATTTAAATAATTTAAAAAGAGCAGTATTTCTCTTCCTTTTTCTCTACTTACTACTTTTTATATAAGCGATGTGTTTACAAATTATATATATATAATATAAAATATATAAAATATTCTGTATAAAATTATATAAAAATATATTTAAAAAAATAATTAGCAAGATTACTCGGAAAAGTGCAAATATATTATGCAATTCTAAAAAGCAAATAAATGGAGGACAAAAGAGATAAAAGCATTCATCGTTTTCCAGACCGTGGACAGCGTTGAGGTTGCAGCGGAAACACGAACCGGAGACAATCAAGCTGGCAACGAGAGGCTCAATCTCACCGTGTATTTTTAATGATCATTTATTATGTAAATGGGACGATATCGCCGACGGATGACTGTCGTAAGTGCTGTTCAACCAATCTAGTTAAATAAAATTTCGTTGATGTCGAAATTATCTGTGACTGAACTTCGATGAATCGCAATGCAATGTGACCTTATGTGTGTATTCGGTCCACGGAACATCTGTGTTATCGTGTGTTATCCTGCATTAATTCACATCATCCTGAACGGATTATATTCGTTATCTGCTCGACGCGACATCGATCTCTGATTGCGAAAAAAAGTAATGATTAAAAAATTGCTGGAAATCAAATGGAGAAATCGTACAGAGAGCACAAAAAATGAAATGTTAAATATTAAAATGAAAAGGAGAAGAAAGTAAGCCGAAAAATGAGGGTATAAATCTGATTGAGGCAAGTAAACATTATTAATATTTAAAAAAAGATAATAAAATTTTCTTTTTTTGTAATTATATATTATTAATACATACATGTAAGAAAAAAATTTTTTAAGAGTACTATATAATTTTATTGCTTTGTTAATAAAATTAATATATATATTATATTTGTAACTTTTATACATAAAACATTGTTTATTATTCTACATTTATTAGGCTATCGCAAATTTCTAAACCACAAAATCTTATTTTGTCAGAATTATCTGAAAAAGAAAAACATTTTCTCTCAAAGTGAAGATACAACGAAGAAGACTCATTAATACATAAGAAAATAGATTGCAATTTGCGTAAATCGCATAGTGATACGAGAAAGTACGATAGTTGATTATATAAATGGCGCTATTATATTAAGTGGTCGATGAAGTTATTATGTTCGCACTTTGTTGAAGCCACAGATATTCGAATACATAAAAGAAACTGGGTCAGTGGGTCGATCTTAGCCAGTATTTATTACAACGAGTAAACGAATGAACATTCACGCAAGACTTGAAATTTATGAAATTTTTTGTCGAAGTCAAAACGACAACGTCAAACTAATATTGCAAAAATGCATCTCATAGCAAAGCGTAGTAAATCGATCTTTAACAGTATATTATCTTTAATATCTTTTTACATTATAAATTGTTTCAGTGTAAGCAAGCAATCTTTCAACATGAAATTTAATAATCATTTTTATAATATCAGTTATTGTGCGAATAACAGTAGGTAAGTTACTTCTAATATATACAAATCTTTTAAAAAATTCAATATAGAAAAATCAGCAAACCAATTTGAAATACGTTTACAATAATTTCAATAATTATTTTTTATTATAAAAATTGTTTTATATATATGCTACCATGCTTATTATTAAGCAAGAACGTAAATAATCAAATTTGTCTATTAATGCCTGTACAATTGATGTGTTTCATAATACTCCATTATGCAAAATACATTTATTTCTATTCGGCAAATAAGACTACCGTCACGATCGGTGTCTCATTAAATCCGACGTGGGTTTGCCGAAGAAAGTGACTTGACTTCTAAGGTGGGGAGAAAGTGACCCAGAGAGGTCTGGGCTACGACTCCGGCATCATCCAATCTTTTCCTCTCAGTCGTCTGTGACAAACGATTGGGTGTAGAATACTGTCGTGATATCAAGTCAATTATTTCATGCGAGTCATGTGAGTGAAGGTATTTACACTTTCCAGTAGATATTTTGCGCTTATCCTTTTTTTTTTAAAATATCCAAATGCAACTGTGAAGAAATTCGTTGTGCTTTCAATTTCGAAAATTTCGCGATTCTTATTTATGTATAAATATATAAAATTTGCAATTAATATAAATATATATATCTCTTGATAATATATATTTTTCATTAAAAAATAAAAGATTTTTTTCTAATTATACAACGTGTAAATTAGGACTAAATTTTTCAAAAAGTTTATTTAAATCTTAAAATAAATATCTTCTTTTCCTTATAAGTTTTTTGACATTTTAACATTTCTAGAGATGAATATATTCAATTTAAAAAGTAGATATTAGATGTTACGACACGGTTGCATTGTAATTGTACGCACAAAAGTTTAAATGTATTTATATACGTGTGTTTGAACTTTCAAGGCTAAACTACGTTGTTAGTCATTTTCATAAATGGTGCTCGTGAAAAAGAATTGTGAAACAGTCAATCGGTTACCGGAAACGGTAAACGATTGACTGTTCCGGATTCATTATGCCTTATTATCTTCTCTAATTTATTACGCATCAGTTGCTACGAATGCAACAAAATGCCGCGTAAAGTGCATCATTTTTCTCAGAAAAGCTATTTTTCAGAACAGTTACGAGATATATTTATATTTACAATATAAAATTCAAATTCTAAAACATCTTCCTATTTACATTACAATGCAAACATAAGATTTTCTTAATTTTAAAACAAATTACAATGCATATATTTTGTTTATATATATATATATATATATATATATATATATATCAAAAAATTACCTTATTCATAAAAAGAAATTATCCAGTTATATATGTTTATAAACGTTTATATATCGGGAATTTCCAACGCATTCGTTTGCATCCGGGTATTTGCTATTTCAACATAACATACCTCCGTTAACTTTCCTGGAGAAAGTCAGAGATCCGAACATCGTTCCAGACGAAAAACAGAACGCCTTTATTTCGTTTACTTTACATTTCGCGAATTAAATGCCAGCCTTTCAGTTCCTATCTCTTCAGAGATCTCATCTGCGCTATATTTCTTTGATCTCAGAATCATGACAAGCAAGACGGTCATGCAATTATGTTCTACACTTATGCTTCTCATGTTGATAAGCATCAGTGTAGTATGTGGTACGTATTATCATAATTTATATATGTATATTTTTTAAAAGATATATGTATCTTTTTTTTTAATACAATATATATATTTTTTTAAAGACAGAAGAACAAATAAATGTTTTTAATTATCAATAATTTAAATAAAAATAAGAAAATCAATAAAAAACTTCTACATAATTTGGAATATTTTTTTAATGTTCTGTTTTTAATTATTATTATGCTGTTTGCATATCGCATTATTCTTATTAGATTAATTTATTAAATTTTTTAACAGTGAGTTAAATTCTTAATTTGCATACAAATTAGACTTTATGATTTAATCATCATAATTTTGCTAGCGTCATCCTTAACCCAGTTAGAATTATCGCCTGTTATGAATCATGGTCCATGGGCAGAGATCCTTGAAAATTGGATCGTCCTTCAATCCAACAATTCTCGTGCCGCACGTGCAATGAAAATTGGTGATAAAACTGTGACAGTATCGAGCAAAATTACCACGACAAATAATAAAAGAGACGTTTCCGAAACCGATCTATATTTACTTGGTATGATACAATTTTTTTATCACGTATCAGTATAATTTTTAAGCAAGCATGCTAATAATACGAGATAAATTTAAGAACATCCAATAAAAATTTACAGGTGCAATCGAGAAATTGGTCTACAGAGTGGATCATCTGGAAAAACGTCTAAGAAGAGCAGAAGAATTGTTATACTACGTTATTTCTGGGAACAATAAAATGAAAGGTAAGCTAATTAATAAATCGTTGATCTCGATATCGTTTTATTATTTTTATTATTATTATTATTGCTTTTTCAGAACCTTGCCCTGCCAATTACACGAGAATGGGCCAAAACTGCTACCATTTCAGTAATCGTGATTTTAATTGGAAATCATCAGCAAGTCTTTGCCGTGGTATGGGTGGACATTTAGTCGAATTCGATACGATCGAAGAGAGTCAAGATGTAATAGCCGGTTTGATGTCGGATTCAAAATTGAAGGGCAAAAATTTCTGGACAGGAGGCCTAAATCCAGGACTTTTATGGATCTGGGCCAGCAGTGCCAGACCTGTTCATCAAGATACTAAACAGTCCGTCATTGGTGATGGCAGGTTTGTATTATTTTTGAATAGGATGTATTTTGATATAAAGAAATATTTTAAAATGTTTTTATTTTTTTACAATGTAATAATTAATACATCGGGCGGCAAAGCGTTCGAAAAAAATGTTTCGAAAGAAAGATAGATATAAATATTAAACTCTACTTCGGCGATATGTATTCAATTTTTATTTGACAATAATTTCATTATTTTTATGTACTTATTTATTTTGAATATCTTTTCATATATTTCATAGAAACCATCTAGCTTGAAAACATTTAAGTACATGCTATATTTAAAAACCGATAATTTATCGTGTAATTGCATGTTATGTTCATAGCAAAATGATTAGTTAATAACACTTAATGACGCTAATTATCCAATACAGCGCAGTACTTTTTATTATTGGCTTATATACTAACGTAATATTTGCATAAATGTTTTAACTTCTAGGTGCTTAAAATTAACTTTCAATGCATCGTCGAAGATTTATTCCTACCGAGGTGAGGATTGCGGTCTCAGACAAAAATATATCTGCGAATTGACGACCGACGACGAATCGGCAAACAAGATCGAAAGAACAGCACGAATGTTAATTGATAAGAGTAATTAATCACGATGAATAAAGGTAGAATAGAAAACATATTTTTTGTAAATATATATATATTTTTTAGTAATTTATGTAGTACAACAAATTTATTAAAATAATTAAATTTATTATATTTTTAATCATAAGCAAAAAGGAACAATATTCTTTTTTCAATGCTAATTATACATATATTTAGTAAATCCTACTTAAATTATATAAATAGCAATTTATATAAACTGTATTATTTAAATATCCTCTTTTATGAGCAAACTGCTTTATTTAGATAAATTCTGTAAAAAATTATTTAAATAAGAAAATTTAAATATAAATAAACTAATAAAAAAATTTATTTATTAATTTATTTTATTTTAGAATTATTGTATTATATTGTAGTATAAACAAACATACAAAATAAAAGAATATTCTAATAAATTAATATTCTATAAAGCTAAAAAGTTAATTTCTAAATAATGTCATGTATTTTTTAGAGACTCTTGTTTAAGCTTTATTCGACTAATCTCGGCAATCTTACTATAAAAGAAGATTGATAGAATTTTATAAAAAAATCTCTTCACATTCTGCTACCTTTACATCTGGCGGCATGATGTGCCATTATTAGGCTCCGTTTGCCTTCGTTTACCAAGGACAAAACGTGGTCGCTAGATGTTACTAAACCGCCATTCTCGGTAATCAGATTTTTGCAATCATTATATTATCGGGTTTTACGCCACGACAACAGTCATCAATGACAGCTAACTGATATTTCCCACATTTTAAACCATCTAAACATGCCTCCTTCACACACACGTCATAAGCTATACCGCAAACATACAAATGCGTGCAACCAACGTTTGTCAAAATTTTTACAAGCTCGGAAGTACCATCAATATTCTTTTCGCCAAATGATGAATATGAATCTTTTTCAGGATGCTGACCTTTGTACACCTAATATAAAGAAAAGAAGAGAGAATTCTAAAATAGATATGACAAAAATTAAATCAAATATAATTAAAATAATTAATAATAAATTATATAACTATTTTTTTTAATAATTTGCAAATATTAAAGAAAAATTATTGCTGCTAGAAGCTTATATAATGAAAATATCTAGAATTAATTTATCTAGAATCAAAATAAATATAAAGAGCGAAAGAGCCGTGACTAGAGATCTTGTTGTCAATTTAATATATTGTATTACAATTACAACAAACGTTTCAATCTCTTCGAGATCATGAGATGATTTCTTCACCGATGAAGTGTTATTGTCTTATATGACTCTTTTGCTCTTTATATTTATTTGTATGACTCTTTCGCTCTTTATATTTATTTTGATTGTCTAAAATCTCGTAGAGCCCGAATTCCTTCTTATTTAATCTATAATTAATTTATATAAAAATTTGCATTTAATTTTCAGAGATTAAAAAATTTTTAATCAAATGTAGAACACATATAAATGTTCAATGATTTTTTTCTTTCGAACAATATTAATTCTCTTCTGTATAAAATTAATTTAATTATTACCCTTTCGGAAGAAGGTACGATCAAAAGATCTTTATGCAATTCGGCGCCCCAAGTATTCATAACGCAATGTTTTGGCCAAAGTATCTGCGTTACATGAGGTTGCAAAAAATCGACGGTATCGAAAGGTTTTGCTATTTTCTTAGTAATCTATTTCAAATTCATCACAAAGTGAAAAACATTATTTTAGATGATTATCGAAATTCAAAAATAGCAAAAATTTAAATGTTTAAAAATATTCTTCAAGTGTTTTTACAATCGAAATATAAAATTAATTTTTTATGTAAAATTAGAATAATGTAAAAAACAGCCTATCTTTTATACAATATTAAAAAAATTAAAACACACATACACACGTGTATATAATATAAAATATGTATATATTTTTTATTTTATTCTCAGAATATTTTTAAAACATGTCATTATCTCAATTAGAAAGCCTGATTATTCTAATCTAATTACCTTAGATTCGGGATGAAGATCTCTCGTTGCCAAATTCTCAAAAAAGCTGATATGATTATCGGGATGCCAATCTTGCGAATATATTACCTTATTCCAATGACCGTCCCTCAAAAGCCGGTTTATCGGTTTCACTACTTCTGCCCCATCCTGTCCATAGCCACATTTTCGAAGAGCCAATGTGCCATCAATAAAATCATTTTGAACGTCAACAACCAACAAAACATTTACGGGATATACAGTCGCGTGTATCCATTCGTAACCACTGCAACAGAAATTTATTATGAAAAAAAATGCGCATTATCTCTAATCAAAATGCACGTTTATTCGACTCATTATTCGTGCAAAGCCAAATGTAAGCCTATGAAATTGGAAAAATATTATTGTATTGACTCATAATCAGTTAAATATAAATATTTTTAAGTACAAAATTTTACATTTATATATATATTGTATAATATTTAAAAATTCATATTACGAATATTATTCTATTGCAATTGTAATTTCAATAGAATAATATCCATATGGATATTTTTAATGGTAATTTCAATAGAATAATATCGATTGTATAATATTTAAAAATTCATATTATTGTACAAATATTATTCTACTGCAATTGTAATTTCAATAGAATAATATCCATATGGATATTTTTAATGATGATTTCAATAGAATAATATCAATAATATGAATATTTTAAATGGTAATTTCATATGGATATTTGAATGGTAATTTCAATAGAATATGTTAATGCCATGGAAAACCGCTTAATAAAGAACACAATATATATTTTACGCTGAAAAATATCTTTTATATTTTAACAAATTTATTCTATTCTTGCTTTACTCTTCAAAGTATATATGTAGCGATTGAATATACATATCGCGCGGCTACATCTTTCGGATATATTTAAATAAATTATAAAGGTATTTAAAAAAAACGTTTCTTTTTCCTAAATTTTATTTTCCTAAACGTTTCTTTTTTTCGTATTTTTGCCTCGTGTCTCAACACCCCTATTCTTTATAGAAGGGTTGATGTTGCGCACGCATCACCTGCGTAAATCCTCCTCGTTCAGGGAGTCGTCTTCATTCACGTCGAGCAGCTCGAAAATATCCCGTACTCGCCACTCGTGCTCTTTGACCTCCTCCACGCCAAATAGATGGACGCAGAGCCCTCGGAACTCGGAGTAATCCAACGTTCCATCGGCGTTGACGTCGAATCTCGACAGAATCGTCGCCGAAGACTCCCAAATGTCTCTCTCGGTCTGATTGCGAGCCATGTGCGCCACGTTGTTTCGCATGTCACTTCGTACCGTCGTTTATTTATGTACCAACAAATATATATTCACTTTGACCGCGGCGAACCGATTGTCGGCTCTTTCGCTCGTAGCCAGGTAGCCAGGTAAATACATCGATCGACACTGCCGCAACCTCTCTGACAGGCGATATAGTCGTGGATTTGCACGAGAGTGAGGGGAGGTCTCTCTCTCTCTCTCTCTCTCTCTCTCTCTCTATCTCTCTCTCTCTTTTGGAACAAAGAATCTCTTTACCCTCTCGCAGTTGCAGCTGGAAAAAATATTCCTCTATCCTCTTCTCTTAGTCAAAAATTTTGACACTTTTTCATCTTCTTTTTTCTCCATTTTTTATTCTGCTCCGAAAATTTTCAAATGCTTGACATCTTCATATTTTCCTACCCCTTCTGTCATGAGATTGTTTAATAAATTTTTTTAAATGTATATACATTTTCCTGAGGGAAAAGGAAAATATATATATAAATTTTAATTAATAAAAATTTTATATTAAAAGCGAGAAAATAGATATAAATCATCGACATAATAAGGATCGATATTAATATGAGAAATCATTTTATAAGAACTTCTAGGTATATAGACGTATGCATATGTCTATTGATTATAAGTGTTCTATACATATCATATAACATATTTTACACATAATTTTGTTAATTGCAAAAATATACTATTAAGAACTAAAATTAGTTCTTAAAATGTCTGAAAAGAAAAAAAAATTATGACAAATATATTTTAACGTATTTCAAAACGTTTTTTAACGTTATTCAAAACGTATTTAAAAATAATTATCTTTCCATATATAACCATTAGATTTATTAAAATTTTTCAACTAATAAATAGGTAAAAAACATAAATCGGTAAAAAATTAATGCTTAAACATTATTTCGTGTAACATTTCATTATATAACGATTAAATTGTTACATATTCTATGAATGAGTCTAAAAACTGCCTTATAAAAAATTCTACAGTATTATTTAATTATAGCAAATGAGTTTGTTTACATCAATAAATGTTTAAAGTTTTTTGCATAAATCTGAGCACTATTTATTAAACTAATAATTGCCAGATTGTTTCGAATATTTCTGATTTATCGCAAATTACTACAAAATTTTTATATAAAAAGTTATTTGATAAAATATACTTTTCTAATATTTTTTTATGGGAACTTATCTCTATTCAATTTTCACAATATATTTTAAATTAATGTAAAATATAAAAACTCTCTTTCTATTTCTGATAAATATTTTTTTCTTGCTAAAATAGATACGTATTTTTAGTTTAAGCTATTCATACTAGGAAAAAATGATTTATCGTTATGCAATAGTATGATACAGCACATGCATAATGGTTCTTTGTATTAGAATGACAATTTGCTCTTCCGTCGTATAAAGGTCACTTTTTTATATTGTCCTCTCTCCTTTTATCCGACTTATTATACATTGTCTTTGCTTTATGTATATGTTTGTTAAAACCTGTCTCAAACATCAGATAAAATGCACAATTTTTTCCAAAATATATATACTTAAAAACTTTTCCAACAACTTTCTAGAATGAAAGCAAGACGACAATAAGAGTTAAGACAAAAATGAAAATAAGAAATCAAAGCTTGAACGCTGCCAGATGTTGGCCAGATGGTTCAGGCTTATTCAGGTAAGGTAAAGATACTTGAGCGCTTGGGAAATGATAATGTGTCATAAATAAAATAAATACATAAATCGTTCATGAATCAAGAATATTATGTCAAAATAAGTTTTTCATGTGTCACTATTTGCGTATATTTATATATTTTTATTCCGTATTATTTATATTTTTTTTGTTCCATAAAATTTGCATTGTCAAAACGCTGTCACTAAGATTTACTTGTCTGTGATATTAATAATACAATTTCTCTCTCGTGGAAATTTTGGATGTATCTTTTTTATAAAATGACAATTTTTATCTTTATATTACTGTTACATTTAACAATTATTATAATTATTTCTTTCATAATAAACTTGTCTAAACATTTCAAACTAAACGTATAGATCTAATTTGCAAACAAATATTTTTTTTGTCAGATATACTATATATATATATATAGATATAATAAAATTATCAGATATATATTCTATGTAACACTTTAACATATGTTATCAATATACATATGTATATCAATTGTAAAATAAATATATTGATAATTGAAACAGTTAAAAGTTTTACAATATTTTTATGCATGAATAAATTGATTTTCAATCCGACTTTCAATACAACATATTACATATATTATTATATATAATTTATAAATTTATTTTATTATAAATTTAATTTTTAAATTTAGTTGTTTATATTTTAATATTTAAGTTATAAAATTATTGAGAACAATTTAATTATTTAAGAACAATTACGCAAACATTAATAGTATACAATTGCAGTATACATACAGAATTTATGCTGAAACAAATAAGTTTAAAAGCCACAAAGCTTAAATTTAAAAAATTTTGTAATAAACTAAAAATTATTGCTTAAATTAAAATGTTTTGTTATATAAATATGTTATATATATAGTATTCTCTAATTCACTTTACATTAAGTTTTATATTATAGGAAGTAGAAAGAAAAAGTATACCTATTTGAGAATAAAGACTTATATTAAAATAAATCATTTAGACACAATGAGATAAATATAAAAACTTAAATTAATTTATCTGTAATAATTAAACTACAAAATTTTATCTCTAAATATAAAATTAACGATTCGATTATCACTTGATTAAAATTGTCAAGTAATTGGCATTGTAAGAAAACTAAAATCGTGCATATACTTTCTAATATAAAGGTAGTGATCATGTCTCTTTGATACTAAAAACTGTGAACTTAAAAGTACTGAAGTATTTGGTCTAATATCTATATGCTATGTATATATATTATCACTTTCTTCTCTTTGTGAATTGTATACAATGTCTAAAAAGTAAGATTTGGTAATTTCTTTGTTGCGTTTAAACACTAATCACAATTAATAACATAAATGAGATGTACAAGTATAGGCATATTTTACACTCTAACAATTTAAATAAGTAGATAATAACTAATAATATGTGACATTAATACATAAGGGTCAAGAGATAATAAAATACATACGCATAAATAAATTCTTCATTGTTAATCTATAAATAAATTACGCAATAAACATTTGAATAACTTAAGTAATCAAGTAATCGAGACTTACTTATCTATCATATATAAAATCTTATATACTCAAATTTAATTTAATTATTATTAATTAAATTATTAATAATCATGTAAGTAAACTTCGCGCACAATCTAGTAATCAACATAAAATATCATTTGAGCTATCTGGAAGCTTCCTCTTCCAGTTTTTTAGAGCATGACTTTTGTTATTTTGTAGCATTTGAATTGCGATTTAATAATTTGTCCCTCTCCTCGGTTATATCAATAGCAATTTTATTGATAAAAGGATGTCTGATTTTACCATTAATCGCGACAAAGAATTCGTTGAGCTCTCCTGGAATATTATCTCTTTTTTCATATTCGTAAGCTTGCATTAACAAGTCTAATCTATCTAAGTCTTTTACATATTGTGCTTCTGGAGACTCTTGCTTTTCATATTCCTGTATATTTAAAAAAACATTAATAACATCAATAAGAATACTTGAAAAAATTAGAGCAGTAATAAATTTCCTTACACGAAATATTTGTAATATTTCAGGTCCCTTATCACCCAACAGCTTACAGATGTCCTCCATAGCTTCATCTTCCATCCTATGTTTTTCATCTGGTGGTATACCACAAAAAGGTGTTATATCTCCAACAATACATTCAGCTAAGTCATGAATTAATGTCATTTGCATTATTCTGCAAGTTAAAAAATTATATTTCAGTAAGTTCTTTTGTTATTTTAATGCAATATTATGATAAATAAACTAATAATAAATTTAATTGTAAAAATAATTATAATATTTTATGTATCTTCTAAAACAATAAATAATATACTCCGTCTTACTTAGTTTTATCTAAATTTTCTTTTCCATCCACTAGAAAAGACAACATTGCCATTCTATACATGTGTCCAGCGATTGTTTCAGGCTCAGGTATATTCCGCTTTACCCATCCTGTTCTTTTCATATGCTGAAAAACAAAAAAAATTTATATGAAAAAACGTATTATATTCATAACTCAGTTTTTATAAAGATTTTGTTTCTTTCAAAAATATATTAAAGAAAGATTACACACGATTATAATAAAGTATAAGTGATAAAAAATATTACATTATCAAATTAACTGTTTTTTAGATAGGAATTTTATTTCTTTATCTAGATTTCTTTTCATATTTATATATTTTCGTTATTTGATTTTATTTATATATGTTATATAAATTGTTTTTTTTTTCAAGCTTAATATATACCAATGATACACAGGACTGTTACAATGACTTTCAAATAAAGAACGACTGTTGACGTTTCAAGACTCCATTATCACAACATTCACAACAAAATTAAGACAGCAACGAAAGAAACGTTTTTTCCTCGCAATTATCAAGAATGCATTACATAATGCACAATGTATTTCCACATTTCCTTCTTGTCGCAATTTCACAATATTGACATAATACAAAAATCTGACAGATGACAGATCGTACGAGATACATTCCTCTCAAGCATGGCTTTTTCTATCTTTCTTTCTTCTAAATTCTCGCAGAACTGTTAAATGACTGACATAAGAGAGAGTGAGAAAGACTTTACATTGCCAATTTTTTGACTGCGAATCATACGAGGTCATTTCGAAATATGTATACGTAGACGAAAAATATGTATTTCAACAACTTATCATAGGATCAACCTCACCTTCAACCGACCGACCAGCTCCATAAATTCCTGCAGCTTTTTCGTATCTTCCATTATGACAAAAAATTGCCAAATTTGCGCTGTCTTTTATACCTGACCTTCGTCGACAGACCACTTCCACGAGAATATCAAGAAAGAAAAGAAGAGAATGGTCAAACGCTATAATGACGCCATACGCAGGGTTAGATTAGGTTTGTTAGGTAAGGTTGAGTGCGTTCAAAACTGGTATCATAATGGAGTAATATTTGATTGACCAATCAGAGCGAAGAAGTCCTTGTCCTAAAGAGCAAGAAGCTGATTGGCTGGCGCCATTTTTGGCCGTGTTGAATGCGAGCTCGAAGAACGAGAAATTTTGGCATAAAATGCGGGTATATACCATACTTTCTCGTGTAAATTTTACTTTTACTTTCTTTTTGCTGATTTTTTGCTAACTTCCTTTTGCTGATTTTTTTTATTCGTTGGACGTTTTGATTTCTGGGGGTCAATTGTGTAATTTTTTCTAAAGTGAAAATGTGAAAAGTGAAAAATTTCTTCCAATTTTTTTTAAATCAATGCGTGATTGGAAGAAATTTTTCACTTTTCACATTTTCACTTTAGAGTTTCGACGCCCTGATTCAGTATTCGATTCTCTTTCGTTATTCGTCAGCAGTATTCAAGGAATAATTGTTTTCTCTTGACAAGTAACGAAAGGTAATAAATCATTAATTAAGGGATAAGTGTTTTCTATATTCTTATGATGATTATTTCGCTAAATTGAGTCTTCTTTTTAATTACGCGTCGAGATTGACATATAACCAAAAATAGAATACTGACAGTTGATCTGTCAATTTTTTCATCTGTCATTAAAACCTGATATTTTACATTTTTTCCGGAAAATTATAATATATATTTGTAGAAGACAATTTACAAAGCTTATTGTGTAATATTTATAATTTTTTTGGTAATTTTGAAAATGGTAAAAAAGTTCTAAAGAACAATCACTCCAAATAACGAGTATAAAATTATCGTGCTAATAAGAATTAATAGCGAATTATAATTAAATTATTATTACAACTCAATATTATTTAAATAATATTATTTAAACATTTCGCATAAAAAAAGAAAAAAATGTGTTATAAAACTAGTATAAAATGTTATTTTGTAAGGTTAGATATTGACAAGATATTGATAAAGATGATGTCATCTCTTTGAATGAGGAAAAATGCGCAAATATATATATATATATATATAAGATTATAAGATATATGGTAAAATAAAACCACACACAGATTAACCATTAATGTAATTTTATTTGCAGAAAATTAATTTCTAGATTCTCTACTTTTCTAAAGGATTTTATGCAAATATAATATAATGGCTACAAATAATGAAATAGCTGCAGATGTAGTTTGGGTAAGTTCTTGATTTTAATACAACCTTATATTGAACTACTTTTAATTTAGAATCATTGTCTTAGTATGATTTAATTGTAATCATTGAAATTTACTTGTATTTGTTTTTTTAAAGAGTTTAAAATTTGAAATTAATTAATTAATTTAGCATTAGCTAAAGAAATTAGTTCTTTGAATTTTTTTAAATTTACTTAACAGAAAGTTTTTTTATATTTTTTGTATATCTCTTGTATTTATTTTTTAGGAAGAAATGAAGAGTCTTGCTATTGAACAGCAGCAATGCTTCTATGAATGTCTTCCTGACTGCACAGAATATAAATTTAATGAACATAAATATTTACAACACAATATTGGCTATGCGATTTTTGGATTACCAATGAATAATAAAGATGCGAGTACAACAAGAAACGATTGTTGTTACTGGAGATCTGAAAATTCAAATAACACAGATGCAGATATAACTGATACAATAGAATATGATGGAAAAGCGAAAAATATCATAGACATAATATATAATAAGATTCGTGAATGTACAATAGGCACTGATAATACTCAACCAATTTATTTTGGTATAATTTACAATATAATATTCCGTCCTAAAATGAATGTAAAACCAAAGAAAAAAGAAGTAAAAAAGGAAGCAAGAAAAGAAACAGATGTATATGAATCAGTAAAACAAGAAGAAGAAGAAAAAGAATTTGCACTTATCCCCATTTTTAAAATTAGGAAAAATATTCAAAAAGAATCCAGCAATGCAAAACAAACAGAAAATACAACCACTAAAGAACAAGCATATTATGAAACGTTGTATATTGATACTTCTGGCAGAGTATATAAGAGTTGGGAAGATTATATAGAAAAAAACAATTTACCAAAATGCACTATGATTCTACCCAAAGGTGGGTTTTATCAAGCAGATTTACTCTATCCAGTAACAGAAGACTATTCAACAGTTTGGCTGGAAGTCAGAGAATCTCCCGCATGCCGATGGACAAAAAGAATCTGCAATGGGATAGATGTTGTTTCTAATATTGCTGGATTTGGCACAGCTGGCTTAGGTGTTGCAGCATTGTTCACACCTCTCGCACCAGTTGCTGTTATAACAGGTAAATTGTCACAAGATGTAAATGATGTAATATCAAAGTAATATATATCATAAATTTCTTAATATATATATCATATATTTTAAGCATTGTTTATGTAAAATTTTATAATCTATTATTTCGTATTAATATATAATCGCAGTATGGATTTAGGACATTTTATATTTCATATATAATATTTAACGTGCTCCGCAATATATTACAGGTCTTGTTGCTACTGGTATAACTAGTGCTTGGACAGTCGGCCGGTCTTCTCAGGAATTGATAGATCGTAGGAAACATGAACAATCTATACATCTCATGGATAAAGAGGCGCTACCTCATTGGCTTGGTATAGCTGGTACAACGTTTGGTTTAGGAGTAGTTGGAGGATCAGCAGCTCTATCCAAAGCGGCTGCAAACGGAAAAACGATACCCACCTTAGCAAAAGCAGCGTTTAACACCGTGCAAGGTGGTAATCTAATCTTTAATGGCGTTGGTATCGTATATCAGGGTTTCTCTTTAGTAGATAAATATAGAACAGACAAGACTGTTAGTCACAAAGACGCATTATATTTGGCAATGCATGTTATGTTCTTCGCCGGCAGTGTGGTAAAGATTCAATTCGCCAATGATATTGTCGAGAGTACTCAAGGTAAAGTCATTAATGATTATAAAGATACTCTGTGTAAAAAGAATCTACGTAAGAAGTTTAATCGCGTCGCGCGAAAGGCTGCCGAGAGTAATACATGTAAAATATCTGAGAACGCGGAAGTAATACAATACATAAAACATCGTGAACAGATATTATCTGCTAACCAGCCTGTTTCTCTTGGTCAAACATTAGAGAAGAATTCACATAATATTGTATGGTCGCTCGAACATGGTAAATTGAAAGTCAATGGAATTGTATTATTAGATCCTAAGGAATTTGTTCTTTGTCTCATGAAATCGGGTATATTTAATGAAAACTGTTCATCTGTCTCCCGGAACGATGATAATTCTATCAATGATCAGTTAGTAAACTTATTTCATGATTTATTAACGAAATTCTATTTGAGCGACGCTTGTCCCAGGAGTAAGAATCTACCAATGATTCCTGATTTTGAACCACTTATTAAAGATATGAGTTCTATGAAAATCGATGAAAAGTGTCTAAAAAAAGTGTTTAATATTGTTGAAAAATTAATGAAACGTTCTCAAAATAAGGAAGATTTTTTACTTCTAGCTTTTGGCTTTGTTTGGCAGTATTGTAAAGCAAACTTAAAACAATGGGGCATTGATTCGTGTCATCGCATGCGAAGCAATTCAGGCTCCAACATTTTACAGAAGATTATTATTGCTGTTTCCGAAGCAATCGACATAATAATTAACAATCTTTGTTATGCCTTTGCACAATATTTAAAAGCTAATTCATAGAACTAAATCAAGTATAATTTAATATAGGAAACAAAAATTAAAAGTAATATGCACAATAACTTATAGAAAGAAGAAGTGAATTTTGTAAAAATATATTGCATGAATTAATAAGCTAATAGAAGTATCAGTTTTAGAATAAAACAATGCCTTAGAGGAACTTTTGACATACAAATAATATGATGCACGTGATAGCTTTCTAGTTATAATGTTAATTATCTCTATAAAAAGAAGAAACGAAAATATATTTATATTATATAAAATTTTATAATATATAAAAAAAAATATTTATATTATATAAAATTTTATAATATATAAAAACTTTGGTTAAGAGAAAAAGGCTCTTTGAACTTATATACATTTTGGATTCTTTCAAAACATGTTCCAGCCACTGTGCCTTGCATTATGAATGTATTCTATTTATGGATTATAACATAATTATCGTCGAATATAAAAAAATATGTATAACTCCTGGTAAACACATCAATGTTATAATTTCCCACTCCACAATGTAACCACAATATAATAGATATGTCTTGTAATGCACATTGTTGAGTGGAAAATTATAACATCAATGTTATATTACTGTTACATAGTGTTTACTGGAATATCATTGTCATATGTTATTATTTCATTAATTAAAAATGATATTGTTTAGAAAAAAATTATTAAGTGAACTATTATATCAATTAATTTTATATTTATTGTATCAATTAATTTATATTTACAATTAAGCAAAGAACACGAACAAATGTAAGATATTGTATTAGGATAAAAAAATAAAATAAATGAACATATTATTTATATATTTTTTATATATTAATATTTTATACTTTTATATTTATTATGTATAGTTACAGTATTATATAGTTATTGTTTTTAAATAAATGTATATATATATATATATATTTAAAAACAATAAATATAAAAATTTATATATATATATACATAATTTATATTTATAATATTGCTATATCTCTTCCGTCAATATATAAATTTTTATTTTTGATTGACCAATCAGAGCAAAGAACAAAGAAGCCTTGTTCCAAAGAACGAGAAGCTGATTGACTGGCGCCATTTTTTGTCGCGCTGTGTGCAAGAGCCCTAAGAACGATAAATTTTTAACATAAAATGCGGGTATTTCCCATACTTTCTCGTGTACATTATATTTTTACCTTATCGCTGGTTTTTTGGTGATTTAATCCTTTTGCTGATTTCATTTATTCGCAGACGTTCGTTGGGCGTTCACCGAGTACGACTGATTTCTAGTTGTGTTCGATTCTCTTTCGTTATTCATCAGCAGTATTCAAGGAATAACTGTGCTAAGTTTTCTCTTGGAAAGTAACAAAAGGTAATAAATAATTAATTAAGGAACAAGTGTTTTCTATATTCTCATGATAATTATTATATATAATATACTACTGACAGTTGAACTGTCAAATCTTTTCATCTGTCATTAAAACCTGATATTTTACATTTTTTCCGGAAAATTATAATATATATTTGTAGAAGACAATTTACAAAGCTTATTGTGTAATATTTATAATTTTTTTGGTAATTTTGAAAATGGTAAAAAAGTTCTAAAGAACAATCACTCCAGATGACGAGTATAAAATTATCGTGCTAATAAGAATTAATAGCGAATTATAATTAAATTATTATTACAACTCAATATTATTTAAATAATATTATTTAAACATTTCGCATAAAAAAAGAAAAAAAATGTGTTATAAAACTAGTATAAAATGTTATTTTGTAAGGTTAGATATTAACAAGATATTGATAAAGATGATGTCATCTCTTTGAATGAGGAAAAATGCGCAAATATATATATATATATATATATATATATATATATATATATAAGATTATAAGATATATGGTAAAATAAAACCACACACAGATTAACCATTAATGTAATTTTATTTGCAGAAAATTAATTTCTAGATTCTCTACTTTTCTAAAGGATTTTATATAAATATAATGGCTACAAATAACGAAATAGCTTATATAGATGTTGATTGGGTAAGTATTTGATTTTAAGCCATATACAACTTTATACTAAAATGCTTTTTAATTTAAAATCATTGTCTTAATGTGATTTAATTTTAATCATTGTAATGTACTTGTATTTATTTTTCCAAAGAGTTAAAAATTTAAAATTAACTAATGCTAAAGAAATTAGTTCATTAATTTTTAAATTTATTTAGCAGAAGTTTTTTTATATTTTTTGTATATCTCTTGTGTATTTATTTTGCAGGAAGAAATGAAAAGTCTTGCTATGGAGCAGCAACAAGATTTCTATGAATGTGTTTTTGAATGCAAAGAATATAAAGAGAATGAACATCAATATCTAAAACACGATATTAGCTGTGCAATTTTTGGATTACCAACGAGTACTAAAGATGCAAGTACAACAAAAAAAGATAATTGCTATTGGAAACCAGAAAATACAAATGACCTAAATGCAGATATAACTGATACGATAGAGTATGAAAAAGAAGCTCTAAATGTCAGAGATGTAATATATAAGCAGATATGTGAATGTACAACAGGGAATACTAATAATACTGAACCAATTTACTCTGGTATAATCTACAACGTAATATTCCGTCCTAAAATGAATGTAAAACCAAAGAAAAAGGAAGTAAACAAGGAAACAGAGAAAGAAACAGAAGAAGACGAATTAGTAAAACAAGAAGAAAAATTTGCAAAAATTCAGCATATACCTATTTTTACAATTAGAAGAAATATTCAAAAAGAATTGATAGATCGTAGTAATCATGAACAATCTATGGATAAAAATGCTTTATCTCATTGGCTTGGCATAGGTGGTACAGTGTTTGGTTTAGGAGTACTTGGAAAATCAGCAGCTTTAACTAAAGCTGTTGCAACGAATAAAAAGCAAAAAAAAAATACAACCAAAGAACAAGCAGATTATGAAACATGGTACATTGATATTTTTGGCAGAGTGTATAAGAGTTGGGAAGATTATATGGAAAGCAATTATTTACCAGAATGCACTATGGTTCTACCCAAGGATGGCGTTTATCAAGCAGACAAATCCTGCCCAGTAACAGAAGACTATTCAACAGTTTGGCTGGAAGTCAGAGAATCTCCCGCATGCCGATGGACAAAAAAAATCTGCAGTGGAATAGATATTGCTTCTAATATTGCCGGAGTTGGCGCAGCAAGCTTAGGTGTTGCAGCATTGTTCACACCTCTTGGACCAGCTGTAGCTGTAACAAGTAAATTATCACACAAGATGTATAATTGACATAATATCAATGAATCATATATTTTATATATATATATATGTATATATATATATATATATATATATATATATATATATCAATATCATACCTTAAGCATTGTTTATGTAAAATTTTATAATCTATTATTTCATATTAATTGCAATTATGAATTTAAGACATTTTGTATTTTATATTTAACATGCTCTGCAATATGTATTATAGGTCTTGTTGCTACTGGTGTAACTAGTGCTTGGACAGTTGGTCGATCTTCGCAGCAATTGATAGATCGTAGTAATCATGAACAATCTATAAATCCTATGGATAAAAATGCTTTACCTCATTGGCTTGGTATAGCTGGTTCAACGTTTGGTTTAGGAGTAGTTGGAGGATCAGCAGCTTTAACTAAAGCTGCTGCAAGCGGCCGAACAATCCCCACCTTTGCAAAAGCAGCATTTAATACTGTGCAAGGTGGGAATCTAATTATAAATGGTTTCGGTATCGTATACCAGAGTTACTGTTTGATAGATAAATATAGAACAGAACAGACTGTTAATCGTATAGACGCATTATATTTGGCAATGCATGTTATGTTCTTCGCCGGCAGTGTGGTAAAGATTCAATTCGCCAATGATATTATCGAGAGCACTCAAGGTAAAGTCATCAATGATTACAAAGATACTCTGCATAAAAGAAATCTGCGTAAGAAGTTTAATCGTGCCGTGCGAAGGGCTGCCGAGAATAATACAAGTAAAATATCTGAGAACGCGGAAGTAATACAATACATAAAACATCGTGAACAGATATTATCTGCTAACCAGCCTGTTTCTCTTGGTCAAACATTAGAGAAGAATTCACATAATATTGTATGGTCGCTCGAACATGGTAAATTGAAAGTCAATGGAATTATATTATTAGACCCTTTTGAATTTGTTCGTCGTCTCAGAGAGTTTAATTTTAATGAAAGCAATTCATCTGTCTCCCGGAACGATGATAATTCTATCAATGCTCAGTTAGTAAAATTATTGCTTGATTTATTAACGAAATTCTATTCGAGCGACGCTTGTCCCAGGAGCGAGAATCTACCAACGATTTCTGATTTTGAAACACTTATTAAAGAAATGAGTTCTATGAAAATCGATGAAGAGTCTCTGAAAAAAATTTTTAATATTGTTGAAAAATTAATGAAATGTTCTCGAAAGGAAGATTTTTTACTCCCAGCTTTTCGCTTTGTCTGGCAGTACTGTAAAGCAAACTTAAAACAATGGGGCATTCACTCGTATTATCGCATGCAAAGCAATTCAGGCTCCAACGTTTTAAAGAACATTATTGCCGCTGTTTCCGAAGCAATCAACATGATAATTAACAATCTTTGTTGTGCTTTTGAACAATATTTAAAAACTAATTTAAATAATTATAACTAAATCAAGTATCATCTAATATAGGAAACAAAAATGAAAAGTGATATGCACAATAACTTGTAAAAAAAGAAATTAATTTTGCATAAATATATTACATGAATTAATAAGCTAATAGAAATATTAGTTTTAGAATAATACAATGCCTTAGAGAAACTTTTGACATACAGATATATGCTGATACACATGATTGTTGTAACTAATGTTAATGTTATATACGTTTATAAATTTATATTAATATTATAAATGTATATATAAAATATTAAGTTTTAAACTCGAATGAAAATTACATTAATTAAAATAAAATTTATAGATTGTAAATATATAATATATTTTTATGTAAATACAAATATATATATATATATATTTTTTTTAAATATTTGTCATAAAACTTTGTTTAATATTTTCTTAATAAAAATAAACAAGAATATTTATAAGAAGAAAAAGATGTATTCATAATATATAAAAACTTTTGTTAAGAGAAACAGGCTTTTTGAACTTTTATACATTTTGAATTCTTCCAAAACGTGTTCAGCCACTGTGCCTTGTATTATGTATGTATTCTATTTATAGATAACATATAATTATCAACGAAAATAATAAATATTATCTATATCATTGTCATATGTTTTATTAATTAAAAATAATATTGTTTAGAAAATTATTAAGCAAACTATTATATTAATTTTTATACTTACTATATCAATTCATTTATATTTACAATGTTTTAAAGAACACGAACAAATGTAAGATTGTATTAGGATTAAAAAAAAATAAAATAAATAACACATGTTTATATATTATATTATTATGTATTTATATATTATTATGTTGTTTATATATTATATTATGTAATTACAGTATATATTATATTATGTAGTTACAGTATATATTATATTATGTAGTTACAGTATATATTATATTATGTAGTTACAGTATATATTATATATTATGTAGTTACAATATGTATATTAGATATAGTTATTGTTTTTAAATATATATATAGGTGTAATATTAAATACACATAAATTATTTATATATTATAATATATATTTATATTATATACTATATATTATTTATATATATATTTATTATACTAAAATATTATTTATTTTTATAATTTCATCTAATCTATCAGTCATTGAGAATTTGTTCTTTACCAAACGCGTAAAATTTGAATACAAGGACGAGTCGTCGCTTTCATGCGGACTTATCTTAACACGCGCGTGCGCCCCGATAATTGAGAATCGGCACGCGATCCAGTCAGCTGACCTGTCTTGTGATAGCAGCTAGGCTGGACTCGGCGAGAGTGAGAGAGGCACGTATTCACGTTCGCTGGCTGGACTGCGCTCGAGAGAACGTTCGCATCTCCTCGGTAAGTGTTCAATTATTATTCGATCGATCGCGTCAAAGTTCCTCCTCCGGGTTATCCTAATAAAGGACGATCCTGTCGAGCTTTTCGCGGAAAAATTCGAGCGAACGAGCGCTTTTCAGCGCGTGTGAACGATAATATCGATCCAGTGTGCGGCTTTGCGTGCGCCATCGTCGTCCTTTTTCCCCGATCGAGCGCGAATCCGCGAATTTACAGATTCCTCGGCGACGACGCACCTCCTTGGTCCATCGGATAGTCTTATCATTGATACTCGCGACCGCGTTCGCGAGAAAAAAAACACCGTTCTCTCGCCTAGCAGACGGCTTCACGGGGCTACGCCTATTTTTTGAACGGCCTGCTCACGTGAATCTCAACGAGCGTGTGACAGCTGTATTTTTCCGAGGCTCCTGGCCTCTGCGAAGCGACCCGGAGGCTCCCTCGACGCGAATAATAGTCCGAAAGTGGGTCCGTTCTTTTTACATTTGCGTTTTTCCATGTGTCATTTATTTTATTCGATGTAACGAGAGAATATAGACTCACAATCAGTCTTTCTCCCTTCCTCTCCTTCTCTTTCTCTCTAATTTCTGTCAAGGAAATTTTTCTCCTGCGTCGATTGTTTAATTAACTTTTCCCTTTCCTTACCAAAAAATCTTATTTAAGAGCAGAAAAATGTAAAAAAAAAAAAAAAAAGTAAAAGAAACATTATTATAATCGTTTGCATGTTTATTTTCAGGACTTGACAATTTTCCAATTCTGTCATCTGCAGAATAGCATTATCAAGATTACACACAGATTGCTAAATAATATTTTTCTTTTTACAGATTAATTAAATATTCAAAATGACGAATCAAAGTTTGGCTAAGATTGCACATGAGGAGCGGGAGGGCAAGTTTGGATATGTCTACGCAGTATCTGGACCTGGTTAGTTCTTATCTTGCATTCTTCAGGTTTTAAATTGTCTTGCATACAACACATATTTATGTATATTTTGTTACAGTCGTTACCGCTGAAAAAATGGCTGGATCAGCTATGTACGAGCTGGTGCGAGTTGGTTATTATGAATTAGTAGGAGAAATTATTCGATTGGAGGGTGACATGGCTACAATACAGGTATACATAATATTCAAATCTAAATATATATTTTATTTGCATTTTGAAATGTCAAGATAATTTGAATAATTTTATAATATATATAATTTTTATATGTATATAATTTATATATTGCTATATCTCTCAATTTATAATTTATAATATTTTATATTATTAATTATAATTTATGATATTAATTTATAATTTATAATATTCATAATAATATTTATAATATTTAAACATTATAATCTGTTAACATATAATTTATATTTTCTAGGTGTATGAGGAGACAAGTGGAGTAACAGTCGGTGATCCCGTCCTTCGCACTGGAAAGCCACTGTCGGTCGAATTGGGTCCCGGTATCCTCGGCAGCATCTTCGACGGTATCCAACGTCCGTTGAAAGACATCAACGAGCTTACAAGCTCGATCTACATCCCGAAAGGCGTCAACGTACCGGCACTTTCACGTACCGCTAGCTGGGAATTCAATCCGCACAATATAAAGAACGGCAGTCACATCACAGGAGGTGACATGTACGGCGTCGTACACGAGAATACCTTGGTAAAGCATTGGATGATCCTGCCACCTAAGTGCAAAGGCACTGTCACGTACGTCGCGCCTGCTGGCAACTACACTGTTGATGTAAGATTACATTTTCTATATTATTTCTTCATTTCTCTACACCTTGTGACAATAGAAACTTGCTCAAGTATTGCATTTAATTTTAGGATATCGTACTGGAGACCGAATTCGACGGCGAGAGGCAGAAATATACTATGCTTCAGGTACGAAATGCATTTCTTTGAGTGTAAATGTGAGAGTTTTTGAATGCGCATGTTGTGAATTTATCGTTACATGCATGCAGGTGTGGCCAGTCCGTCAACCTCGTCCAGTCACTGAAAAACTGCCAGCTAATCATCCTCTACTCACTGGCCAACGAGTTTTGGACTCTCTCTTCCCGTAAGAATGTTTGTCTTCGAATGTCGAAGCACGTTTCGTAGAAATATTTATAAGATCACGTGTGCTCCAGATGCGTCCAAGGTGGAACCACGGCTATTCCTGGTGCTTTCGGTTGCGGTAAAACTGTCATCTCACAAGCCCTCTCCAAGTACTCTAACTCTGACGTCATTATTTACGTCGGTTGCGGAGAACGTGGTAATGAAATGTCTGAAGTATTACGTGACTTTCCCGAGTTGACTGTGGAAATTGAGGGTGTCACCGAGTCCATCATGAAACGTACCGCTTTAGTCGCCAATACGTCCAACATGCCGGTGGCTGCTCGTGAAGCATCCATTTACACAGGTATAATGTTGAGAAAAATTCATATATCGCAATTCAATAATTACAAAATAATATGAATATAAAACGATATATACCTAATTCATTCATTGCTTGTTATACACAGGTATTACTTTATCTGAATACTTCCGAGACATGGGTTACAACGTGTCGATGATGGCGGACTCGACATCCCGTTGGGCAGAAGCCCTTCGAGAAATCTCAGGTCGTTTGGCTGAAATGCCTGCCGATTCCGGTTATCCTGCTTATCTCGGTGCTCGTCTAGCCAGCTTTTACGAACGCGCCGGAAGGTATGTTATCGTGTATTATGTAATAAATATTAGTCCAATCTTTTCCTCCGAGAGATTACTGTATCAGTGAAAATACAATATATAATTAACAATATATAATATAAATTTTATAGTATATAATTTTATATTACATAATTATATACTATAAAATTTATATTATATATTGTTAATTATATATTGTATTTTCACTGATACAGTAATCTCTCGGATAAATATAATTTTATATTACATATAATTATATATAATTATATGTAATATAAAATTATATTTATAATTATATATAATTATATTTTGCGATTAATAAACAATGCAACACTAGTTGATGCGTAATTAAAATATCGGATTTTAATTTTTATGTAGAGTCAAATGCTTGGGAAATCCAGATCGTGAAGGATCCGTCAGTATCGTTGGTGCTGTATCACCACCAGGTGGTGATTTCTCCGATCCTGTGACTAGCGCGACCCTTGGTATTGTGCAGGTACAAACGATATCTGTATGATTACGTATGTAAAAAAAAGAAAATTATTTTAATAACAAATTATTTAATTTACAGGTGTTTTGGGGATTGGATAAGAAACTTGCACAACGTAAACACTTTCCCTCTATTAACTGGCTCATATCATACAGCAAATACTTACGAGCATTGGACGATTTCTATGATAAGAACTTCCCGGAATTCGTCCCGCTGAGAACGAAAGTGAAGGAGATCTTACAAGAGGAAGAGGACCTGTCGGAAATCGTCCAGTTGGTAGGCAAAGCTTCACTCGCTGAAACGGATAAAATCACGCTCGAAGTAGCAAAATTGCTGAAGGACGATTTTTTGCAACAAAACAGGTACCGCTTTATATTTTTTTAATATTAAATTTTATGTATAAAAAATTAAATACATAATGGTCGAAGAAATTGTTTAATTTAAAACTTTTTTTATAGCTATTCGCCATACGATCGTTTTTGTCCATTCTACAAAACCGTGGGAATGTTGAGAAATATGATTGCTTTCTACGATATGGCGAGACATGCCGTTGAATCTACAGCGCAGTCGGATAATAAAATTACATGGAATGTCATTAGGGACAGTATGGGCAATATTCTTTATCAGTTAAGCTCTATGAAGTTTAAGGTGAGTAAATTTTAACACCACCATGTTAATAGGAAAAAACCTTGAAAATCTGCTATTCTTAACGAACTTTGTTCAATCTTGAAAAATCAGAGAATTATCATGGAATTTGATTTACATTCAGGGAGTTTTTTTGAGAAATTATCCTTTTAATTTTATTTTTATTTAGCACTTAAGACACGTATATCTAACATATCTTGACAATATTTAAGTTTTTATTAAAATTTTGTGATTTTTTTGACAATCTATTTTATTTAGTATCAAGATCTTAAATTATAAATTTTATAGAAAATTGTTCAAATTTTTAGACAATATTTAAATAAATTAATATTCCCTGAAACGTTTATAAACAATTATTTTTTGTTTTATCATGGAATTTTTGAAATGTTTTTACAAAATTCGAGTAGACATTCTGTAATATAAATTTGACTAATCTCTCAACTTTTCATAATTTTCATGTTTTTTCTTTTTATAAAAAAACTTGTTTTAAATTTTTAGGATCCTGTTAAAGATGGCGAAGCAAAGATCAGGTCGGACTTTGATCAATTACATGAAGACATACAACAGGCATTCAGGAATTTAGAAGACTAAATTTCTTGTTACTTGTAACTTGTTAAAAGCAATTTTAAGATATTGATTGTTCTTTGTCTTGGCCCTAACATTTAAGGATGTCCCGGTCTAACTCGTGAATTGCAGATAACTTGCCGAAAATATGCTACAAGCAGCAGCGTTATCGATTATATAATATATTATTTACCATTATCCTTCAAAACAAATGAATTGTAAATAGAGAAGTTAAAGTTGAAACCTCCGATATCATCTTGCAGCAAAATATAGTTCGAGACAATGCCATGTCATGTACGTGACGATTGAGACAATAAAGTGGGACATTCTTAAATGCAATTAAGACGTATATATTTAAAAATATGCTTCGCGTGCTCGAGAGTAAATTTGACTCGAAATTCGCGGAAGTAATTACTTGTAATTAATCAGATATTATCAGAGAAAGTAATTTTACCCTTTGCAGAGATATATATATACATATATATATACTTTTATTGTTTCCGCTTTGTTAAAGGTGCACACAAATAACCAAGAAGTCAATATTCTCATGTTTTCTGTGTATGTGTAATATAAATGAAAGTACATAAAACGGCTTCTCCCCGTTTCATTCTAATGCGCGCAGATTAGAAATTATCGAGAAGATACTCTTAGTTATCGATCACATGGCACATGAACGACAGGTAGCTTTTACCTTGCAAAAAAATCGTGGAGTATATTAAGTATTGTAACATATATATATATATATACATTGTAATGTATATTAAGTATTGTAACTATTTAAGAAAAATGCGATAAAAGTAATAATCGCACATAACATTAAGAATTATTATACTTTAATGAAACGTTACAAATATGATTGCATGATTTGAGAGTTTAGAAAGAGAACACACACATACGATAGATTAGATAAAATGATGAAGCTGTAAAATCCTCAGCAATGAAGATAATTACGAGAGAAATAAGAATGTGTAACACATATGACTAGTGTTCCATTGACTTCGATATCATTTCCATTGTATGATATGTAAAAAAAAATACAATAAAAAATTATGCAAGAATTATACAAGTGAATCGTGAACATATCAGGAATGGAGGGATAATATTGTTAAATAAGCTCGCAGACTCTGCTTTCTCAATAGACTTCGTGTTTTAATAATTAATAATTATTATTAATTATATAACAATAAAACCTCGCGGTATATACATCAACGATATATTACATTCCGATATCTAACGCCTTAGTAAATTAATTCAGATGCACCTTTTTCTTCCATAAAATTGTCTTGCTGAAAAAAATATGTCATTGCCATATGCAATCTTATGCATATGTACACATACACATGTGTGACTATACACCGTATGTGTATTAATCTATATTTTACAATTCAAATCTTTTAGTTTAGCCTATGAAATATTCTATTCTATAATTATATGAAAACAGTATTAAAAATAAAAAATATGTTACGAACACTGCACAGTTCGTTTTATTCATATCTGTGGATCTTTTATACATATGTAAATCAACAAAAATGTCTTTCTGTCTTAAAAGAATCCTGCGTTTTCGTATTATAATTTTTGAATCATTTTTACAGGGAAAAAAAAAGAAAAATGTACCAACTTTTTGATATTCACAGCCACGATATTCCAACATATGCCAGTTATATCGACATGATAAGTCTATATATTTCTATATCTATTCATAGATGATCTTCCAGATAATAGTCATAACTACACGGATGTAACAATTTTACGATTTTCACTGTCTAATATGATCATTAAATAAGATGCATATAGAAATATATCTTCAAAAATCTGCGAAATCTCTTTTCTACATATAGAATGTAATATTTATTACGTATAACATTTTTATAAGTACGTTATTTGATATGAATAGATTGATTTTCCATCTTCATATAATAATATCAAATTATTACAAATACAACTTCAATCTACATTTTATCTTGTAGCATCCCGAAAAAATTCTATTTAATCTAACTCAAACCTAATTCTTATTTAGACAAAAAATTAATTTAAACTTTAAAAATTTTTCAGAAACTTTGTTTCCTCTACAAATATACTTTAGAATAAAGTAAAACAATAATAATTGTACAAAATTAAAATTTTGTTTTAATTACTGACAATGAGTGAAAAGTGATGCTACTATTAATGAATTATTAGATTTATCCTTACAGATGAAAACAATGTTAACATGAAATCATAAATATGCAGTTATGACTATATTGCTAGAAGCTCCTATATTTGATTTTAGATAATAAAATTAAAGTATCTTATTAAGTTCAGTGCAGTTGCCAGAGAAGAGAATATAAAATTATATCTTCTGTGTACATGATAAAATTCATAGATCCTAGAGAAGTATTTACAGAGAAAAAACCATCAATTTACAAAAGAGGAAGCTTAAGGGCTCAAATGTATAACATCAACACTATTAGTGGCCGATGAGGAGGAGGACGATGATATTTGCGTCCTGAGCTGATTATTTTCGCGTTTTAATTGGGTGACTAATTGTTTCAATGCTGTGATCTCTTGTCGTAATTTCTCATTATCTCGAAGATATTGGTTCAGATTTTGATTAGCTATGCGCAATTCCGCTATGTACTCGCAGGCTTTTGCCAGAATACCTCCTTTGCTCTGTTATAAACAAATAAATATTGTTTAAATAATTATGCAACAAAATTATACAACAAGAATTTTATTTGATTATTTACCTGAGTTTCATAATTAGTTTTTCCCTCTCCGCTACTACCACTACCTGTAGTATTAGCACTTGTGTTACACTCAGGGATGATCTTACTCAACTTTATAATCCAATTGTTTATCTTATCTCTACGCCGACGTTCGACTTCGTTATGTGTCGCTCTCCGCCTGTCATCTCTCTAAAAAATGAGAAAAAAACATTAATTTTTCCTATATATTCTCTTAAAATTAATAAAATAACAAAAACATATACTGCATTAAAATAAACCTTTTTCAAGCCACTAGTACAATTCCTCGGGGTTTCTATCTGCAGCGTGGTCGTTCTTGGCACCAGGGATCTTGATGCTTGCGCCGTGGTGAAGACGTCATTAGCATTCCCAATAACATAGAACTGACCATTCAAGGGTGACGTTAGAACCTGTACAGTATTATTCCCTGGTTGCGACACAGGCAGTTCTATCTCGTTGGTTGATTGTATGGCTGCTGCGCCATTCACTTGGACAACTCGATACGCTAAGGCTTCTGGATAATGCATTTCTTCCTCTCCAATAGGATCTCCTATTAGAAGAATACAATATATATATAGCCATAAAATGATCCTTAATGATAGTGCAAAATATATTAAATCGAAATATCACTGATATATTTATATATGTCCAAAATTTTCTTTTTCTCCAGTCAGAGCCTGTTCTTACCTTCGCAATCCACAATCTCTGTTTCTTCGATAACGATTCCAGTGTCACCACCGTCGTCTTTGGAGACGCTAAAAAATGAAAAAAGTCTTCAGTATCGTCTTATCTCGAGAGAATTGTGTGCGCTACGCGTATTACTTCGACGATTGTGTATGTTGGTCCTACGGCGTAAGCAAAGTGCGTACTGTGCACATAGTGATGATGACCTTGAGGAGACCTCGGGCGAGACGGAAGGGATAGGTGTTCGCGTTATCAGATGGTCGATACTTAACGTAAACACTACCTGACATCCTGCTGTTCGAGCTGCTGCTCCAAGATGTCCATTCCCTCGTCGCGAGAAAAAAAAAACGTTTGAATTTGTCAAAATTCACGTGAGCTGGTCACGGGACACCGCAACGAGGTCATGTGGTGCAGAAGATGGCGACGCGACTCATATAAGCGCCATCTGACGTCACCGCCTTCGCGCCAATTGGATATGACGTCGTCGAGCGCTAATTGTGAATTAATTATATTAAAATTTGATGAATTTATTTTTCTTTCGAACGCAAAAAAAAAAGTGATCACTTTCTGTAATTTTTTTCGACGATCAATTTTATGAAATATGCGGTTAAAAATGTAAAAAAACTGTAAAATATATGTATATAAAATATTTATAATATATATTATATTAATTATATTTTATTATATTATTTTGTATTATATTATATATTATATATTACATTATTATATTATATTATATTTTATATATATATATATATATATATATATATATATATATATATATATAATATTATGTAAAATGTAAAATTTATTGATAAATATAAATATTGATATCATTTTTTATTTAAGATTGTCAATTTTTCATTTAAAAGTATTATTTCACCTGTAAAAATTATTTAGCATATTATTTAAAAAATAGGTTACATTTTTCATATGAAGCTTTAATACTCGAAAAATCAATCTAATTATAATTTTTTTATTATTTTTTTTTATAATATTAATTTTTTTATTTACGCCGATATTTGAATATACAAATAAATAATTTAACAATAACTTATATATATATATATATATATATAATTATATAAAAATGTAAAATTTATTGATAAATATAAATATTGCGATGCCATTTTTAATTAAAATTGCAAATTTTTTATTTAAAAGTATTATTTCACCTGTACAAATTATTTAACATTATTTAAAAAATAGGTTACATTTCTCACATGGATCTTTTAATACTCGAAAAATCAATCTAAGTTAACAGGAGAATATATTTTGCGAAGAGGTAGTAGGTGGTAGCGCAGCAAAATATGCCTTTCATGTCCGAAAAATCATTTTGAGTTAACAGGATAATATATTGTGCAAAGAGGTCGCTATTAGGAATATATATATACGAAGAGGTTTCTATTAGGAGAATATCTTTGCAAAGAGGTCGCTAAAAGAATCGCATTGATAAGTCGGTAAATTATCAACAATGATAATTTACCGACGGTCTCCCGTCGGTATTTACCGACGTTACCTCTTTGCAAATATATTCTCCTGTTAACTCAAGACGATTTTTCAGACTATTTATCGTCGCATTGCCGCCACTACCTCTTCGCAAAATATATTCTCCTGTTAACTTAGATTTATTTTTCGAGCATTAAAAGATCCATATGATGTCTTGAGTTAACAGGAGAATATATTTTGCGAAGAGGTAGTAGGTGGTAGCGCAGCAAAATATGTCTTTTATGTCCGAAAAATCATTTGAGTTAACAGGAGAATATATTTCGCAAAGAGGTAGTAGCGGCAATGAGACGATAAATAGTCTGAAAAATCGTCTTGAGTTAACAGGAGAATATATTTGCAAAGAGGTAACGTCGGTAAATACCGACGGGAGACCGTCGGTAAATTATCATCGTTGATAATTGACCGACTTATCGATGCGATTCTTTTAGCGACCTCTTTGCAAAGATATTCTCCTAATAGAAACCTCTTCGTATATATATTTTCCTAATAGCGACCTCTTTGCACAATATATTATCCTATTAACTCAAAATGATTTTTCGGACACGAAAGACATATTTTGCTGCGCTACCACCTACTACCTCTTCGCAAAATATATTCTCCTGTTAACTTAGATTGATTTTTCGAGTATTAAAAGATCCATGTGAGAAATGTAACCTATTTTTAAATAATGTTAAATAATTTCTACAGGTAAAATAATACTTTTAAATGAAAAATTTGCAATCTTAATTAAAAATGGCATCGCAATATTTATATTTATCAATAAATTTTACATTTTATATTTATATATATATTATATATATATATATATATATAAATTATTGTTAAATTATTTATTTGTATATTCAAATATCGGCGTAAAAAAAAATTGATATTATAAAAAAAAAATAATAAAAAATTATAATTAGATTGATTTTTCGAGTATTAAAAGCTTCATATGAAAAATGTAACCTATTTTTTAAATAATATGCTAAATAATTTTTACTGGTGAAATAATACTTTTAAATGAAAAATTGACAATCTTAAATAAAAAATGATATCAATATTTATATTTATCAATAAATTTTACATTTTACATAATATATATATATATATATATATATATATATATATATATATATATATATAATTATTGTTAAATTATTTTGTATATTAAAATATCGGTGTAAATAAAAGAAAATATTATATTTATGTATTTATTGAATTTATTTAATTTTAAAACGCTCGTTTGAACATAGAATCGTTTGTTATTCTCGTCGTCATTTATTTGAGCGCGTATTCAGTGAAGATCCATTCACATGTGTATCTCGTTATGTTTTCGTTCGTCGGAATTTCGCGAGGAAACGTCGTGGGTGCAAATTATTGACGTATATCGGTGCATTTTTCTTATTTTTCTCTGCGAAAAGAAGAAAAATAAAAATATAAAGAGGCATTATTAATTGACTTGTGCCAAGATCGTGGAATTTCACCCGGCATCCGATAAAATGACCAGGTAAGATCGAGGCACAAACTGTCGAAGGTTATGTCCGATTACGCAGATTTTTTTATATACACGTGTATACGTAATCATTAATTTTTTTAACGTTTGTCGTTTCTGGACGAGAATACATTCGTTATAAATAAACATTTGCAACCGCGACAATTTTTTTCATAATAATTGTTCGAGCTTAATATATATATACATATATATATTCCCCTTATAATAATAATATAATATAATATATAATATATATAATATATATATATATATATATATAAATATATAATATAAAATAATATAATAATGTAATATATAATATATAATATAATACAAAATAATATAATAAAATATAATTAATATAATATATATTTGATCTCTCATTCGAGTAATTAATTAATATTACAGGTCGAAAATAGAATTAGGCGATGTGACTCCGCACAACATAAAGCAGCTGAAATTGCTCAATCAAGTCGTGTTCCCGGTCTCATATAACGAAAAGTTTTATAAGGATGTATTGGAAGCGGGAGAACTTGCCAAACTAGCATATTACAATGACATAGTGGTATTTAGCAATTTTTTCAAATTATACTTCATAGATATTATGATCTGTGTGAATAACATGATATTTATCTCGATATTTATATAATTTAATAAAAATTTATGTGACTAAAATCAGATAAAAGTATTCTCTTATCATATTGACGGATTCCTTAAAATATGTCTTAATATAAAAAGAAATTGCCTTTCTTTGCAATAAAAAGTTTGAGAGAATCTCAAATGATCTAATGTCAAACTTTGATTTAAACAAAATATGAGTTTGTTTCATATTGATTTCATATTGTTTTATTCTGATTTTCAGGTTGGAGCAGTTTGCTGCCGTGTAGATACTTCAGAAAATTCTAGGCGTTTATATATAATGACATTGGGTTGTCTCTACCCTTACAGAAGATTAGGAATTGGTACTGTTATGGTCCAACACGTTTTAAATTATGTTAATAAGGATGGCAATTTTGATTCTATCTTCCTGTGAGTATAATTTTCAATTGTTTTATTTCTAATGTACAATTAAAAAAACATATATTCTTATATTACTCATAATATTCGCAGACATGTTCAGATAAGCAATGAAGGCGCGATTGACTTTTATAAAAAATTTGGATTCGAGATTGTCGAAACTAAAGAACATTATTACAAGAGAATAGAACCAGCAGACGCACACGTGTTGCAAAAGACATTGCGTCCTCGAGCTAATCAAACGAATCATCAAACTGTCAACTAATAAGTAGCATCTTTCATTAATTTATCTTATAATTTAAAATTTAACATACGTTTCCATGTTCTATCAATAAAGTCATTTATATTATATCTGTATTATGAATTGAAGTAATTTCCTTTGTTTATACTTACATATTCAATTATTAAAGTCTATAACACAAAAGTACTCCACAAGTTTAATATACCTAAATCTAAATATTGATGCATCATAAAGCTAATTTTTTACAGTTTAATCGTATGAATTTCGAGAATTTTGGAAAATTTATTATTTATGTAATTTTAATTAATACTTTTTTTTATCTGAATATATTTTCTTGATATACAATAAATTGAAAAATTTGCAAGAGAGAGTATAATTAGATAGTGACACTGACTGAAATTTTAAATTATAAATCCAAGTATATTTCTATACTTTTAATTATGATTTCGAGAATTTAAAATCATTAAGTATCTGAAAAACACTTTGATAAGAAGTGGCACAAATTAGATTTTCAAACAAGCATTTTATGACAATTAAAAACTTCAATTTTATTATTTTTTTCTTCTTGTATTAGGAGAAAGTCTATAATCTAAAAAAATTCACACAAATTGCACTTTCTATATATATCTTTATTGTCCAACAATCCCTTTCTATTCAAATATATTGAAAAATTTGTACATATTTTTTTAAATTATTTTTTTTCTTAGAAAATTATGGCATTAAAATAATAATATATATTTAAAATATATATAATAAATTTAAAATATATAATAAATTTAAAATATATGTACACAAAAAAATAAATATTGCGTCTTACATTTAATTTACAGAATATACAATTTTAAGAATTTACAGAATGTTATCATGTAAAATGAGTATTAGAATGCACATGTAAAAACAAAGAAAATTTTACACAATTTACAATTTAATGTAACATATGTAGATTATGTTACTATGTGTGTAACTTGTATTATAATATAACAAATTTCATAAAAATGTACTTAAAACTATACAGTTTTATATATAAAAAATTAAAATGTATATGTATTAAATATCTGTAAAACTGTCTTTTTATATATGTAGGACGTTTTCTGTTGTCTTCTTTAAGATCTAATCAAATATTAGATGCAATACATTATATACATATTCTAAGTTTTAAATAATGCTGCTTTTTTCACAATGTGACAACATATAATAATATATAATAATAATAATAATTAAAGCTAATACATATAGAAAATTGCTAGTGCAAAGCATTATCCAATATTTGAATATATATTATAGATATAGCCGTTGAAAATGATATTATGGACATTTGATTGCATCTAGACACAATTACATTTGTTGTATAAATACAAGTTGCTGTGATATTGAAGTACGTTTTCCATTTACTCTAGATCAACATATATATCTTAACTGTGACAATTTTCATATTATGATTGTAATTCCAGTAACTCTTTTATTCTTCTGACAGAAAATTCTACACCCTCCATTGCTTCTTTTGAAACCTACAAACGTCAAAATGAATGATAATCGTATGGCGATACATCGTAATTAAATTCATTTGTATAAACAAGAAAAAAATGTTTACATGTAGGAAATTGAAAAATCCGTGTGGCAGATCTGGTAATATATCCAGCGTAACATTATTGCCAAGCGAGCGAAGCTTTCTCGCAAACATGACGCAGTCATCGAGACAAGGATCAAACTCTACCGTCTAAAAACAAACTGCTGTGTATTATATGTTCCAAAATATTCAATCTTAATCGTAGTAACAAAAGTTAAAACACGTACCAGTATCTTCATAGGTGGTATGTGGGCTAACATATCGTCTGACGCGAAATAAGGACTCATATACATGTCCCTCGGTACTGTAAATATAAATTCTTCCCAAAAAGGTTTAGCATTCTTCATATCAAGTTGTCTGATATCCTTGTTATTTCTTCCAAGGGGCCATCCGAACAGAGAGAAAGACCATGACGATTTTTCGCTCTGTCCCGAAACATTATCATCTCTGCTGACATTTCCATTTTCTGCAGGCGACGACATTGAAGCGGTGCCGGAATTTCGGTACATATTTAAAAATCTTCTGATATATTCTCGAGATCCCACCTGTGCTTTTGGACCTTCAATACCTAGAAAAAGATCCCTTTAAAATGCATGCTCGAAAGAGAAGTAAATATATATATATATATATATACATATATATATTTTTAATAAGATCTAATACAAATATATATTCTAGGGTCGTTAGCTGAATTGTATATACCATCAACTTCGGTTAAGCTGACAGAATTTAACGTTGAATCGGACGGTAGAGATACTAATTTATGCGCGCCATTCGCGTCGTCTCCATTTGGACTCAGGGCTAATGCTATAAGGTCACTTTCGCTCACTTCGGCAAAAGATTCTGTGTCTGATTTGGTGCATTCTTCATTCTCGCTTTCTCTGTGGGGGATAAATTGTATTTGTATTTGCATTGCATTGTATAATCATCGCATCTACAATAAAATATGTATATGACAATGTACACGTTTGATATTTCTTTCTAAACTTTTATAGGACATAACTTTTATCATATAAAAATGTACATTGATCAAAAAAAAGGTATAATAATTTTAATTAAAATCTTACTTTGTAAGTTTCTTGTCAAATCCTACGTAAGCTTTCAAGCATCGTACCATAAATCCATATGGTAACAATGAATCTGTAAGACAGAGCATGCGAGACGGTGACGGAACGAAATCAATTAATATTGGTGCGTAAGCCATAAAAATACCATCTGGTCTTCTTATATTTAACTGCAGGCATTTCAAGGTGGCTCCCAAGTTTAAGTTACCTCCAGCTGAGTCACCTGTCAAAATATTGATTTTCCAATTTTTTACCATATTGCATAATCAAACCAGCTATTAATTATAGGCATATCGAAGACAGATTTACTTTTACCTTACCGACAAATATCACCTTCTCCGCTGTACTTCCCAGTAATGTACTCGCATGCTTTAGCGCCCATGCGTAAGCGTACAGCACTTCCTCGAGCGCGCGTGGATAGGGAGCTTCCGGAGCTAAACTGTAATCTATGCTTAAGATAGGTACGCCTAAAGTCATAGCCCAATTATGCAGATACATTTCGTGCGATCGCGACGTCTGTGCTACGAATCCGCCACCATGAGTATGAATAATCAATTCGTTGCATAGACCATGTAATTCTCCTCCTACACCTCCAGATCCGACCTAGAATGTCATTTAAAAAAATATTATTAGTCACTCTGGTTAAATAATTTTAAATCTATTCTATTATATATTTTACATCTTCAACTAAAATTATAATTAATTAAATATAATATATATTTGCATCTAATTGCTTGTATATATAATGAAATTAATATTTTACTTACCATTCCTAGACGTCGTTTGGAACTCAGTAATCTAACGTGAATCGGTTTCTTTCCTATATGACTATTTGGTATCGGAATTGAAACAGTTCCACCATCAAGAGTAGGCAGGATTAATTCCTCGGGTGGAATAGATATTAATTGATTGATAGCTAATGAGGGAGTTACTATGGACAATATTTCTGAATACAAATAAATAATTTCATTATTTAAATGCAATTAAAAGAGTAGTTTGAGTATCTAAACAGTGTTGTAAACAGATATAAATCTAATAATAATTGATATAATTTTCTTAATTTCTTACCAAGTTCATTCAGGAACCAAAATGCTTGAGCAAAAGAAATATCAGCATATTGAGATATGTTAACAATACGACGTGCTCTTGCCTCAGGGTTCAAAAAATACTTGACGGAATTAGCACATCGTCCTAATACTGTATCATTATTATAATACATCTCACTATAAGATACCATGGCAAATGCTATTGTTTTTAATACCTTTTTTAAACTATTACAAAACTGAAAAACAATAATACCTTAGATAAACTTGATATATTATAGCATTATTCACAAAATATTATTCACAAATACCTGAAATCCTATGCATCTACCATAGAAACAGTATTGATTAATATTCTCTGTCCAATGAATAAACTCTTGAGCGCTATGGTCCATTATGAATAGTGACAGTTTTCCATCGCTCATCACTTCCGTACTCCATGTGTACAATACTTTCAAATACTGCAAGAATGTCTTCAAGGATACCATCAACTGGGAGCATGCCTCTATTTCCCTGGGAATTAAACGTACATAATTTAGAACATCATTTATATATTAAATACATTAAATGTGTACGGTATACAATTAATTACTTCATGTGATGGCTTTTTCGGGAGAACATGGAGTCCTTTTGATGGTACATCTGTTGGCAGATCTGCTCGGTATGCAGAATACATTTGTCGACCATCGAGAGGAAGCTCCTGTATCCGTTCCCCGGTGTCTCCTCGTCGAAGTCAAAGTGCGCCGCGAACATTGCTATCTCGTTGTACAGCGGCTGCAGCTCGTCCAGCTGCTCCAGGATCACCAGGGACGCGGCCTTGATCCTGACACCATTCTCGTTCTGATGGGACGTGAAATACTCGACACTGGCGTGGCACAAGTTTCGCAGAGCGCTCCATTGCAGGGGTTCCTCGAGTTCCTCGAACGGTCTGTCAAAGTCATCGTTGGACGTTGACATCTGAGCGATCCTTGGCGAAGCCTTATATTTGACAAATGAACTACTCCTTCTATCTCTCTCCCTCTCTGCGATTAATTGACTCCAAAATATAATTCAACAGACGGAATAAACAATTGTACCACTCGTGTGCATCTTTGACAGCTAATACTGATCATCTGTCAAATGACGGCTTGAACTCTCAAACATGCTGCGTCACAAACAGAGACCGAAATCCATATATATTTGATGTATATATATATATATATATATATATATATATATATATATATATATCAAATATGGAATTATATCAGAATGACATGTACATAATGACAGTTTAGAACGTATAATTTCGGCTAGGATCAGGTTAATCTGAGGCGGAGATGCAATGTATACATATATATATATATGTATGTATATCACATACTGCACTTTCCGATTTGCAGAATAAATTCGGGAATTATAAATTTAAGAAGAACGACAGCACGTCGTTAATTAATTGCACGATTATCCGTAGTTAGTCTTATTCGGTTTTTTGAAAAGAAGCTTTACTTGACATTTGACACTTCACGAGCGGTCTCCTGTCAGTCGCGCTTCGCTTCGCGATGCGAAATGAGAGCGCGCTCCAGATTTCGAGAACAGTAGTGTTGTTTGCCCATCTCTTTCTCTCTATTTCTCTCTTACGTCAAAAAGTTTTGATAAAATCGAATGAGTAATAGAATTCTTTATTGAGAAGCTCGATAAAGATATCGATGTGAATATAAAGACGTGATTCATGCAAATATATTTGCATGCTTTTATTCTTTGCTTCATTCTTATATACATAAAAGAGAGAACTATTAATATTAGATTTTATTTTGATAATAATATTATATATATAATTAATGATCAATTATAGAGATATATATAATTAAATATATAATTAAATATAATTAAATATTTTTACACGATATTAAGAATATATGATATATACGTATGTATAAATAAAACATCGAAACTTTTATTTTTATCGATATGATTTCATCATTGCATAATAATGTAAAATTTAATGAATAAAAATGATTAAATTAGTATAACGAAAATTAAAATAATTTTATATAATATAAATTTTAAAGCATATATGTTGATTAAGCGTACAGAATATCTGTAAAAAGATTTTGTGATAAATTTGAAATTAGTTTTTTATTAATGCGAATTTATGACAAATTTATTTATATAGCAATTTTTTTATTTTTACACAATCCTTAATTAAGTAAGCTGTTCTCTTTTTATGCATATTATTAAATTAAAATCTCATTCAAGTAAGACATAAATTGAGAGAAATTTCTATGCGTGCTGCATTTCTCTCAATTTATATATCTTATGGCACAAATAAAAAAATTTATATATAAATAAAGCGAGAAAATTAGGCCATATGATAGATCGTCGAGAGAAAAACTCACCTCAAAATTATTATCCGGATTAAGGAAAAATCCACACAAAGAAGCAACGATACGTCAATCGATGAGTGTCTTGCTGTTAAACGACATCGCGTTAATAAGGATGATGCGATGATCGCTGATGATTTTGTTGCGAGATTTCTTTTTTGTATTAGATATTTGTATAACGCAGCAAAATATCATGACTCTCAAATTTAAAAATGTTTTTGTTAAAAAAAAAATATATATATATATATAATTAATGATATATGACAGTGGCAATTTAAATTGATAAAAAATACGTTGCCTTTTGAATCAAGCAAAACAGATAATAATAAAGCGATATTATGTATATATATTCACCATTTATGAATGTATATATAATATATTCATCATTTACGATAAGATGTAGTTCTACCGCATGCATGCATGTATGGGATAAAGTTCATTCATTACTGTCTTGATACTGCAGATGCATTCCTGATGTGCATCGATTTTAATTGGACGATAACGAAGACGATATATACTATGTTTCGATTTTTAATTAGATCATTTATGCGCGCATATAGTAAAGGACTCTTATCTCATATTGACAGATGCACTCCACGTGTGATCTGTCAATCGCTTACGAGCATCGCGATCAGGTATATAAATAATTGCATATTAAAAAATTGTAAATAGCTCTAATTAAGATTAATCGCACAGTTACTATAATGATATAAATATTAATATTACACTCTGTACTTTAATATTGCAATATCATGTGGAAGATAAATGCAAATATTTAATCAATAAATTTTTGAAGATAATTGTTGACAATACATACTATTTTATAATATTAAATTATAATTCTTCGTTTCGATCTAAAAAATACGCAAAATTGCAACGAGACAATTGAAAATGAAGGAAAAGCGCGCGGTCGGGATTCTTTATAATTTATTTATTGATAAGTAAAATTACATTTATCCACAAACACAATACGTTCTTTTCAATGGGATGTAATAATGCGTTAAAACTTGTGAGCGGCGAGGAGAAACACCTGCGAAGGAGAAAGAGGGACGAGGAGAATTTGTTTCTTTTTTAGTCTTTCGACACTGGCTCTTGTATTTTTTTTTTCGTGAACAACGGCGAATCACGGCATTTTCTTTCAATCGCAATTATTAGTAATATATAAAAAAAGAATTGAAAGCTTCAGTGCAAAAAAAATACGGAATTTGTAAGACACACAATAAGCATATGAAGAGAAAAATTCTCTGAAATAAGATTTCTCACGAAATCGTCTCACATTTTCTTGAGCCCTTTAATCCCTATATATAAAGTATATGTATATATATATATATATGTGTGTGTGTGTGTGTGTGTGTTAATTATATTCCATGTATTTAAAAGAAATGTATAGTGTTCTTTGTGCGCGAAGTTCTCGATGTAATTATGCGATTAAAATTCCAACAATATACGACGCAAATATCTTTCTATCTTTGTTTATAGCGACAGTCGCTCACTTTATAATTGCCACAATTAATGAAGTATTTGCATCGTTTCCGCTATGAGGATTGCCATTGTTCACAGAAGAGGAAAGCAAAATCTTTCGCGTGCGTAGTAAATAGTAATATATTCTTCAGAATTTGAATTTTCATTCATCACTATGAAAGAAACGTATTTGAAGAACAATTGGGATTTATAGATTTTCTGCATTATATATTTATATGTAAATAATACGACGCGTTGTTATTATATTAAGCTTTTTATATACTTTTATATAACGTGACGATACTCGAACATGTCACGATAAAAAATAAACAGACAATTTTTATTTCGCGAATTAAATTATCTCGCAACGCGCGGAAGCAGAATCCAAAGTTTCCGAATAAATAATCATTATCGTGCAAAAATCAATGGAAAAGTTTATTCTCTCGGCAGCTCGGTGTGGATACGTAATTCGCGCTGCTCGATAATTGTCAAATCACGATAGAATAATAATGACACGGCAGGGAGACACCGGAAAAAACTGTAAAAATAAAATCTACTGTGTTTTATAATCTCATTATTATAACTCTTTCTCCGTCTCTGGACTTGCTAATCTCTGGACTGCGGCTTGAAGGACGTATATTATTTTTTTTCTCCTTTTCCTCACATCTCACATGGCTTTTAAGCTAAGTTCAGTTATCTCGATATATATATATATATATATATATATATATATATATATATATATATATATATATATATATATATATGTATATATATATATATATATATATATATATATATATATATACATATATATATATATATATATATATATATATATATATATATATATATATATATACTTGTTACCTCTTTACAAAAATCAATTCTTAAACTTATATATACGGAGGTGGCCCGATGCAAATTCACAGTATCTTGAAGCGCACATTTTTTCCTTCACATCTTTCATTTTCCTTTTCTTTCCTTTCCTTTCCCGCCACAACCGAATCACCGAAACATGATATGCTCCGACTATTAACTGACTAATACTGATACCACCCCGACATCTTCTACGAAAGTTATCGGGGAGAAACATTGGACCGTTGTTGCCTACGAAATATATCCTCCGGATCGGCGAGTCTCCAAATTTACATACTATAATATATACGCGAGATACAATGTACCGAATCTTGCTTTGCTTGCTCAATCGCGTTAAATTTTACGATATATATGTATACGCGATCAAATCAGTCCGGATACCGGCCAATCGCAAACTATCTTTCTGTACGAGAGCAGAGAGGCTCTAGACTGTGTGAGATCCTTAGAAAAATAATAAGTACAATCGTTTTTTTTTTTTTTTTTTTCAAGGAAGGTCTTCAGCATCTGTGAATCCGTATCGAGGTCAGGTTCTTTTATATGCGATGTTATCAATGTGTTGTTTAACGACTATATACGCTATAGGTACATAATGTTTAATTTAATATGTATACATGTATATGCATGTGTATATTTTCATATATATATATTTGTATATATATATATATATATATATATATATATATATATATATATTATTCATACGTCGCGCACACACACACACACACACACACACACACACACACACACACATATACATATATAATCGATATTTTATATCATTATTATTATTATTAACGCATTGATGCTATCTGTTGTTATTCATATAGTTCATAGTACATTCACTGGTATAATTGCTATCGTATCTTATCATATATCTAAAATAATATTTTTAACATTCAGCGATGTGTGTTGTTTATGTGTGTGTTTGTGTCTAGCATCTTGTTCGATTATACACACTCTTTTCCACCGGAGTTGCGTGAAGAGACAAACGATCGCTGTGTGTGCACGTGATTCGCGTTTTAAGATAGATAGGAGAAAGGCAGCTGCTTCACAAGTGCGCTTAGGAATATAAATATCTAAAGGATATCTTTTTCTTCTGCTTTTTTTTAATCGCCCTCCGATTTGTGCGGACGATTATCGCGCGCGACATAGTTGTAGCAAAGTGTAAGAGCGCAATTGGAGGGGATGAGGACCACTTTGCAGCACTTTGGGCCGGTTGTTCCAACTTTTTGATAAGTTTCACCCGACAGATAGCATATCTTCGTCTCTTCTTTTAGAACTTATCTGAAAAGAGACGAAAATATGCCATACCTGGCGGGTAGAACTTATCAAAAAGTTGGAAGAATCAGTCCAGGAATGTATGTATATAATTATGCGTGTGGACATTTCGTGCGGGGTTCTTATTCACATAAGAGTACAGAGTATGTAGAACGCGATTTTTAATTGGTATTCACCATGATAAAAATGATTCAACCAATCGCGCGCCGCCGAGCTGAATCCGTCCCTTTTTCCAGCATGTATATATTATTATATATATTGGATATATCGAGATACAGAGTGTCCCATAGGAAATTGCTGAAGCTAATCAGCTGTCATTTTTTAATTACTTTTTTTCAATAAAATAAACTGATATACAAACATTTTATTTATATCTATTAAAAACTGCAGACTTTCCTCTTTTTAACGCAACTTTTGTTTTCTCAATAAGTGCAGAAACTGCATGCATTAAAAAATGACAGCTGATTGGTTCAACAATTTCTTATGAGATCCTGTATACGTTAAAGCAATACATGCGACGGTACATCAACGCGATAACGATGCTTACGCTCTTTATCGTGCCTCCGCCATAGGATAGACGTCGTAAAGACGACTAAAAAAAAAGGAAAAAAAGAAACGTTCTAATCTCTTAGACGTTTAAAAATACATCGCAATCTTTCATAGACGACGTAGAGATATCTTAATCTCTCTCGTAGACGTCGTAAAGACGTCGTGTTTTTTAGATGTCTTTAAGACTTCTCTGTGTGTGGTGTGTGTGGTTATAAATATTACCACATTTACCACAACCACTAATGGACGGTTAATGGCTATGTAGATTGTGGCAGCGCGTATATGCATGCGCCGGCGTTGAAAGCACCGTATCGTATCGCAAGTCTTTTTTTTTTACGAAGTAAGTTCGACGAAAGCGCGCGACGTGATTTTTGAATTAAAAAAAAAAGTCAAGAAGAACCGTGTGTGCTTTTCCAAGTAGCAAACTGACGTCATTAAATGTCAAAACGACGTCATTTTGACGTATAATGATGTCATTCTACCTGGGATCTTTTCCCCACGCGACCCTGGCGCTAAAGTGCGGGCTACTACATATTATTTTTTTTTTTCGTTTGACCATATACAAATATATAAGCATTAAACGTGTAATATATATTATATCATCATCCTCGTCGTCGTCGTATATAATTAGTAATATATCCTAAGATAGTTATTGTATGAACGATCCTTTTTTTCCCGAGAACGCAAAACGCGGAAACAAAAGAGAAACCCTCACCCCAACAGCCACTCTTCTTCTTCTTCTTTTTTTTCGACCTAACACAGTCGGAGGTACTAATGCCACTCGAAAATGATCTCCGGTTGAACTGTTCCTCTTGTTCGGCAGCATCGGCGTGATCTGTCCGACGCGACGATCTCTCGTCGAATTCCTCGTCGGCCAGCTCGAACGAAACTGCCGAACATTCTCCATGCTAGCGTTCTCAGCACCTCGACAAAACAATGGGGCTTTCGCGTGGAATGATAGAGTGCTCGCTTCCTCATCGTCGTCTCGTTAACTTCCGAGATATATACGTCAATGATTCTTAGTTTCCTTACGTCTTAAGGTTTTTTTCTTTATCATCTAAGTAGTAGACGTTAAGTACTGAAAAAGGTCACCGAGAGAAACCGAGGCAGTGGGAATCGAACGGAGACGGAGAGAATAAAACAGCTGCGTCACGAAGGTATAAGAGTGAGAAGACGTGCAACGATAACATGGGGCGTGTGTTCTGATATTTTAAGAGTACCTCGCGCTCGGTTACTTTAGCATAACGTTAACGATTACGCGATTAATCGGAATATTTTACGTCTAAATGCTGCTCCCAGTGACAAGCTACTACAAAACGCTATCGCTTTTTTTTTTCTTCGTGTAGTGCTGCTTAAGCTGCGTTAGGTTTTATTGCCATTGTTTATCTCCGAAAATATCAGAACCTAAAAATACAGCAGGGAGCGACGTTTACATCGTCCGTTCTATTCGTCATTCGAAGATTCGCTCTCCCCAGGGAGCGAGAGATCGATCGGTTGACGATCAACGACGTCGATCCGTGGAGATTCCGATTCGAAATGCGCAACGTGTAGAGGCGGAGGAACATCAAGGTAAGTCTAAAAACGGCGTTTTCTACTTTTACACAACACGCGCGCTCCTTCCTGTATTTTTATACCGACATGTACTATATATATATTATATGACAACGTAATGTGAAAACAATGTGTGCATGAGATACTTCCGAAGATAGCGTGTAACACTCGTGTTCGTATGGCACATATAAGTGTGTAAATTCTACGTAAATTTATCTCCCGTAGAATCCGTTTCGTTCCCATCCAGCGTGTATCCCTGCTGTGCTACAAACTTTACTTTATTTTACACATATATTGTCAATTCTTTGCGAAAATCGCGATGTCTCTCGTCGCAAGCGCGAAATCTGCCGATTAAAAAAAAAAAACCGTGCTTTCTGAATTAGCGCATCTCTCCGGGAAATGTACATGTTCCGAATCTTCGGAAGAATCTCGCGGAACGGGGGTTAGAGATATACATATTATTTATATATATCTTATTCTAACAAAATACTATGAGATTCTTGAAGAAAATACGCGAGAACGAATACGCGATTGCGACCAGCTTCAGAAATGAAAACTGCGCGAGGCGATGGCCAAATTATTCCTTCACCTCGAAATATTTGTATGTAGGATTCTCGTAACCGTTGATCTGCATATTCGCGACGTGCCGTTCCTCCGGCGTGGCTGCTTGATCGACCTCGATGAAACCCTGTGGAAAATCAGGAAATTACTGTCACATCTCGTTATCGCATAATTCACATCATTATTGATATAATAATAGTTCTCATTTAATCATATATATTAAAAAATTAAACAAATATAAAAGAAGTATATTATATAAATATGTATGCAAGAAATGATGAATAATTCATACAATTCCTGCAATGATATATAAAGATTTATCTTTTGCGACAACATACTTGGCTGTGAGGACTTCTCGCACTACGTCTCTTGAATACTGCGACACCCACAACTGCAGCTGCCATAAGTGCTATGCCAGCGAATGCAAGTGTGAAGTAGACGGATCGACTTTCTCTGTGATACACCTCTCGTCTTACAGAGTAACCCTGCGAAAATGGGATTAGTTGATTATAACAAGAAAGTTAAAGATCTTTTTTTCTGTAAAAAAAATTCTAACTTTAATTGATAAATAATAAGCAATAACAAGGTGCCTACTCAAATGTAAAATAATTCCCTAAGAACTTTCTAATCTTCTCGATATTTTCGTTTAAAATTTCAGATCAAAAATAAAATTTGTAGATGCAATTTTTTAAAAGTTGTTTTATTATACGCTTTTTAATGTTTTCTATTAATACGATTGGAAAAAGGAATTTTTCTAGCATTTTAATATTGATTTATTAATTGTAAAATTAATTTGGAATAATAAAATACGATATATCACTATATTTAAACACTTAAAATATATACAAAAATACAAAATTTATATATATATATATAAACTAATTTATTATAAAATCTTTATTAAATAAATAAAGAATACTAATTTTTATTTAAATGTTACCTATTAATAAATTGAAGAATGTTCTATGAAACTTACATAAGATCTTGATACTGAAATAGATCGTCAATGTCAAAATCACATAAAATTTTAATAAAAACTTAAATATTGCAAAAATATGTTAAACATATATTTAAATGCTAAATAAGAGTAAAATGATCAAAAAAGCAATTTTTTTAAAATTCCCTGAATCCTATTCCAGAAGAATTCCCTGATTTTTCAAAGTAAAACAAAATTCCTTGAGAATACCATGTTTTTAAGGTTTCTCTTGGGAGCATACTCTACAATGAATTTTTAAACAACGATAATTATGACTTTATAGCTGCTAGTAAATTCTCTTACTGGCTCGGGATGAGAAACATCGTGAGTCATGCTGTGAGCTACTCTGACTACTCCCTCGTTATGCATGGCAGCGACCGCGACGGTTTGCTCCGATTGCTGAGGAATGTCCTTGGTATCGATTGCCGAGTCGTTCTCCTCGTGTTGTTCCTGCTCCGTGCGCAGCTCACCGCGTTCAGCCTTACGTTGCTCTTTGCGCGCCCGCTCGAGCTGCTTCTGATGTTCCTTCTCTGTAAAATTTAATAAAGTCAAGTAAAACACGCTCGTACAAAATTCAACAATTCGAGAATTTATCGTACCTTGCTGTTTGCTGGCAACATCAGCCTGGTATTTGTCTAGGATGGCTGCCTCCGCTTCCCGCGTCATCGCCAGCAGCAATCCCGGAGTTTCATCTTTACTCCTGAGGGCCAAAACGTAATCGTCCATGAGACGGCCAATCTTCGCGCTTAGGTCTGGATATCTGAACATAAGAAAAGAAAAAATGAGTCTCTAACGTTTTCTTTCTTTTTTTTTTTTTTTACGGTCGCGATCTTTTCGCTTCTTACGCGCACAAATCGTATCGCGTAATTCGCGTATTTAACGTATTCGAGGTAAAAACTGTAGTATAAAATATGCATTACCGTTCCAACATCAAGAGACTCTGGTTGGTAATCCTATCGATTTCCGCCAGGTGCTCCAAAGTGGCCGGTTTCTCTCGTTGCGCCTGTTCCAAACTGCTGTCGAGGAGATGCTTGTAATGAGCGATCGTATGGTGCCTGTCTTTATGAAGGGCTCTAAGTAACTTCTGCAGGCATTTTTGAATGCGATGCATCTATAAGGACATAAGAAGAGCGATTATTAAATAGATAAAAAATATTTCTCTGCGTAAAAAAGTATGTAGAAATAACTTACATTTGGCGGCGTTTCATTAAGTGCCGCCGTATAACATGACATGGCTTCTTCATTTCTCTGCTTAACAGCCTCCTAAAAAAAATCATTATAGAATTTAATTTTTATTTAATAAACTATGTCATTGTTCAAGAAATGAATAACAATTGTGATAGAATTTTGAGGATTAATAACTCTTACATGATCTATTTTCATTAAATATTCTTTAAATACGCGCATGACAAATCCAAGATAAATTTCGAAGAATTTTCATTCAAATTTGCTTTTTAAATTATTTATAAAATTATTTAAAAATCATTTAAATTATTTACAAAATTATTTAAAAATCATTTAAATTATTTACAAAATTATTTAAGTATCTTGTCATTATTCGTAGCGTTTTGAATGGACTAACGCCACGTACTTGCACTCTTTGTTGATGCATCGCGCTTAATTGATGCTTCTCCGCGGCGCCGCTTTCCTCGAGCGCGGCAACCGTCTCTTGGAATCGCGCCGTCATCCACCGCTTGAAAGCATCCGCGGCGACGGGATCGTGGGCCCTGATGTCCTGATATCTCTCCTCGAGGTCACTCCAATCCTTCATCACCTGAAAGCGTTGTAGCACAAAGATTTCGACACCCATGTCCCGCGCCATAATATTGCCTCTTTCAAATACACGACTCATTCCTCTCAAATATTAAACTTCAGTATCTCTAAACTTGATCTAATCGATTACAAGCGAACGATTATATTCCACGTTTGCTTTCTCCAATTCTACAGAAAGAGATATGATGCTACCAGATATAAACTATATAATATTTTGCCTCGCTTTCTCTATTGCAACTATATAATCGAACTTACTTTCGTCACTTTCTCCTTGTGCACCTCCTCGAGTCGCCTCTGAGCTTGCTTATAACTCTGATGCTCGGATCGCGGATCAAAGTGCGTCAGGTAAGGATCAGGCGTGCCCTGTGGTTGGGATGGCTGCTGCGTACTCGTGCTGACAGGCAGCGGCATCGCAGTTGCCTCCTGCTTGGCTTTCTCCGTCGTGGAAACGGTCGTTGATGATCGACTGATTCATATTAAATATCAAATTAATATGATTTATATTAAATACATAATTAATAATTTGTACGTCTGATTAAGTATAAGCTCAACTGAAGCTCTATCTCTTTTTAAAATTAAATCTAAATAGCTTTAGCTTGAAGAATTCATTAGAAGAATATGATATATATAATATATGTGAAAAAAAAATTAAATCTGAATAGAGAATTTAGCTTGAAAAGTTTATTATATAATATATGACATATGGTGTGTCAGAGTTTCAGTTAACTTTATATTTATAAAAAATACAGATCTCTCCCAAAAAGAAGACTTTGATCATATCATATTAAAATCACCTGGTGGTCGTGTCATAATCGTCGAGATCGTCGTATTCCTCTTCACTTTCATCCTCATCGGGTTGATCGCTAAGCACATCGTCGAGATCACCATCGGAGTTGTCCTCGTCCTCAGCATCGGTGTCCAGGTCATCCTCGTCGTCGAGATCGTCCTCGTCCTCGTCGAGATCGTCGTCCATACTCTTTGGGATAGGTAAATCGATCGGCTTCTTCACTTTCACGTTCTCTGCAAGAAGAGAAGTATAGATTTTACGCGTTGTATGCATCTTTCAAACAATTCAATTATTACATAAAACACATTACGCATTAATTTCTACACAGAGAGAATTTTTCGTTATATTTTACCGCAAAATTCACTACAAATTTTATCATGTTTGGTAATAAACTATGTTTGAAAATTACCATGCTGCATGTTAAAATTATCACGATTAAGCTGGATTGAAAATATTATGCTGCATAAAATATTTTACATGTTTATCATTTTTTAGCACCTATTTAACACACTTAAATAATTATAAGTTTTTAAAAATACGCTTTAAAATTATTACAATTTATATTTTAATACAGTTAAGCGTATTTTATATATTTTGGGATAGATATTAATATTTTTTATTGTAATAAATATTAATCAGAGAAACTATTCCATACCATATTGTTCCATAAATTTCCAGATAAATTCTAAGAGAAAATTCTCTCTGTGTATAATAGATAAATAAATAACACAGATAATAATCCTTAAGGTTCGCCAGTAATAATTAATAAAAATCTTTCCTCAATGGTAAAAGTCGACCAAAACTGCCAGTTTTGGTCGACTTTTACCACTGAGGAAAGATTTTTATAAATAAATAAGTTCTCCAGGTGCAACTTCCGCGAAAGAAACAACTGGAGAACATATGTTTGTATTAATTTTCACGAACACAATTAATACTATTGCGTTCGTGGTTGATTGTACGACAATATCCTTCTGCATTTTCCTCGCGTTTTTCTAACGATTCGACGTTACACAGACACAGAGATACGTTCGTCGCATACATACATACTCGGTGCGATAGGTGCAATTATTGGAATTCCTGTCTGCGCGCACATTCCAGTATATCGACTGCCATTGTTTGAATAGTAAATGGACGGGATTGGGCTGGCCGCAGATAGCTCCGCGGAATTCTGGCCCATAATCTAAATCAATGCGCGCACCAGTGATACACTGCCGGTGTATCGCTGGACTGCCGCTTGATTATTTATCGATATGCATACTTGGAAAGAACGAGGGAGTCGATCGAATGCATGCATAGATTGTAACTGGATAATTTTACAGACATAATTGACGACAATCGAGTCGGCGATCTCGATTCCTCTGTATACGTAAATAAATACCAGGCTGAATATCGAAGTGACTTCTACGAACGAAAACGTTTATTCTCCGTAAAAGGTGGACGAATTAAAAAAAAAAAAAAAAAGATTGAGAGAAAAATTCATCGTGGAAAAAAATTATAAATTATATAATATCTGCATCGTTAGAGTTCATTAAAAATTGAACATTTTCCTGCAATAAAATTCTTGCTAAACACCTCTCACGAAATATTCATGTATGATATATTTTTATTATGATTAAAGCTGCCTACAAATGAAAATGTTATTATTTACTTGTAACTTTTATTCTTTTAAAAGATGGATAAATTAAAAAAAAAAGATCGAGAGAAAAATTAATTCTGTAAAAAATTGCAAGTTCAATATCTGAGTTGTTAGTTCATTAAAAATTGAAAATTCACCTGCAATAAAATTCTTGATAAACACTTCTCACGAAATATTCATGTATTATTATGATTAAAGCTGCCTACAAATGAAAATGTTATTATTTACTTGTAACTTTTATTCTTTTTAAAAGATGGATAAATTAAAAAAAAAAGATCGAGAGAAAAATTAATTCTGTAAAAAATTGCAAGTTCAATATCTGAGTTGTTAGTTCATTAAAAATTGAAAATTCACCTGCAATAAAATTCTTGATAAACACTTCTCACGAAATATTCATGTATGATATATTTCTATTATGATTAAAGCTGCCTACAAATGAAAATGTTATTATTTACTTGTAACTTTTATTCTTTTTAAAAGATGGATAAATTAAAAAAAAAAAGATCGAGAGAAAAATTAATTCTGTAAAAAATTGCAAGTTCAATATCTGAGTTGTTAGTTCATTAAAAATTGAAAATTCACCCGCAATAAAATTCTTGCTAAACACTTCTCACGAAATATTCATGTATGATATATTTCTATTATAATTAAAACTGTCTACAAACAAAAATGTTATTATTTACTCGTAACTTTTATTCATTTCAAAAGATGGATAAATTAAAAAAAAAGATCAAAGAAAAATTAATTCTGCAAAAAATTGCGAGTTCAATATCTGAGTTGTTAGTTCATTAAAAATTGAAAATTCACCCGCAATAAAATTCTTGCTAAACACTTCTCACGAAATATTCATGTATGATATATTTCTATTATAATTAAAACTGTCTACAAACAAAAATGTTATTATTTACTCGTAACTTTTATTCATTTCAAAAGATGGATAAATTAAAAAAAAAAGATCGAGAGAAAAATTAATTCTGTAAAAAATTGCAAGTTCAATATCTGAGTTGTTAGTTCATTAAAAACTGAAAATTCACCCGTAATAAATTCTCGTTAAATTTCATTCCTCGAGAAATATTCATGTATATTAGGATGAAAAATAATTAGAGAAGATTGCCGTCGATGAAATATATAACGCGAAATTTCAATGTAAAACTTGAATCTTGAAATGCGTTTCGTTCTCTCCTTCCAGTTTCTTGGTGCCGCATCCTTCCAGTTTAGAAATTCTAATTTCACCGGGTTACCATGGAAGAGAAGCGGAACGCATCTTGGCTAACTAGGTTCTCAAGATGTGTCTCATTCGCCGAGAATAGATACTCTGATGAGACGACTTCTCGACTTCTTGCAAAGGCAGACAAAAGTCCCTTCTGACCATATACACCTGCGTCGTCGTTTTATCTGGGTCACACGATAGATATGCGGTAACTGCAAGCGTTGGCAGTTTCTCCGGAGGTTGCCTTATGTCACGATTGTTCGTCATATAAAGAGTTATAGATACCTCGCAAGAATGGTTTATCCGGGATCGATCGGAAATGTCGAAGAAAAAAGCATACAAAGGTGACAGAAATTCAAAGCCTATCAACGTCAATATAACAAAGAAATGGTTAAATAGATATGTTATAAAAGACAGCATTGCATTATATGTATTTTAATTTTTTCTCAAAATGTTAATTTATTTTCTTGCGACAATAAATTTATCTATATCTGTTTCATTTTTATAAATTGAGTTTTTTTACTAATCTATAATTTTTATTAAGTATCTTTAATTAAATAGCATTTTTGGAATAGAGAACGTCATCTAAAATTGAATCTTTTGTCGACAATTTTGAAATATACAAATATTTTTTAAATCGAGATTTAAGGAAAATTCAATAATTTCTGGACTATATATATAATAATTCATTTCATCGTAAGAACCTTAAGTTAAAACTCGGTTAATATTAAAATAAAACAAAAATTATATTAATAAAGAAATGCTTAAATTTTTTACGAAGATAAAAAATCTGACGTTCTGTTCGTCAAGTATTTTTATTACCAAGTACTCTGTATGTGACCAAAAATAATTGAAAAAATTATCTTTCCAATTAGTTTGAAAACTGTAACTTAATTTTTCAACTTCTCGACTTTAATAATTCGTTTCATCGTAAGAAAAACCTTAAATTAAAATTTAATTAATATTAAAATATCAAAACAGAATTTATTTCGATGAAAAAATATTATTTTAGTTTTTCTCACAAAAATACAAAAAATCGTTCTCTTCAAGCGTATATCTATTACCGAGTATACCGTATGTGACCAATGTGTATTTCCCAGAAATGTATTATATTTTAGCTTTAGTTAGTATATATATATATATATATATATATATATACAACATATATGTATACATATATATACAGTTCCATTTTTCATATCCCGGACGACACGTCTCATCCCAGAGTTACATTACCCATCCAGAAAATAATGGAGTATAACATTCAAGCAGGCGCACATAGCGGACAAAACGGACAGCCCCCGTGCGTGTTAATCGAGCCTATTATATATGATGCACAGGAAAGAAAAGTTGCGCAGCGACGCCGAAAGCTACGGCGTGTTACGTTGCGCAGTCGTCGGGAACGTCGGTGGCGAACATTATTGATTGCACGAGAGAGAGAAGACAAGAGAGCTTGCGGCGAGGAAAAGAGAGAGAGAGAGCTTGCAGAGGGTGGCTCGAGCCAGCTAGGGTGCTGGAAGGAGACGAAGAAGGAAGCGAGGCGAAGTAGGTGGCACCCTCTCTCACCCTCTTCCCATCCCTCTCGTTTAATACACTCTCTTTGCACCCTCCTATAGTCGGTCTCTCTTTTTGTTCTTTGTGACAGTCGATTGAAAACGGACAGCCGAGTATTTCTACCGCGCAATAAATACGCCGCGAATTCGTCGTAAATATTCATGCCTGCCCGATTTTCTCTGTCTCTCCTTTTCTCTCTCCCATTTGCGTTATGCTTTTTGATTAGACACGCGTTCCATTAATCGTATAAAATGAAATAACAGAAAGGCGAAATAATAGCGGTCGAAGCAAAATAGTTTTCTAATGCAAGGCTTCGTAGAGAAACGCGCGGGTCTGACAATATTATTAAAGCAAATAACAGATGCAGAAGTGAGAAAGTCGATGGATTCTGAATTTGAATCTACATAATGAATTTATCCAGTATTGTGCGCCACACGATTATTTAACGTTTCATTGTTCTTTTGTACCGTAAAATAGGATCAACTCGTAGTACTATTACGGAAAAACAAATGTCTTCTTCGAGTGTCAAACAGACATAATTATTCCATATACTCCAAAAATGTTGCATGCAACGAAATTAAATTTTCCCACATTATTAAAAGTCCGACATATTTAATCGGGACGGATTAGAGATTCGCGAAAGTAGAATCTCGAGGAGATCGCCGCAAATATTCCCACTTTACGGTAAAATGACCTCGCGTTAAGAAGAGACGCCCCAAGAGCCTCGGCTCGTCTGGAAGGAAAGGATGTCGTGGTACGAGAAGGTGCAGACGCAGCGAAACGTTCGCATCGATGGAATATGCATGAAGACGAGAAGCCGGCGCGAATCCTCCTCTTCGGAGGAACGCTATAATTATTCGTTTCTCTCGAAAGCTCGCGAAAATGACTTCTCTTTGCTTATCCCTCTTCTACAGAATCGCTGCGTCTCACTCGCTCTCTCTCTTTTTCTTTTGCGCTATGGAAAATGAGAAATATGAATGAATGAAAAGTATGAGTGATAAAGCAAGCGTACGTACGTTACGTACCTTTCAGGTGTTTCGGGCAGCATACAAACTCGACACCGGAAAACAGAGAGATACCGCAAGGCAGCAGCATCGCGAAGCTACGCAGGTTCATGTTTCGCTCCCGACAGGTCTCCGCCGCCGTGGTGTTCCAGCTGAAACAGAAATCTCCTTGATGTAGTCACGTGTATACTCCGAGGAGACGGGCACTCGATCTTCTAAAGACGCGATAAACGGACTTGCAAATTGCGATCTCCTTCGAATCTACGTGTAAGAGAGGAATTCGCGAAGGTAGCAACCAGCCGAGTTACATCGACATAGTGATTGTACTTAATTAGGTACCAGAACGTAATAAGATGAAATAATCAGGGAAGAATTTATGACAGCACATATGTCAAAAAATTAGGGCACTTGTTTAATATATACTCATTGATATGTAATTTTGAAATTTAATATAATATATAATAAGATACTGAAATAAAGATTGTACTTAATTAGGTACTAGGACGTAATAAGATGATAATGAATTTATGACAGCACATATGTCAAAAAATTAGGGGTACTATGTAATTTTGTAATAAGATGAAATAAAGATTGTACTTAATTAGGTCGTAATAAGATGGGAAGAATTTATGACAGCACATATGTCAAAAAATTAGGGCACTTGTTTGATATAATATTATGACTCATTGATATGTAATTTTGAAATTTAGTAAAATATACAATATAATAAGAAAATGAAATAAAGATTGTACTTAATTAGGTACCAGAACGTAATAAGATGAAATAATCAGTGAAGAATTTATGACAGCACATATGTCAAAAAATTAGGGCACTTGTTTAATATAATATTATGACTCATTGATATGTAATTTTGAAATTTAGTAAAATATAAAATATAATAAGGAAATGAAATAAAGATTGTACTTAATTAGGTACCAGGACGTAATAAGATGAAATAATCAGTGAAGAATTTATGACAGCACATATGTCAAAAAATTAGGGCACTTGTTTGATATAATATTATGACTCATTGATATGTAATTTTGAAATTTAGTAAAATATACAATATAATAAGAAAATGAAATAAAGATTGTACTTAATTAGGTACCAGAACGTAATAAGATGAAATAATCAGTGAAGAATTTATGACAGCACATATGTCAAAATTAGGAGGCTTATTTAATACAATAACTCGTTGACATATAATTTTTAAATGTAATAAAAAATAAAATAAAAATTATACTTAATTAGGTATCACGATGTAATAAGATGAAATAATCGATAGAAAATTTATGACAGCACATATAACAAAACTAAGATTTATTTAATATAATAACTAAATAACTCATAATATAATTTTTAAATATAATAAAATATAAAATTAATAAAAAATAAAACAAAATAAAATATAAAATAATAATATATTTAAATAATAATTATTTTATATAGTAGTAAAATAAAATATATAATAAGCTCGTCGAAAGAATGGAATCAAAAATAAAAACCCTTGCTTGTTTTTTTTTGTAAAACAAAAAGACTGTAATTAAACTATTCTTGTTCGAATTGCTCAATCGCTTTGATGGTACGTTGTAAGCTTAAACTCGAGAGAAATAATTTCGCTCAGCAGATGTATTCGCGTATATACGTTCGTTACCTGTGAGAATCCCAGCATTTTGTTTGATTATGAAGATGATCAAAGAGACAGCCCTCCGGCACGAGAAGTGCGTCGCTCTGGAAGGGTCCCTCTGAAAGTAGCAAATGGTACATATTGCAGTAGCTCGAATTCGAGAAAAGCCTCGATTAAACTAGTAAAGGTCGGGCATCTCCGGTATTTATTCTTATTCGCTATTTCTGATCTACGATACAATATTTCGCTCTTTCTCTTTCCCTGTTCTCCTTTCTTCCTTTATATATATGTGATTTATATTGCGACAGCAGTCAAAGTATAAATTTGTAGACGACTACATATATCTCTGTGTAGATATGTTACCAAAATATATAAAATCAATAATTGCCGAATCTCTACCTTTATAATTCTCTTCGAACATGAAACGTCTATTTAAAACGAATTTTATGTACCTTTTAATCTTTAAGCATTACGTTTTTAATAGATTCAGCACATATGCATCATGTTATGTTGTATAAATTATATACATTACATATTAATTAAATTATACCTATACTTCATATATGTATATTGAATGTCCTCTTATTTTAATTATAATTTTGATGATAAATTCGGTAATATATTGTAGAATGAATTTCTCGCAAATTAAAACGCCAAGGTACTAATGATTTTCAGACAATAAAGTTTAAAGTAAAACTATTGTTCTCCTCGTGAGTCAAAGCTTTTAGAATAAAAGTAAATAACAAAAAATATTTTTTATTTAAATAAGCTTTAACTTTCCAGAAATTTTAATTTCCGCGTTTAATTATACGCTTTGCTCGAATATTGAAAAGTTTTCAGCGCGACAATAGTTTTTCTTTTAACAATTTTTCTCAGGAAAAATCGACATGAAATTTATCAGAGAACTTATTTTTAAAATGCTTGTCAGATTCTCTATATAAGTATGCACATACAAGTATACAAATGGGTGCAAATGCAATATTAAAGTAGGAAATTACACAAACACACAATATACATACATTATACATAATCGTACTATATATATGTGCATTTGAGAAACACTTCGGTGCAAGGAAGATGAAATATAATAAAAAGTAAGCAACGACAATTTCTTGATAGTCTATTTGTCTACTATGTACCGTTGCTTGCTACAGAGAGCTTTATAAATGCGAGAGAAGAAAACGCGAAAAGAAGACGACAGAAACAGCGAAATGGAAACGCGAATCTAGCGAATGACGCATCGGTACATTCACCAGTGCTGATCAATAGAGCTAGTCACGCAGACTACCCTCTTCGGGGGTATTAACCACTTCCCTGATTTGTCCGAGTATATTTCGTGTATCATTCTCTCCTGCCAGAAAATATAAAAGTGCACAGAAAAGCTCTAAATAAAGCTAATTTTTACTTTACAAGAAAACGCACTCCATTTTATAAGTACTTAATAATAAAATTAGACAAAACTTAAATATTATAATATAGAAAAACCCGACATTATCCACTTCTCTGATTTGTTCGAGTATATTTTGTGTATCATTCTCTCTTTACAAGAAAACGCACTCCATTTTATAAGTACTGGCAAAAAAGAATAATAATAAAATTAGACAAAACTTAAATATTATAATATAGAAAAACCCGACATTATCCACTTCTCTGATTTGTTCGAGTATATTTCGTGTATCATTCTCTCCTGCGAGAAAATATAAAAGTGCACAGAAAAGCTCTAAATAAAGCTAATTTTTACTTTACAAGAAAACGCACTCCATTTTATGAGAACTGTCAAAAAATAATAATAATAAAATTAGACAAAAATTAAATATACGATATAGAAAAACCTGATATTATCACTTCTCTGATTTGTTCGAATATATTTCGTGTATCATTCTCTTCTGCCAGAAAATATATAAATGTACCGAAAAGCTCTCAATAGAGTTAATTTTTACTTTATAAGAAAACGCACTCTATTTTATTAGTACTGTCAAAAAAGAATAATAATAAAATTAGACAAAAATTAAATATATGATATAGAAAAACCCGATTTTATATAGACAGAATTTTTCGTAAGAATATACGACGAAGAAACGATTAACGAGGATAATTAGATGAGATGTAGACGATCATGATCATTTATACACGCGTGACCAATTTAATAGTAATTTATCTAACACAATGAGAAGATGAGGCATGATTTTTAACGCTTTAATAGAGCACTTTAAAGTTTTTTAAAGTCTACGCAACAATATCAGTTTCTGTATATTTATAAATAAATATAATTACCTTTTAATTTAACTATTTAGAGATAATATTTAGGAGAGAATTTTCTCTTCACACAAATTTATCCTGAAAATCGTGAGACCATATGGTATTGAAAGTATTTTGTAAGGGTTCCTTTGATTAATATTTAGCACAACATAAAATATTAATATGTATATACCTATAGTAAAATTAATCTAATATATTTTATATCTTGTTGTGGTAAATATTAATGTTTTTATATATCCCACGATTACATAATTTTCAGGGTAAATTCTAAAAAAAAATTCTCTCTGTGTAGATACTCGACTAAAAATTTAAAAAAAATTACTCCATTTTTTAACCATTATAAAATATGCGGGTACACAAGTATGAAATGTTAATTTTTTAAACAAACTTGAAACAGACTTTTATTGAAAGTAAATTATCATCGTACCACAACTTTGCGGTTTTCAATATCGAATATATGCATATTTGCAATTACTATTTTAATTAAAAATACGTCGAAATAAAAAATGCAATATTTTTTCATCTGCGTTAATAATAAAATAGCTTATATAAGTACACTGTTTCTTTTACTTTAATGAATATTGTCTAATGTTTTTTCACCGGTTTCATCAAACTTTGCGTTATTTGATTTAGAATATTCCACGGTTAAGTACTTCACGCAAATTGAAGAGTTTCGAGCGAGGACGGAATTGGTTTATAATTTATAAGGTCCACTTTAATTAACGTCAAGAGAGAAAAAGAGAGGTCCAAGATCGACTTTACTGAATTATAAACCAGCTCTGTTTCCTCTTTCGCAATGTATCGTTCAATCGTGTACGAAAAAAAGGTTTACAGGCTGAAATAAAAGATACCCCGCACTTCTCAATCGCTTCGGAAGCGAGTATAATCGTACAAGAAAGGGAAGGAAAAAAGCAAGCACCTATACAGGGTGTCCCATTTTAATGTCCCACCCTAAATAAGTTTTTTATTTTTGATCGTAGAAAAAAATGTTTCAGACAAAAAGTTGTATGGTTTCGAGGAGGACATAAGGTGATGCCCTTAGTTTAGACCTTGAATAATTGCTTGAGGGTCACGTGAAGGTCACCTTTAATTTCTTAAATGGAACCACCTACTTTTCATTACATATTCTTGCAGCTGACATCGAGAGCTTTCCAAAACACTATAATAAAATATTTTTATCTCAAGTACTTTTTGAGTTATAAGACAAGATCTCCTCAAGGTGACCTTCACGTGACTTTCAAGCAGCTATTCAAGGTCAAACTAATGTCCTTCTCGAAACCATACAATTTTTGTCTGAAACATTTTTTCTGCAATCAAAAATAAAATAAAATGGGACACCCTGTATACGATCTCTCGCGAATCCGACGCGATGTCACGTTCGCGATAGTTCTTTCGTTCCTCGGCGCGATAAAAAGGCTGATCGGAAAGGTGGCCGGGGCAGACAATCCGACAGCAGATATCGCGTTGTCCGTTGCGCAACGTATTGACTCTACAAATTGAATTCTTCCGGAGCAGATCGAGCGTCCCGCTAAATTTATAACTAAATCCCCGCCGTCGGAGATCGATCTCTTCATTTCTCACGGCCGCATTATCGATGAGCTCGCGACCGATCGGTCAGCCCGACTCATCCATGCCTCTCGGAATCAATATTTTCTTACAATTATCAAGCGAATCAGACATCGCGCGAAGGTTTTCACCATTTTATCGAACCGTTTTTCTTTCATGTACACAACCGATTTTTTTTCTCCCACATCTTACTATCTATCAATCAAATTGAAATATCAACACAATAAATATCAAAGCATGTGCAGATGTATCGCATCATTATATTGACTTATGTCACCCCGAGGATTTTATTTATGTCGCGACACGTCCGATAAATTATTACACATGACATTTCTGACAGGGAATATATATGCGAAAATTAATGCAAGCTCGCTCATTCTTGGCGTACTTTTATTTAGTACGTAAAAGATTCGAGAGTCGTTAAAAAATTCTACAAGTTTTAATCTCGAAGTTTGCGAAAAATCGCGCGATACACAAAGTCTGTCGGGCTAGCTCCGGCGTAAAAATATCATCGCCGTTACTCACCCAGACATCTGTAAGGTTTGACCCATCGCGAGAGCTTGCACTTGTTCCTTCCGGGCTTGCACCATCCGCCGACCCTGACGTAATGCGCCGATTCGACGATGTTGGTGATGTCTCTCTTCGGGTAAGCCTGGAAAAAAAGTATCATCAGCAAGTGTAGACCGACCAGTCTGTAATCGTCTATAAAGGTAATTATCGAGCACGGTAAACCTGTTATTATCGCGAACGAGCGGCGATTTGCTATAAAAAAGGCCGCAAAAACGCGCGTTTCTTATCGTACGAGCTGTTTTGCGACGTGATATTCGCTTAATGTGCGAATTAAATCTAATAGACCCCCGGCTTGTGACGTTAGTTCTCACGGATCGATAGTATTCAGCATATAACATATTTTTATACGAGTTGAAGAGTTTAAAAATTCAACTTTAAATTTAAAAGAGAAAATCTATATAAGAGGGACTTATTATTCATGAAACTTCAGTTAAAAAATATGGAAAAATTCACACGAGTACATATATATGTATTATAAAATATATATATATTTATATACAGGGTGTCCCGAAATTCGCGAATCATCTATTAATGGCAGATTTCCTGAGGTCATTTTTTTTTCCTTTTATAAATAAGCCTTAAATTAAAATTTTGTTAAAGTAAACTCTGCTTGAAATTAATTGAAGAATGCGATTTTGTTAATATTTTATTTCTACAAGGCTTAGTTTGCGAAAAACGCCTTATTTTCAATCGAAAATAATTGGTGCTTCGACATTTTCGTCGAAAAAGTCATTTCCAAATGATCCCAGGATTATGAATTTTATATAAGTCGAAGGAGTGTGGAGTTTAAAAATTAAATTTTGTTGAATATAAAAGGAAATTTATAAGAGTAAAATATAGTAAGAGAATTATACTATTCATAAAACTTGAATAAAAAATGTAAGAAATGTGAGTATTAAAAAAATAAAATAATAAAAATATATAAAATATATATATAAATATATTAAATAAATAAAATATATAAAAAAAAATAAAAGTTTGGCAAGTCTTTAGGCATCGGTGAGAAAAAATGTAGGCAAATCGCGTGAAAAATAAATAATTCGCGATTCGCAACAATCGTCGACCTGTCTCGCACTCGATAAAGTCATCGTCGAAGATTAACGTTATTTTCACGGCAGAAAAGGTAACGAACCGCGTAATTCCGGTGTTTTGTCGTGACTAAGGCCAACGAAGGGATGAAAATTCGATTTACACGGCACCGGAAGATTATAAACGACTTCTTAATCATGCCTGCGGGCCCGACGTTAAATAACACGCCGCAAGTCTTAATTAATCAATCGCTCGCAGCTCTTTCTCCATCTCTCTGAGACACGAATCTCGACTGAACAAGGAGTCGCGAACAATTTCGGAGTCTCTTGACTTCGTTTCTATAATTCAAATGTCTGAAATAATTTATACGCTTTTGTATTTTCACGACGAGACCGAGACGAGAAGGATTTTTATCGATCAATCCGGCACATGGAGTCACCACTTCTTTTCGTGCTCGTGCATAAGCAAATACGAGCACGTACGCATGTGCAAGCTGCACGTTTATCTTTCTCTCTCTCACTCTCTTATGTATATAGTAGATTGCGTGAACGTGTCGTATAAACGAGACGGAGAACGTTATTATCCGGTAATCCATAAGTTAGTCTTGCCTTTCACCGTGCTCCACATATATGAAAGATCTGGAATGGAAATTGCGTGCACGATATTCTCATTTTCATTTTATCTATTTTTGCAATCTTAACCTATTTATTTCAAAATCTCCGAGATTTAAAGATAAAAATAAAACCAAGTATTTTTCTCGCGCGTTCAATAATAAATAATAAATATTCAAGATGTGTTTGTTTGAAGCGAGAGAGAGAGAGAGAGGAAGAGCTTGTAAGTGATCTGACGAGCGAAATATTCATATGTATACTTTGTTGGATGGAGAAATGATGCAAAAGAGAGGAATAAAAAGTTGGACGATAGTAGAAAAATGTCAGAGATCTATTTTTAATGTCTATATATATAGCTCTTAATCGACTATACGTACTCTTAACGTCGATCTCGGACATTATACGTGTGAAAGAATTTAATGGTTGCGTGATCTTATATAGACCCCCTTTTTTCTTACCTTCTTACAATACTCCAGGATCTCGAGCTTATCCGTCATGCAGCTCTTCTTGTCGGTCGAGGAGACCCATCGACCCTGCTCTCCCATATGCTGAGCAAGATACACCTCGCCAGGTTCGCACAAGGTAGCGACCTTAGTTGAGGAAAAGATGCGGTCATTGAAGGTACACGCGTCAACCACGAAGCGGAAAACACTTTTGGCTCGGTCAACAACTTCATCAAAGTGTTTCGCGCTTCTCCAAAAATTCTTCATCTTAATTATTATCGAAAAATTTTTTTTTTTTTCCACAAGTATAGATATATTACAAAAAAGTCGATAGACTCTTTTTATTTTTCCGATTATTGCATGCACATTTTAGAAATTGTTTATTTGTAATTATACTTTGTTTTATAACCATTTACAAATATTTTTCTATGGAAAATATTAAAAAATTTATTCTATTTAAACGTATTTCTATTTCTTTTTTTTTTACGTATTTTATTTAAATGTAAAATATTTTTTTAAAAATATATACTACTTACACATTTTTACAACAGAACAAATTTAAAATATAAAAAATAACCCATAGAAAAAATATTTATTTCTCATCGTTTCGTGTTATATAAATCTGAATGTTCTTTGTTATTCCAACATTTAATAAACCTCACAAATAAAAGAAGAAAAATTTTAAATCTAATAATCTAATTAAACACAGGAATTATTTTGTTTCATTGTTGGAGCAAAAATAGAGAACGTAATAAACTTGGACGGAAATTACGAACGAAGAGCGACGATAAATTTTCGCGAGGAGATATAATTTTGCGGTGGTCCCTTTTGAAGCAGGGAATAAGGCTGGAGCGAACTCTCTCACGATACTCACCTGCGGCTCTGATCTTCCGCCAGCTGGTGCCAATTCGAGCCTCTCTGACACCGCCTGCAACACAAAGTGAGAGAAAATATTTGAGAACGGCTGTAGCACAGAGACGGAAGGAGGAAACGGGTGGTTAAAACATTTCCAGTCCGATAAGCCTGCACTTACTCGCGTGAATTCAAATCTTTGACATACAGAAAAGAGCAAATAGTTTACTCGCTTTAAGGAATCACCTGATTCGAAAAAATGTCTGGGTTGTTTAAGGGAAAAAAAAATATATGCATACACATTTTTTCGAACACGGAAAAAAATCAGTTAATACAATCTTATCATGCCGAAATTTTATACTTGACTAATATTTTTAGTTTAGGAGAATTCTATAATTAAATATCTTAGCTATCGTAACTAAAATTTAGGCATGATAACTGTATTTCAGATGTAAAATTTAACTATATGGTGACTAATTTTGTTTCCCGTGGAAGAATTTTAGAATAGTTTCTCTGATTAAATATATATTTAAAACAATAAAAAATATTAATATGTACATAGTAAATTTCACTATGTACATAATAAAATTACACATATTTTATATCTTATTGCGGTGGATATTAATATTTTTTTATTGTGACATAAATATTAATCTCAAAATTATCAGAACAACTCATAAAATTGTCCCACGATTACCATAATTTTCAGGGTAAATTCTAAAAGAAAATTCCCTCTGTTAATAATTGAACCAACTTGTATGAATTTATATCGTATCAATTTTTGCTCAAACATCTTCGACTTATTTGAACCGAGTGAAAATACTCCTTCAGCAAAAAGAGAGAACAAGAACTCGCGAACGCGGAAATAGAATTAAATTTCATAAAACCCTCATGATTATCGATCGTGACAAAAACGTCCGTGCGAGAAGATTGTCGGGAAAAATGCAATTCGCAAATGCGAAAGATATGCAACGGTGCATTCAGAGGCGCCGGTGAAAGGATGATGTATAGAGTCGTGATGTCACATTATAGTCGGCGATGATAAATACGCGACTGTGGGTCACAAGCAATTTCGCGATTTCTCCGTCACGTGACTTCCCGGACGCGAGAGATCTCGCGTCTGATTTCGGCGCGCGCTTTTAAATGGATTTCAAGGTGCATCCGCGCATGCCGTAATACGCCGAGGAAAACGTGCATCGCCGTTATCTGTCCGACGAAGTTTGCTTAACCCCCTTAAAGTCTCGTCGTCCGTAGCCCTGTCGGCTTAAGCACGATTCGCGTATAGCTCAGAGGCTGCGAGTGCAACTCGGTTAGCTGTTGCCGGCTAATTCTTTAAGGCTATTAACGAAGCTGCTTTAATAAATCGTTAGAACCTCTCGCCGGCTGGCGAGGCCGGTTCTGCAAGTAAAAATAATGGCGCGTCGTTTATTTAAAAGAGCCGAATCGATATCGAGAGGTGGACTCTCAAAAGATTGATTAGAATCTCCGAGACGCGTGGAAGCCAATTTGGTCCCTCCTATTTGTCGCCCAGAGACACCCCGGTGATTCTACAGGAAGCAAAGATTCGAGAGAATCTTGTTTTCATTTTATTTGTTGTCTCTTTTACCTCTTATTTTACGTTGATTTTCTTTAATGACTGTTTTATTATATTTATGGATGTCTTAGCTTCTGTATTCTGAGATTATATTTAAAAGATTAATAATTCGACGATTTATTCAGATTGTGACCCAATTGTATTTGGTGAGATTTAATTTCTTGACGAATATTTAAAAATTAATAGGTCCGTTGTCTTTTTCGATTTTATATTAAATCTCGGTAATTTGAAATCTAATCGCAGATTAGCGTGATTAAAAAATCATACAAAATATTGAACACATGTGTCAGTGCTTATATTTAATTTTCAATATAGAATTGAATTTAATTGCAATAGTGCTCTTTGAATAATTTACGTATCACGTTTTGCTCCTTTCAAACTGATTATACTCGAGAGTAACAAGTACTGTTATATGCTAATTTCGTTAAACTAAATACGAAGAGAACTATAATTTATTCATGCACCTAAATACTACGTTGTAAGTAATTATTCTTTCACCTCCTTCCTGTTCTCTGCGTTCTATACTTTTCTTTCTTTCTTTATACCATTTTTTAAGTCTCTACTTTCAGTATTTTTATTCTTGCTTTCCACAGACATTATTTTTCTACACACTATTTTCTATATTTCTTCCTCTTTTTTTCATTTTTGAAAGAAACCATATATATATATATATATATATATTTTACGTTATTTTCTGTTCTTGTGTTATATATTTTTCTTCCTCTTTTTGACATTTGCTTTCGATGTTTGGCTGAAAAGTTCGTGCACCAGAATATTGCGTGCATCGGAAGCTCCCGTAAGGCTTTCTCTGCGGTCAGATTTGTCGTAAATGCATTAAACAAATCCACTTAGATGGTATCTTATATAAAACATTGCATAATCACAGCTTTTCACAGTGTCACGGCTATTGTTTACCGAAGAACCATGTTAATGAGAGCCATTCGCGCTGCTCGCTGAGCGAAAATCGCGTACGTTAATCTTGCTGTCGCTGGCGCCGTGAAAAATAGCGCCATTCTTTTCGCCTCGCGCCGTAGTGTTTTATAGTTTTATTAAATAACCGATTTTATAGTAAGTTTACGCGGACATTTTTTTTTCACTGAAAATTATACGAAGCTGTATATATGGGACGACGCATTTTACGAAACTCGGCCCATATATATATTACGCGAAGCTATAGAAGGGCTTTTAAATTGGCGGTATTTTTCCCTCCTTTCTTTCAAAGGTCGAACGAGAAAGGAAATCGCAAACTTCCTTCCGGCATGCGGTCGCTGGGTTGTTTGGGTTCAAAGTCGCGAAAGAAGAATAGGGATGACACGCGATTGTCTTCTTCCTTTTCCGCGCCGCATTATTATATCACGAAGACAACGTCGCAGTAATTATCGCATACCGCGCCTTTATAATTCATTCCGAGACGTTTCCGACACCAACGTGGCAAATTGTGTCTTGGGGGAGAAAGTGCCATCGGGTATTTAGAGCAAGAACGCTTCTTTATCTTGATGTCGCTTGATTAAATTGTATTACATTTTTCATTATAAATATCGATATACATTTAACATTAATGCACAAAAATTTATTAAATTAATTTATATTTATTTCAATACTGCCTAATCAATCATTTATTTGGAACTAATAAATATTTATCTGGTTTGCGAAGGATTTTCTTATATTAAATAAATATTATTAGTTTTAAATAAATGATTTATTAGAGGCTGGTATTGATATAAATATATATTCGAATTCAATAAATTTTTTCGGCGTAGTCTCTCGTAATTATTATTATTTTTCCGAGCACCATTATGGGAAATATGCTAATTATTTGACAGAAAGTGAAATGATAATTTTTTGACAGACAGAGTAAATTAATTATTTTTCAGTGAATAATTCCATTTTTAATGATTTGCAATCACAATTCTACAGCTGACAACTACAGTTGTAGTCGCTCGATACGGACAAAATGTACGATAGTACTCGTTATGATCGATGAATAACTAGAGCACAATATGCTATGACAAGATGAAATTACGACCGACTGTTTCCATAGTTTGTCCATACAAGCAGCACGCGTGTGCATACAACCTGCTACACACATTACATATGTATATGAAAGCCACTCTCTATAGAAGATTGCATGCGCATCAATTTTATGCCGCAAATAATTAAAAATCTGCAGAGTTATAGGCGAATTATAATTGCAAATCGTGATTCGCTCGTGATAAAAAAAAATAAAAATTCTTCGCTTTTCATTGCATTATAATTTTTTTTTCTCTTCAAAATTATATAAACAATTACGTCTTGCTAATTAAAAAATATAAATATGTAATATAAATGAAAAAATGTATGCAACTAAAACTAATACAGAAAACTCGTATGTCGATGCAAAAATGCGGCAGAGGTGCGGTTTGATACGCAGTTGCATCATATTGTGCATTCATGCCGTGATCTCTCCGGCTAGTTGGCATCCTTCTTAGAACAATGGCGTCGTGTTCTTTGAGATGGATGATCGGTGCCGGCTTTTATAACGCTCGTTACGTCATGAAGAAAACGCGCGCGCACGGCAACGCCTGTTAACACGTCATGAGGGTCATCGATGATCGGCACACCTACACTTAACTCCGTCAGCAGCTCCGTGTAAATGTGATGACATGGTTTAATAATAGTATCATTGATCTCTCCAGAGGTGCGATAGATTATGGCAAAAAATATGGCACATTCAGCTTTCTGGAAATTCATATTTTTGAACATATATTTTTTCTAAATGTGAATAAATATTACCTCTCCATATATATCTTTGAGGATTCAAGTCGCGTTACCGACGTGTTTTATAATTTTTATGGCTTTTTCTAGCACTACTATTTTTATACACGTACAGATCTGCTATTTGTACCTAATTGGATAAAATTTTGAAGATTCACGTTTTTGGATTTTTATACATATTGACTCTGTTCTCGGATTATTTTTATATATAATTCGGATTAATTCATATTTTTATATTTTATTCATAAAAAGTTTTAATATTTAAAGTTTTTACAAAAGTAGAACTTTGCAGAAAAAAATATTAGAGAAGGAGAGAAGAGATAAATTTTTTTTAGAAATTTCCGATAAATGATCGAAATTTTACTTCGCTTCTCTCTTCTGACATTAAATGTAAAATAAATGAGGGTACGGATTCGTATCTCTCTGAGATAAATTGAATTATATTCGATCTCAACTAGAAATATACCTGCTATTATATCACTGTCATCCTTTTCGTGAACAAAACACCTAAGCTCGATAAAGTAAATGTTTTAATTTCTTCAGTAGCAATTTAATCGTAACATATATAAGTATTAACGCAATTTTTCTTTATATAAATATACAGTATTTTAGTATATCAAAATCTGTATGTCTAATAAGAATGTCTATAAAATGTGATGTATGAATATTTTTTTTCTCTACACGGAGAGAATTTTCTCTTAGAATTTATCCTGAAAATCATGATAAAT